ACACACACACACACACACACGTTGACTAAGCTATATACAGGGATTTAGCTGTATGTACTAGACCTGGTCTTCACACAGTAGCGAGACGGACACTGAGAGCATTAAACATATAACACCAAAGGGGACCAATGTGTATTAATATTTTATTATGTAGTTGTTGCGAAAGCTTTGACAAAAGGACAAGAGAAAGAGAAGAGAGTAGAAAACATACTTGCAATAAAGGGAAGGTCTGAGAATTCTTAAGAGAGAATGCCATGGAAAATAAAACTCAGAGAATATACAACAGAAGACCGGGTGGACTTCGTAACTAACTACAAACAAAATAAAAATAAAGAATATATCGGATAATGAATATATCAGATAAAGGTGACCTTGGTTCAGGGGGATGACATCATTTAAGTGTAAGTAGGTAGTAACGTAACACACTCAGAATAAGAGCCATTGAATGACATGATGGTTGAGAAAGTGTGTCATGGTGCCACACTACCTGGCATCGTCTCCCCTCAGGTCGGGCGTGTCCCTCCGGAGACTGTGCAGCGCCCCTCAGCCCCTGCCTGCCGCGGCAACTGCTCTGTGACGGCGTCCCTCACTGCTCCAACGAGGAGGACGAGGCCGCCTGTACGGGCGTCGCCAGGAACGCCCCTGCTCAAGGTAAGGTATATCTGCTACAAACCTTTCATCCCCCATTTTAAATGTTAGATTAGCAAGGGGTGCGTTGATATCCTCAGTGAGCACGACACTTTCTTATGTACGTATTCTTGGAGTATGCAGTAAGAAGAGCGTCTTACCGCTTATATCACTTAGATAATTATAGTTGTGTACATATCTAATCAAACCTAAACCAACTGAATTAATTTAACTTGCTAAACATGCTGTGTACTACGTTATCTTAATATCTGTAACCTAACCCAAATTTAATATAATATATATCATTTACATTTGATTCACAGCACAGGAACTCTACGAGCACTTGGCAATGGTACAGTGACCACATCTATTCTTGTGGTAAACAACTATGTAAATATTCGCTTGTCTAGCACATTTAGCAATACACTTCCACATTTAAAACACGCTTATTCACAAATAAGTACGAGTAAAAATATCTTTATTTTCTCTTCAAGCCTTGATGTATTGGTAGCGGCCGTGGTGGCCACCTACCGGGGCTGGTGGAGCCAGGTGCTCTCCTGCACCTCAGATTGTCTATATAAACGTGCAAGACTCAGGTGTCCATTAACACTAGGTGTCTCCAGTCATGTCACACTAATCTATTAGTGGGTCGATTTATATAAGCCACACCTTGCACTGTATGAAAGTATTATTTCCTCTTTGATCTTGTTGGTGCTTCCTTCTCAGTTTCTGAAGAAGGTTCTCTCGAAGCGAAAGTACTTAAATTATTTTTCTATTTCACAATGGTTGCTCTTGCACACATATATATATATATATATATATATATATATATATATATATATATATATATATATATATATATATATATATATATATATATATGTCGTACCTAGTAGCCAGAACGCACTTCTCAGCCTACTATGCAAGGCCAAATTTGCCTAATAAGCCAAGTTTTCATGAATTATTTGTTTTTCGACTACCTAACCTACCTAACCTAACCTAACTTTTTCGGCTACCTAACCTAACCTAACCTATAAAGATAGGTTAGGTTAGGTTAGGTAGGGTTGGTTAGGTTCAGTCATATATCTACGTTAATTTTAACTCCAATAAAAAAAAATTGACCTCATACGTAATGAAATGGGTAGCTTTATCATTTCATAAGAAAAAAATTAGAGAAAATATATTAATTCAGGAAAACTTGGCTTATTAGGCAAATCGGGCCTTGCATAGTAGGCTGAGAAGTGAATTCTGGCTACTAGGTACGACATAATATATATATATATATATATATGTCGTACCTAGTAGCCAGAATGCACTTCTCGGCCTACTATGCAAGGCTCGATTTGCCTAATAAGCCAAGTTTTCCTGAATTATATATTTTCTCAAATTTTTTTCTTATGAAATGATAAAGCTACCCATTTCATTATGTATGAGATCAATTTTTTTTATTGGAGTTAAAATTAACGTAGATATATGACCGAACCTAACCAACCTACCTAACCTAACCTAACCTATCTTTATAGGTTAGGTTAGGTTAGGTAATTGAAAAAGTTAGGTTAGGTTAGGTTAGGTAGGTTAGGTAGTCGAAAAACAGTTAATTCAGGAAAACTTGGCTTATTAGGCAAATCGGGCCTTGCATAGTAGGCTGAGAAGTGCGTTCTGGCTACTAGGTACGACATATATATATATATATATATATATATATATATATATATATATATATATATATATATATATATATATATATATATATATATATATATATATATATATATATATATATATATATATATAACAGTAAAGCCATCGACATGTCACCGGTGTTGAAGGCTCTGGTGTACTGAGCCAGGGTATATATATATATATATATATATATATATATATATATATATATATATATATATATATATATATATATATATACACACTATAAGAGAGAATATCTGTCTATCTGTTTGTTTTCTTGTCAAAGTTGGATGCCAGATGCTTGGGGATAACCTTATCCAAATTTGCATCACTTTCCCTACTCTTCACTACCTTCCCTCTCCTTCACCAACTCCACGACCCTTCACATACTTTTCTTTATTTCACTATCTTCCCTTTACATCATCACCTACCCTACCCATCACCACCTGCCAAACCAATCACCACCTATCATACCCATCACCACCTACCTACCACACTACCTTAATTTAATTCCTTACCCCTCATCAGCTTCTACACCCTTCACCACCTTATTTGCCCTTCATCTGCATCTTCAACTGACATCAATTAATAAACTACATAAAACAAACTAACAATTGATCATGTTGTAATTCATACGCGTCTTCAATCTAAGCGAGGATGAAGTCTCTTATTTATCGAGATTGGTAAATATTATAATTTGCTTTATCATGTAAAGAGGGGGGGGTAGAAGCATGTTTATAGGTCAACTCCGATCCCCCTATGACCATCCCCCAAAGACCAATCGTCCTGCAACATTTGGCGTGGCTAGCCCCGAACTTCTGATCCCCAACTTTGAACGGGCATGATTCACACACACACACACACACACACACACACACACACACACCCTTTGGGGGCCTCGTAGCCTGGTGGATAGCGCGCAGGATTCGTAATTCTGTGGCGCGGGTTCGATTCCCGCACGAGGCAGAAACAAATGGGCAAAGTTTCTTTCACCCTGAATGCCCCTGTTACCTAGCAGTAAATAGGTACCTGGGAGTTAGTCAGCTGTCACGGGCTGCTTCCTGGGGTGTGTGTGTGGTGTGGTGTGGGGAAACAAAACAAAAAAAAAAAAAAGTAGTTAGTAAACAGTTGATTGACAGTTGAGAGGCGGGCCGAAAGAGCAAAGCTCAACCCCCGTAAAAACACAACACAACTAGTAAACACACACACTTAAAAGTTTACAGGTTATTTCCTATTTATCATACTAATCTTTCATCGGCTGTTTCTGTGTCTGTCATTACGATAAGTGCCCGTGCTGTTGCATGGACAAAACTTCTCGCTTCCTTATATTCATTCCCTTCCTGATCACGACCCCACCGTGTCTTCCGTCCCTTCTACCCCCACCCTCCTTTGCTCTCCGTCCCCCCCCCCATTTCCTTCGTATCTGCCGTTCCTTTCAACGAGCAGAGCGCCGCTTACAGACGTGTGGTATCGTTGGTACAGAGCTGGGCTCCGGGGACACGGTCACCTGCTCCGGGGGCCTGCGCATCCCCTCCGCCTGGCGCTGCGACGGACGCAAGGACTGCCCCCTCGACGGCCTCGACGAGGTAGGCGGCCCTCTCTCTCCCCCTGTCTTCACACTCCACGCCGGGTCAATTGGGACCTCACAATAGGGACTTCTTTACGGGTAGATTCTCTTTTAGAATTCTGAGGAAATGTGTTTTCATATTGTGGGGTTCCTTAAGGAAAAAGGGGGAATGGAAAAGTGGTCTGGAATTGTTAAAGCAGTGACGATATTTTACTGGAACTTAAATGGGACACAAAATTATTAAAGGCCCGGTAATTCAAGAGAAAATAAATATCTGGTTTATTGAAGACTACGGAAGAGAAGAATGGCAATGTAATATTTAAAACTCTTTGAAACGAAATCTTGAGACTTATTTCGCCAGGAAATATTAGAGCAGCAGAGACTGTTTAAAAGATATCTCTCCGTGAAATAATAATAAAGAGCCTCTCGTAGCAAAACACTGGGTCACAGAGCCTCTCGTAACAAAACAGAGTCACAGAGCTTCTCGTAACAAAACACTGGATCGTAGAGCCTCTCAAATTCCTCTCAACGAAAAAGCGTATATAATAAAATACCTTACATCCTATCAAGTGGTACGAAGCCAGTTTTAACTGTTGAAATGAAAAATTATATTAAATCATGTTTCTTAAGGGAAAAAAATTATAATGAGCTTGATCTTTTTTTATTATGAATTCGACATATACTTGGAGGTAACTGGTGTTTGTCCGGGCATGCGCAGATGGGGTGCGTATACTGCGGTCCCTCGGAGTTCATCTGTCCGACCTCTGGCGTGTGTGTGCCGCAGGAACAGGTGTGTGACGGCTCGCCCTCCCTCCCCTCCTGCACCGACGAGCAGTACTGCGATGCCTGCCCTCCCGGCCACCTCGTCTGCGACGTCTGTGTTGATAGGTAAGTCCTGCGTTGCTTTGTAGCCGCCTCATCTCTCAGGCTCAGGCTGATGTGCGTCGCAAAGGTGGCTGAACCCATATTTAACCCCGCCCATCAGGTGTAGGGGAGCAGATGGGTGAGTTCTTAACCCCGCCCATCAGGTGTAGGGGGATAAAAAGTGAGATCTTGCATTCATAGAACACCACCTCTTCTGAACGATGAATTCTTTTTAATGTGTAATATCGTGAAATATATCTTTGTGTGTGTGTGTGTGTGTGTGTGTGTGTGTGTGTGTGTGTGTGTGTGTGTGTGTGTGTGTGTGTGTGTGTGGGTGCGTGTGTATTCACCTAGTTGTGCTTTCGGGTGTTGAGCTCTGGATCTTTCGACCCGCCTCTCAACTGGTGTACAGGTTCCTGAGCCGATTGGGCTCTATCATATATACACTTGAAATTGTATTTGGAGTCTGCCTCCACTACATCATTTCCTAGTGCATTCCATTTGTCAACTACTCTCACACTAAATACATTCTTTCTAATGTCTCTACGGCTCTTTTGGGCACTCAATTTCCACCTGTGTTCCCAAGTGCGTGTTCGAGGCTTGGTCCGAGCACAGAGCCCTGTGGACCACCACTGGTGACTTCACGCCAGTCTAGGGTCTCACCCCTCACTTTAACTCTCTGCTTCCTATTGCTTAGGTATTCCATTATCCACTGGAGCACTTTACCAGTTACTTTTGCCTGTTCCTCCAACTTATGCACCGGCCTCTTATAGGATACTGTATCAAAGGCTTTCTGACAGTCCAAGAAAATGCAGTCTGCCTATCATTCTCTTTTTTTGCTTAATCTTTGTCACCCGTACGTAGAATTCTATTAAACCTGTGAGGCAAGATTTGCCCTCCCTGAACCCATGCTGGTGGTTAGTCACGAAGTCCCTTCTCTCCAGATGTGCTACTTGTTTTTTTCTCACGATCTTCTCTATCAAATTGCATGGTATACACGTTAAAGACACTGGCCTGTAGTTCAATGCTTCTTGCCTTTCACCCTTTTTGTATATTTGGACCACATTAGGCCATCTTCCATATTTCTGGTAAGTCTCCCGTCTCCAGTGACCTACGATACACCATGGAGAGTGGCCACGCTCACCCTCCCCCAAATACCCCCCCCCCCCCGGGCCACACTCAACCCCCCCCCCTCCGCCACATTCAACCCCCCCCCCCCCCCCGCCACACTTAACCCTTCCCCCCCCGCCACATTCAACCCCCCCCCTCCCCCCGCCACATTCAACCCCCCCCCCCCCCTCCAACACTAGCGCCAGGGAGCGTCTCTCACCAGCTCTCGATGTGTGGGACCAGCTGGCAGATCTGCGACGGGGTGTGGGATTGCGAGTCCGGGGAAGACGAGAGGGAGTGTGTGGGCGTGGGCGTGGACGGCGTGGAGACGTGCGCCCAAGGCCTCTACCGCTGCCCCTCCGGTCACTGTATCCCGGAACTCTCCGTCTGCGACCGCAGGATCGACTGTCCGGATGGTGACGACGAGCGCCACTGTCTTGATGATAACTTCGAAGGTAAGGGATAGAGTGATGGTGACTTGCGGTGGTGATGATGGTGTGAAGGATAGTGTGGGTTAGGAGAAGAAAAGGGAGGTGAAGTGACTGCACCTTGCCACTGGCACAGAATTGGAACAGGTTAAGTAAATTTAATGAGATTTGGTGTGGGAAATTCGATCAGATTATCACCAGTGCCAATGTGAGAAGTATTGGAGAAAATATGTGACAAATGCTAACCAAAAAGAGGTGAAATAACATTAAAGGTAAGTTAGTGAACAATGGTCAATATAATTGCCAGTGAGGGATGGTAGGGCGGGTGGTAGGTAGTACATGACGTAGACAGGACCATCAAACCGTCTAGGGCGAAGCCCGTCCTCCTAATGTTTACTAACGTCAAGAAAACGGTTTGATGTCCTCTCCTAACCTACCAGAGGACCCAAAATAAAAAAAGGACACAATACGTCACTTTCGCGAGCCGCTTCCATTTTCTAATTCGACAGTTTTTGGCCTTATGTAACGCATTCGGGCGAAAAGCGACGTTTTTTGTAGGAAGACAGGTTTCAGGGCGACCTGTGACACTCCTGCCCCACCCCGGCACCCGTGCCCATGCCACCCCCATCCTTCCTAGACAGCTGCCCCCCCCCCCCCCCCGCCCAGCCCCTTGCCCACCACCATGTTCACTTCTAAGCACCACACCACCCCGTCACCCAAGAGCGACCCTCCCCGCCCCCCACCCACCTATTCCTCTCATCTAGCTGCCCAACCCCATTGCAATGGCCGCTAGAGAAGCCGGCACTCCACCGCTAATTTCTTCAAAAGTGATGAAGGAAATTATTGAATCTCGTGACAGGAGCTGCCCACCGTCAGCTCTCAGTGTCGCATACTAGAGCAGCGGGTCATCTTATGAAACTAGTGCAAGCCATACAGAGCCAGAGTACCTGCTGTGGTACAAGAGTGTCGTGGGGGCACCCAGGAGGTAAAATAGCATAAATATGGAGCTGCTTGTGAAAATAAACCCAACCATATGGAAAAAAGTTTGTCATTAGAAGATCGCAAGAATGAAAAGCAAATGAAGGTCATCAGTCTAGTAGAACTCACAGGATGAACTAGTAAGAGGCACTGTAAAAATGCAGGAAGAGGAGGAGGAGGAGAGAAAGAAAAGGTTAGAAAAAACAAGAGCACTGAAAGACGAGGCAACTTTTCTGGGAAGACGCCTTCAAGAATTCAGGAGTGTGTAGAGAAAGGGAATGAGGTTATTGAAGACATAGAGGCAATAATTGACAGGAATCATGAACTCTACATTTCAACCTTGAAGCAAATAGGAGAACTGGTGGAAATTAATCCCAAAAGGGAAGCAAGATATAGCCATTTGTTTGCTGTCATTCGCTGAAGGGAAACTTTTTTTGATTATTAATATTTAAATATATTTTGGTGCAGTTAGGCTTGGTTGAATTAGTGACTTTTGAGTAAATTGTCAGTTAGCATTTAATGCAAGGCTATTGTTGAAATGCTCTGGTGATTACTGAATCACTTAACATATGTATGTCTCATTATAATGGTATATGATGGAATTTTAGTTCAGAGACTTAATATCTTATTTTGAATATGTAGGATTTTTGTTGTGGTTAAAGGTTACCATTACTGAAATAATTAACTGGGTACCCAAGTTAAAACTCGGCTGTTAATACCAGATACTACTTTTGTATCTGGAAGTCTTATATTGGTGAGTGTGTACATGTCCAGACAAGTACTGTTGTACATCCCCGAGTCCAGCAGTGGAAACGAAGAGACCTCGATATTAACTTGAAATCATAATTCTTAATCTAAGGGTACTGAATACTAGCCTACTCATAATTAAATGCTCTAAGGAAAATGAACAGGTTTTGATGCTGGACATTGATTGGTTTATCTGGGTAAAGCAGCAAAGTGCTCTACACTGTTTAATTACCTGATGTCCAGAATACATAGTCCAGTAGAGCAGTCTTACTCCAGGTAATATTTCGGTGACCACCTTCACTGAGCCAACATCGGCCATCCTCGCAATTTAAATTATTGTGCACCTCAATAAAAACACAAATTTTACCCATGAAGACAAAAACGTTGCTTAATCTGGACTCTTGCCTTCTTTACCCCCACTCCTCCTCCTACTTCTTCCTTCATTCTTTCTAGTGCTCCGCTACATCTCGGTGAAGCCGTCGGCAGTCTCTGGAAAACTGGGAAAGAGGAGCGACCCGCCAAGCCGCCTGGTGACGCCCACGCTTCACCATCCTACAAGTGGCGTTGGCGTCCTTACCTTCAAGTACAGATTAGATGCGTGGATTGGTGCCTCCAACGGTACCCTTAGGTGAGTGCCAGACTCCGGTGTTGTTGTCGTGTACATCTCTAGTCAGAGTGGTGCTTGGGTGAAAGGCTTATTCCGCGGGTACCATTTCGTGTCTTCTGCTTTCTTACACTCGGGTATTCAGCTGGTTCTCTCAAGTGACTTCGTGTGTGTCTTATTTCTATGGACCTCTTATGCGAGTCTCGTACTCTAATGGTACTCTTAGGTAATTTTCTTCCTGCACTGCCACTGCCTGATCAGTCATTCTTTCGGCACCAGTATGTAGGATGGTCCGAGAATATTGTTGCTCCAGAGGTACTTTCAGGAAAGATACATATTTCAGTATATAAATTTACAGTTAAACCGTTAATCAATGTACATCTTTTGATATGTTAACTTAGCGTTAAGTAAGAGCTTCTTTTCTTTATAAAATAACACGTCGCTATATATTAAGGTTTTCATATCCTGGGTTTTAACTGATAGTCGTTCTTGTCATTTATGTGTTTTAAAAACCCTCTTGGTTACGTAAACTTTAGCTGGATCGATTATCAGTGAAGGCAAGTCTAACGCTAATGAAAAATACTTCAATATTCACTATGTTCATCTTGTTAATATATGGCTTAAAAACTTGTAACATATATGAGCGCTGAATAACCCATCCTATATTAAACTCCACAATCACATAAATTGCAACATCGATTAAGGAAACCGTCAAAAAATATAAATATATAACGCCTAAGGCATCTGTTGGCGAAGTATGCGATGACGCAAGTCTCCCGACGGAAAGTTTCCGCAGGAGAGTCAAATAAGAAAGTCTAAACACCCTGACTAACCACCAGTAAAGTCTCCCGGAAAACGAAAATAGTTTGAAAAACGCCCCTGAAGGTGTTATCAGCCAGGGCTTTCCTCGCCATGAATACATTAGTCAATTTTTGCAGCGGTGGTGAGTAACCCGCCTCATTTGTTCTCCTCCGGCAGGAGCCTCACCTCACGTTCCTCTTCCCGGTTGAAGAAAACTCAAGTTTTTTTTTACATTTTGAATGTTGGTGGTGTTGCTAGATGCTGTATATTTAAGCCTGGTGGATATGCTGGGATGCTCTCCTCTCTCGTCAAGTGCGTCCTGACGGTCTCAAATCAAAAAGATGGGTTTAAGGAATGTACACAGATAACGCTAGAGCCGCGTATTGAAAATAACATTGTCAGTGCTTACAGCGACTATGTTGTATGTAGGAGTAGTAGTAGTAGAAGTAGTACTAGACTACTAGTACTAGTACTAGTACTAGTAAAGGTAGTAGTAGAAATAGCAGTAGTAGAAATAGTAGGAGAAGTAATCATAATAATATTACCTAATTGATGGCTATGTCACGGAGTGACCAACTATACTGTTCTGTCGTAAAAGTAGACAAGAAAAACCCTGATATACAACCCATCAATTACAATATTAGGAGTGGAAATTGCTGAAAATTTGCGTTTAAAGGATACGAAAATTATTACAGGAAAATGCGCTAGGAATCAGCTTGCTTAGGATCACATATCTTAGGGCATCTAGCTTGCTTAGCGCATCACATAGATGCAAAAAAGGCTTACAACACTACAACTCCTTAAGTCAGATCTATAATGGAGTACTCGCTACTAATTTATTATTCCTGTCCACAGTCGTATCTTTTCTTAGATCACATTCAAGACAGGCCTGCACATCTTGTGAGAAATAAATTTATTGCACTTAACCCAATGTTGAACATTCACACTCTCCAACACAGAAGAAATGTGGTTTGTCTGTATTCAACAAAAATAAAAAAAAAATGCAGTTGTTAATAAAAAAATAATAAACGAACACACAATTATGTCCAAAACGCTGCGTCTCATTAATAGTTTTATATAACACAAATTCCGTACTTACTAAGTAACCACTGTAATTTGATCCTCTGTTTCTTATAAATAAAATATTATATTTTTATAATAATAATAATAATAATAATAATAATAATAATAATAATAATAATAATAAAAGACTTCGAGGGTCTAAGAGTTTTTTTTTTTTTTTTTATTAAGTTATGAGGTACATCTGCATTAGTGCAGCTACCCTAGACTATATGAAGTGGAGTACAGTGTGTCAAAAAAGCTAACTAGGTGATGCTATAAAATCCCCATCACACAGGATGGTTAGTCATACAGAGGCATGTGATAAGCGGTCTGCACTGGCAGACTCCGGATGCATTTTGAGGATATCAACAACACAAGATTATATAAGGTAGCAGTGGTAATACAAGTCCCCATCTCGCAGGATGGTTAGTCATACAGGGCCATGTGTTTAATAGCCTGCACTGGCAAATTTTGGGTATACTGTGAGGATATCTTCAAGAATACGAGAGTGAATAAAGTAATTGCAAAGCTCCAGGTACCTCATGCCAACTGGTCTGAAAGGTCTAATAACTGGGCATTCAGTGATGTAGTGCGGGAGATCATACCGTAGTTCCTGTTCACAGAGTTTGCAACTGGAGTGCTCAGGATTGGGAGACCCGTCACCTGCAGCCACCTGCCACAGGTAACGGTAACCCAACCTGATCCTTGCAACCACTGTGTCGCACAGTCTAGTGGACGTTTTGTGCTGTCCATAGATGTAGGTTTCAGATCTGAACAAATCATAGCTTTTTATACTAGTACTTTCAGGTCGTTGGGAGTCAGTAAGTTCTTTCCTATCAGATCTGAATGTTTGGACCAATACAGTTTTGACAGCAGAGATGGGGATACCTAGATCTAATTCAACTTCAAACTTGTTACACGCTAATTTGGCTGCAATGTCTGTCTCATTATGATGGGTTATATTTATGTGTGAAGGTATCCATACAAAGGAGATTCGAGACCCTTTACTCTGTGCATCAATTAGGTCATTTATAATTGGGAGTATTAGGTTCTTGCTGTCGATCTTCCAAGAGAAGTTTTCGATTGCTTGAAGAGCAGACTTTGAATCGCAGAATATTATTCCTCCTCCAATATTTTTTAATGTGCTGGTTGCTAAATGTAATGCTGCTAGTTCTGCTTGTGTGGAGGTCAGCCAGTTGTTTAACCTGACACTGACAGACTTTGTGCAGATATTATTTCTATAAAACCTACATGCCGCTGCAGTCCGTCCAGTAGAAGACTGGACTGAGCCGTCGGTGTAGACACAGTGCTCGTGAGATCTTAGACTCTCGATGGAGGAGGCAATTGTTTCAAGAGTGATAGCTTTGAGTAGAGCAAGATTCTCATTATCTTTCTTGGTGACAGGTGTGTATGATACTTGAATGGTGGGGTACAGATAAAGAGGAATATCAGAGACTGGTAGATTGCACTTAAAAGGAATGTTAAGTTTAATGAGATTGTAAGCATTGTTTCTCAGCCAATTATCATAAAAGGAGTGAGTTGGTATGTCGGCACCAGTCAAAAGGGTGTTAACAGCACTAAATAATTTGTCTCTGAGCAATGCAGGAGATGTAGGATCTCTCATGACTTTAAGACAGAAGGTAGTGTTAACTTGCATTATTCTCTCTAGTATGGTTGGAAACTTCAGTTCTTCCCTCATGTTGATGATTCTTGTGCATCTTGGGGCACCAAGAATTATCCTCATGGCCTCGTTCTGTATTACTTCAAGTTTGTCCAACACAGAGGAGGGGAAATTAATTAAGTGCAGAGCATTATAATCAACGAGAGATCTAACAAACATCATATAGAATAGTCTAGCATATTTAATATTGATACCAATATTCTTACCAGTAAGTGTTCTCAATGGTTTTAGTCTTTCTTTTAACCTACGGTGTAGATCATTTACAATGTCACTGTTAATACCAACTCCAAGGTATTTGTGCTGCCCACACGTTTCAATGTTCTGGCTGTTGACTTTGAAAGCTATAGGGACATGAGTTTTCTCTTTGGGATGGAGAACTCTGGATTTAGTTATAGAGATAACAAGACCACATTCAATGCTTTTAGCAGCGAATGAATCAAGTAGAGCTTGCAGTCTAGTTTGGGAATTTGCAACAATGCATATATCATCGGCATAACAAATGACGGCTTCGTCAGGTAGTGTGGGAATATCAATTGTTAATTTGTGCATCAGAACATTGAACAGTGTGGGACTTAGCACTCCACCCTGGGGTGTACCCTGGGGTCTAAGAGTTCCAATATCTCAGTCAATGAAAGTCTACGGGTCGCGCCAGCCACGTTTCACTATCTCCAAGTACTTCGCCCGCCCGGCCCTTCAGGCTCTTAGTGTTATTCTTCGTATTAGGAGATAAATCAGTGTTTTCTATTTTCAGATAATACAACAACTTTGTCTCCATAGGTAATAAATCAAGGTCTAAATCAATAACCGTAAAATACAGTAAATAATAATAATGATGATATGAATAATTATAATAATATTAAAACGATAGTAATTAATAATATTAATAATTATTATTATAAAAATTTAAAAAGTCATATTGGATTTCTTATTAAATAAAATTTGAACAGGATACTGTGTTGGTCGTATAACCTATTAACCGCTGGAAGGTCATTAAGGCCAACAAAGCGTTTAATGACCAACCAGCAAGTATACTCTTGCTCTGAACATAACCCAGGACTAAAGTAAACTCTTGGTGTATATACAGCAAGAACTGTATTAACCTAGTTGTGCTTGCGGGGGGTTGAGCTCTGGCTCTTTGGTCCCGCCTCTCAACTGTCAGTCAACTGGTGTACAGATGCCTGAGCCTACTGGGCATGCTGTGTACACACTCCGTATAAACATTTCTGTGTGAGGATGTAGGAAGATACTACGATAAAGTAGAGAAACTACAAGACTGTAAGGAGGGAATCAGCACCCATGGCCACTCACTCGGGGGAAAACTGTTAAAAAACAGGAAAAGTAGAGTAAGAAAAAGAACAAGTAACGAGGATAAAAAAATATATATAAATTCTAGAGTAACTCAGATGAATAAACTCAGGAGTAAAGTAAGGCTATATTTAACTCACGCAGTAAACTCAATTGAAGCGAGTGTAATAATGTTATTTAGTGTATGAGTAATTAAGACAGGAGGAAACAGTAAGAGTGAAGATGAGTGAATACAGAGTAGTACTGTGGCAACCGTAAGGTCCAGGTAGGACCAGCTGGTGCTTTAGGCACACTGATGGTGGGGGGCCCTTCCCTCGTCCTCCCGTCCATGCTGAAATGGGGATGGGAGTAACGGAAGGAAGGAGGAGCTTATTTTGTGCAAAATATTCGAGTCTTCACCTCACCGAATCATAACGGCAGTAATTTTTTCAGTGGTTTAATGTTTAACAAATCTATCTCTTAACAGTACTGCTCCTCCCTATCTCTTTCCTCCTCCGCCTCCTCAACTCCCTTTTACAATTTCATAAAAAATAATTCTCTACTATAAGCATTTTTTCCTGTTGAAAGCTAAGGCTTTAATAAACAGCCTTAACTGATCGCTAGCTTTTTAGCGATCAAAGAGAGGGGGGTCTCTGTTTACATTTAGATCTCCAGTACACGCCACTCACACACCCATTCCTGTCCGCCCACAGCTTGGAAATGGTGGACGCAGAAGATCCGAGTGTGGGCGTGCGACCATGGGCGGTGTGGAGACAGAGCGGCCACAAAGGACGACAGTGGCTTTCCGCTACAGTTCTTATTCCACCGCTGCCGTCTCTTGATAAGTATAAGGTAAGCCTGCAGGACCAGAGGGTAGAGATGTACGGGTATCTCTACGAGCTTTACTCTAAGGGTTTACCATAGCCCGTGCTACTTGGAACTTTTCGCTCCGAGTTGCTGAATCTAAAACTATAGAGATACTGTAGAGATGTTGGATAAAGGAGAAGGGGGACTGGACTTAGGAGGCCAAGATAGAAACATGAAAAGAAATTGATAACTCGGTGAACTGAGGTAAACAGAGTAAGGGAATGAGAGATCAGACGGTGTACGGTGGGAAGGGGGTCGGAGCGGAAATAAGGCTTTAGATGTGTATAATTCTAGGAATAAAGCAAGCATTGTAAGATCGACGACAAGCTCTTCCAAGAAATATGGAGATGTAAGGGAAAATGGAAACGGGAAAGTTGGAGGATATGAAGTAAGTGTTGATGAAGAATTGGCATATAACTCATTTAGTATCTATATGGAAAGATATTCTGCTGTGAAGAGCGAGACTTACATTCAAACTAATCGCAGCAATATTCCTGGATTGTAAGAGCTGTTACGAATGCTGGGAGTCGTAAAACACCTCAATACAAACATACGTTCAGATTTTCATCCCTTCGTATCCCCAGGGTACGTGGGTCCGCAAGTAATGAAGACCTATGTTTACGTAATCAAATAACTTGACATAACTCTGGTACCGACCCGCTTTTGAAAGTGTCTTTATCTATATAGCATATACAATCTTATATTAGATATATAGCATATACAGTCTTATATTAGATATATAGCATATACAGTCTTATAGTCTTTAGATATATTAGTCTTAATCCTGGATTAGAAGAGTTGGGCTAGACTACTGGACAATATCCTTGAGGATTCAATCCTACTCTGAGGTAGGAGTCGAGCGTGGCCAGCGAGTTGAGTCATTGACGACATGTTGGCTGAGAGAAATCTGAGGGAGGCGACTTGGCACGGCTGGCAAATAGAAATGATGGATGTGCGTGCAAAAAATTTATTTGGAGATTTTAAATTTGAGGAGAAAGGTGGAGGCTAGTTGAGGTTTTTCTTTGAATGGATTGAAGACGCTGAGGGAACCGTGTACTGTCCTTGACGTAGGGACGGAAGTGCACACATACTTAATGAACAAATCTACAAGGGTTCGAACCTTGTGGATTTGATCATTTGATGCATCATGCTATTGTGATTTCTGTGTGCACACATACCTACTCCAGCTCTGCCATTCTCTACTGTGATAGACCCAATATTGAAATTGATTTCATATATAACATTTTAAATGTATTTGACATTTTTTTATAATTTAATTAAACAATTTTCCTGGAGATGAACAGTCAGGAAATAATTTTAATGGATAAGTGTGCCCGTGTTTTGTTGTTTATATATTCCTTTATGTGGTATCCACATATGGCGGGAAACAATATATGTTCACCCTTCATGCTTGTTAATAGATGTTAATTTGATGTTGATAAGTTATTTAAATTGTTGAATGAAAGGAAAGTTTGAAAGCCTCAGTCGCGCGAAGACAGTAAGTACAAAAGTGGTCTGAGAGCAGCCCAACTTCTGACAAAGGTTTTAACTCGCTTCATATTCATGCGACTTAAGACCTCTTCACAGGTTTCCATAATTTATAAGATGACAAGTAATGTGCGGCCCTAAAGCCTTTCTTACTATCCATACCCATTTTTGGATTCATTTCATATAACCATGAATTTCATGCACTTTATTTTGTTAAAAAATTAATATTAAAACGTCAACATTCATATATTATTGTTTGACTCATAGAGCGCTCTAGTGCCTGTTGAATTGTTTATTCTTCATAATGCCTTTGCAATGCAAGTATCTTAATTTTTGCTAGATTTAAAACAAAAATTAGATCTTTGGAAGGTAACCAGTCACGCAGGTGTTGCCTCAAGGAGGCCATTAGTGTGTGTACCATCATCCCAAGCATCCACCACAACTTAAACATTTTACCCAATGATAATTAATAAGGGTTTTCGTCATCAATAGCAACAGATGGCAAGTTATAAACAATAATACACAACAAGACATCTAATGTGATACGTCTCATTGCCTTCTTCGTAAAACTAAAATATATACCATTACCTTCCTCGTATAACTAAGATATATCCCATTACCATCCTCGTATAACCAAGACAGTATGTGGAAACATAATTAACCAGAATTCTTATCAGATACATCAAAATAACTCCTGGACACTCAATGAACAAGACACCTGCTCCTAACTACGCAAACTGGATGGTTTCGCTTAGCCATTCACATATTAGAATTGCTTTATTATAGATAAAAGTAACTTCCTGTCCCTTTTAAACACATTGTGTGATATGAAGGTAATTTTATTTAATTTGTAACGTTTATGGTGCAATTCAGTAAAGCTAAATGAGCGCTGGCCCAGTGAGTGTTATGTTCATTGGTCATCACTACGTAACCCTTCTTCAGTGCCTGACCCGAAATTGTAATTATTATAATAAAACAGTCAAATTACCATTATAACACTGGTTTAACCCAGCGCTAGAGCCCTCATACCCATGTAGAGTTATCCACTGCTTCATTATATACAAAAGATCTTTGTCAGTGCTTGAAAAAACGCTCTGTTATGAGCTTCATATCTGTTTTCTCTTTCCAAATTTCCATGATTTATGCCATGAATTTTTCGCGTGATTGCGAGTCAAAATAATCCAATCTTTGAGCAGGTTAGGAGATGGGTCGGCCACATTCAAACATTCGCCTCACTTCAGAAATCTCAATATTGGCTGAACAATAATTCGAGTGTAATCCGGCACGTGTAACAAGACAATATTTGATGACAGTAAACAAAATCCAAAGTCATTGTAAATGAATATATTACCGGGCACGAATAACCACCAAAATTGCCACTTCCCAACAGGCTTACTAGCTAACATTATGTACAACAGGCTATCACTAGTAGATAAGTCAATCATTCATGTCGCTGTAACACAGAGGTCACGGCTTAGTATAAACCCAGTTTCCATCAAACATTTAGATTACGTTTATAGCTTTTGTTCGATGCCCGAACAGGAATTGTTAAATATGATGATACTCTGTGTGCTCAAATGTGCTCTGTAGCTCAATAAGAATCACATGGCATATCTATAGACGTAGGTTTTTGCTGCTTGCCAAACTTGCTGCGGTTAGGTGGTCATATTCACCACATGCTTACTTCAAATGATATGCTATAGTAGTGTATATGATGTACATATACTCATATTATTTATTACAAGGCTCATATTATTTATTAAGGAAGCAAAAATAACGAAAGACATATATGCCAGACATCATACTTTGCTCTTCTAACTTTGACCGTCTGCCACCAGCTGTCATTCCTGGTGTCACACGATGACCACGCCCACGACTCCCAGCAGTTCCACCTGTCGCAGCTGGCCTTCACCGTGGTTCACCCGCGAGCCCTCAACCACCTGGGTGAGTCCTTTACTTTGTATGGTTCCCTTGGAATCAGACACACTCACACTACATCTCACCCACACTCCTACTCAGTACCCCCACATTCCTTCGCAGTCTCCCACACTCCTCCACAATCTCCCACACTCCTTCTAAGTCTCCTACAGTTTACAGCAGACGTCTCTCTCGCTCCTCCTTAGTCTCCGGCTTACTGCATCCTCCTGTAGTCCTCACACGTGTACCCTCCTCAAAGGGACACATCAGCACCTCTACAAGGTCTATTTAAGGACTCATCAAGCACAATCTCGCACAAAAGCTGACTTAATTTATTTAATTTTCTCCAAGCGTGCTGTATAAAGAACCTATTACCCGAGTTGATTAATGAAGTTTTAATAAATTGCCTCTCTCTCTCTCTCTCTCTTTCTCTCTCTATCTATCTGTCTGTCTAAATATCTGTCTATCTATTTGTAAGTTTTCATTCCTAGCAACACTACGATTAACCCTCACACGATTGCACAGCATTGTGATGTAACACTTTTCCACAGATGGTAACATTTTTAGAACAACGACACGATTGCATTCAGAAATCTGGCCTGAAACAGCCGTCACCAATCATGCCAACGGAGGTGGCAGCTGCCAAACAAATGTTGTTCCGATAACGCACTAATGTAGTTCGCACTTGATGGCCCGACCTGTACCCTGCATATCTCAGCCTCCACTTATACTTTCCTCCCTGCACCCTCAGGTCAAGAGCTGCTGGAGTGTGAGTTCGAGGACAGCCTATGCGGATGGTCGCAGCTGAGCACTGAGGGCGGGTACTCGTGGGTGTTCGCCAGGGCCTCGCCGCACACCCGCCGCACCGGTCCCATCACTGGTACTGCTTCATACTCTACTTCTACTTCTTCTTCTTCTACTTCTACTTCTACTTCCTCTTCTTCTCCCCCCCCCCTCTCTCTCTCTCTCTCTCTCTCTCTCTCTCTCTCTCTCTCTCTCTCTCTCTCAATACGAATACATGTCCGAACTTGTTGGCTGGATTCTGATATTTATTTTTTTCTGTAAATATCGTGCCAGTTCGGATATAAGTGTTTGCTTTCTTTTCATTTATTCTTATATCATAATGATAATATCAGCGCCTCTGTACACTCTTTTCTTGATCTCTGCGTCCGTCAGTTGTTTTGTCTTGGTACCCGTCTGTGTGTCTGTCTGAGAGCTTGTGACGCACACTGGTGTCCCCCCACGTAGTGAACGCTCCGTCATCGCCTCGGCTCTCTCCCTCTCAGGGTACCCAGATGTGGTGGGATCAGGCTTCATCTTCGCCGACTCTTTGCACGGTACTGAGGGAAGCATCGCCGATCTCCTGAGTCCACCGCTCCTGCTGCCGGAGGGACCCGACCCCGCTCTCTGCTTTAGGTGAGTGTTGAATATCTAGGTTCCATTCCTCTGCTTCAGGTGGGAGACAGTGCGTTAGATCCATTTCTGTGCATCAGGTTAGTGAATCTGAAGCACAGGATACGTCCCTTGTGCTTCAAGTGGACGTTAGTGAAGCAGAACTACTCCTTTATTTGTGGTGGGTGCTGGAGCGTCAGACCCATCCTGGGATTTGCTTCGAGTGAGTGTTTGTGGGTTAGCTCACGCCCTCTTGTTTAGGATGATGTTGCTTGATGCGACAACATCCTACTTTAAGTGGATGTTGGTGGACTGAATAGTCCTTCTGCTTCTCGTTGGCTTTTGGGGGATACGAAGCAAATTGTTTTTCGTTCTCCATAATTTCACCTTCCGAAGAAAACCAATGTTCGGCCTGAGTTTCCGTGCAAGCAGCATTCATACGTTTGATCGTTGGTCTTGCTCTGGTGCCCTAACTATTGGTTGTTGACACTAAGTTACCGTTAATAATACTTCAGCAGTCGACTGGTCTCGTGTGATCCAAGCGAGAGAAGACAAATTGGACGCTGAGCAGGTGTGCGCGCGTGTGTGTGTGTGTGCTTGTGTAGGAAGCCAGAGATTAAATGAAGCTCCTCTGTCCCGATAGTTTGTCTTGTTAGGTTGCTGGGATGCATCCGTCGACATGAGTCTTATATGGATATACACGACACAACATTGTGTCGATGCGAGGTAGGCCAGATTGTGCAGCACCACTCTCACTCCTGCAGCACATTTATTTATTTATTTATTTTTGCTACTTAATTTTTTAATTTTGAACTTAATTTTGATCACCTAATATTTGCTACTTTATTTGTTGCTCTTATTAGTTTTTTGGGGGGATATCTGCATATGATATCAAGCTTTTTACTCTTCGTGTCCTTCATCATTCCAACATCACCTTTCATATCACTGCGTGTCTGTCATTTGGCTGTTTTCCTCCATCTTACACATTTCTGTTTAAAACCCCTTCACTGGTTCATCTTCAAGCTACTACCCACTATCCGAGTTCTTGTAATTACATTTCTAGATACACACACTTTTTCTTAATCATCAAATGCAAACATGCGCTGTTCTTCGAAGAGGGAAGGTAGTTGGGCTTCATACATGTATCCATGTCACCTCTACACGCTTCATCCCGTCTCATATACACATGTTGCAGGTTTGCTGTGTTCCTGTTCGGCGCTGACGTGGCCAAGGTGTCGGTGCACGTCCTGCAGATGCTGGGCGACGCCACGCACACTGCCGAGATCTTCCACGCAGTGGGCGGTAAGGGGCTGAGCTGGATGCCCGTGGGCGTGACTGTGGGCCGCGAGGACGTGGCTGAAGTAGGGGTGCCACTAGTACTGGCCGTCAGGGCCACTCGAGGCCCGGGCACCGAGGCTGATATCGCCCTCGACCACGTCGCCGTCCTGTCTGGTGCCTGTCATCTCCAACCGGTGTTGGACGCTAATGTCACCCTGAACGCCACACTCTCACACGCCGACGCCTCGGCTCTCTCCGCTGGGGCTGCTGTAACGCCCCTAGCCCCACCCTCACAAATACAGGACCAGTCCGAGCCCTCCGCCCCAGCTCATGACCCGTGTGGGGCCCTCACAGCGTGTATGGCGTGTGTGGCTCAGGAGACAGAGGAGGGCTTAGAGGGAGAGTTGGGGTGGTGCACGTGGTGTGACCTGACCCAGGCCTGTCTCTCCAGGAAGAATCCCGCCGCGGCCGCCTGTCCTGATCATCTCACCGTCCACCACAATACCACGGTCATGCCCACTCCTATTGCCAATTGTTTTATCTGTTTATTGTAGTTATAGGTAGAGAGCTATGCTCATACTGCCGCAGCTCTATTGTGACAGTGTTTGTCACATATTTTATTATGGAGATTACAAACATGCTATCTAGTCCTGTTTATTTCTGGGTTTAGTACTTTTTCCAGTTAGTTTTTCTTTTACCAATTTGGACACTTTTTCACTGTATTTACTTCCCTTAACAGTACTTACCTAGCAGAGTTTGTAAGACCAAGTTTCAGCTTCTAAACCGTGCTTTTACAAGTCTCGAATGTCTAATGTAATGGTTCTTGTTCCCTTTATTTCTTGTTCTATCTGCTTGTAAAACTATGGTTGGAATGTTTATGTTGCTGAAGGCTGTTCTGATGATCTTCACGTTATTATATGCTGCTAATGTCTGCCTCTCGATATAATTTCGGTATTATTTCTTCTCCAAAATATTTATCTTGCACTTCCTAAATCTTGTACCCAGTCTTTTTACTTTGCATCTGTGGAGATTGCAGTGCAGTTGCCAGTTTAGTTCTTGCCTAAATCTTATCAAAATCTTTCCTGACTTTGTTGATCAACTTGGTATTGTCAGCAGACATTGATACAAAAACAGACCAGTTCATCAGCTGTCATTTATGTAGTCAAGGAATGCCATGGATGACAGCACTGACATTGTGCAACTTCACATATGACAATCTTCCATTCCAATAGTTTACTGTTATTCCATCTTTCCTTCTTGCGTAATTCTTCGTCCAGTTAAGCACTATATCATTTTCTCTAGCCTGGTTTTCTAATTTGTACAGAAACTTCAAATGACAGTTTCAAATGATCTGTGACGATCTAATAATACGCAGTGTGAACACCCTTAATTTTTTTATCTGATCTCAGCCACTCTATTTTTAAACTTTTAATGGGTTTGTCAGACATGACATTCCTTCTCTGAACTCATATTGGTGATTTTATATGAAGTTAATGTTCTCTAGGTACTCCATTATTTTCTTTGATAGTATTCTTTCTGGCACTTTTCAGAGCACGTTTATTAAATACAGTAGAATAGTTTAGTGGTTCCTATATGTTTCCTTCCTTGTGTGTTGTCATGACATGTGCTTCTCCCAGCTCTTTGGTATCAGCCCATTTCCAGTGATGTGCTGGAGATCATCATAAGCCCAGTATTTGACCAGTTTGGAGGAAGTTGTTCCATAGGTGTGGAGATTTGTGAGATGGTTAATAGGAGTCTCAGAGGATTCTTTGGTGAGGGGTGGGGGAGTCATGGGATAGGGGGACAAGGAGGGTATGAGGTGAGGGGGGAACAGGGAGGATATAGAGTGAGGGGGAGGTGGGAAAGGGAGGGTATAGGATGAGAGGGGGAGGGGGACAGGGAGGGTATGGGGTGAAGAGGGAGGGAGAGTTCAATGAGTATTTGAATGGAAACAGAAGGGTTCAGGGTATGTGTGTGTGTGTGAGTAAGAAATTACCTAAATATAATTACAGGATGAGAGCTACATTCGTGGCGTCCTGTCTTCCCAGTAATCTTTGCCTCGCGACACTTTCGAAATACTGACGGTCTTGGCATCCACAACCTTCCCACTTGTTCCAACCTCCTGCAACTCTGTTCGAAAAAAAATCGTATATAATTTCGATACCTTTATTTTCTTAGGTTGGTTCTATGACCACCTGAAGTTCTTGAAGTTGCAGGTTTCCAAAATTCTTTTTTCTATTTTGTCGATTCCTGTTAATATTTTATATGTAGTGATCATATCGCTTTTCCCACCTATTTTGTAGCCTTGACATGTATAACGCCCCAGCCTCTCTTCATAGCTCATGCTCTCAAGTTAAGGGAGCCATTTAGTAGCATGTCTATGCACTAAGACAACTCTTTCTTATCCCTTCATTGTCACAGAAGCTATGAGCCACGTATATACAATGTAGCTATTGCTAGGAGACACGTTAGGTGGTATTCCAATACCACCTACTCGCAATACGAAATCTTATTTCAATATGAAATCTTCTTAGCTTAGCTATTGTCTTAGCAATATGAAATCGCAGCATTTTTATTGTCCAGCAGTCTGAAATACCAGTACATTAAGGTCTACCAAAGAGACTTTCCAGCAACTTTACTGTCTGTCAACCAACAGTTACAACCACCTCAACTTTCTCCACCAATCCAACATTCTAGCACTTCTACTCATCATTAACCTTTCATTCTAGATCCACTACTCTCTCAACCTGACGTCCAGCACCTGGCACAGTTGCTATGTTGCGTTTCCCATAAACACGTAACAAAGAAAACTCTGAAAGGTAAAGCACTTGTCCGTGATATTTTCGATCCTAATGTGCTCCCTCTTGCCATGCCTGCAGAAGTCGCAGCAGCGTCGGGGTCCTGGGTGGTGTCCTCAGCTGGCGGCGCGACAGGAGAGACAGGTCTTAGTGAGCGCTGGTTCCTCCCCCGTCCTCAGCTTCCCCGTCCACAACATCCAGGTCGGTGTATAACCATGTATATAATATCATTCTGCTCCCGCAGAAGAGAGAGTTAGATGCTTCTAACTCTCAGCATCTAGGAACGTTGCATGATTATCTTTCCTCGAGTCAAAATACATTCTCAGATCATTAAGTACACATCATAAATATCACTTTCAATGTCTCCCATGAAAATGAACTCCTTTTCTCTCTCTCTTGACAAATCCAGCCGTCACAGACGGACAGTGGCTGGATTTGTGTCTTCGAGCCTGTAGAGGAGGATGCTGGAGAGAGCCAGGAAACCGGCACAGAGGAGACAAGAGGAGGAAGTGTGGAAGAAGAGAAAAGAGAGAAGCAAAAGAGGGAGGAAGTGGAGGACGAGGAAGAGATCAAGGAAGCAATAGAGAAACGAATTAAAACAGATGAGGAGTTCGACTTCAAAAAGAAAAAAGCGGAAATGAAGCGAATGAAGAAGGGATGGAAGTTGACACGAGAGGGAAGCCTTCGGTTACCTGGCCAGTTTCAGGTAAATCTTGCAACAATCCTCCCAAGTTATGTTTACTCCCGGACACCAGGTTCTCTAGAATCCAGGGTCCCTCCCGCATCTGTAATTACCCTGAACTTGGCCTTGTCCTGGGGCTTGTTTTTTTCTGATTTATTCTTTGTTTTTCAAATAATTTTTTTCCTCCAGGAATCATGGCTGGTTTTAATATGTGTTCTTTAAACTTAAGTTCTTGGCATACACGATACTTAGTTGTGTATATTAGGATGTATTTCAGGAGCATTGATGGTGCTGTTAGTATTTGTAGACAGCACGTCTGCATCGAATAATGGGGGTACACCTCTCGGAGGGTATCTCTTGAGGAGGTGGGGTACGATGCTTGACCTTCAGAGGGGAGTAAAATGGTGCTTGCAGTATATGAGTTTAGTAAGAAGTATGAAAAGGGAGTTGCTTGATCACGGGATAAAGAATGTCTCCGGAAGTTCATCTTTGTATCCGACAGAGATGAAAAACTTCAAATTCAAAATAGAAATTCATTTACTAAGAGTTACGGTTAAGATCTTGGTAAAGATGCTAATAAGATGCTGCTCAGAGATAAAGAAATTTGTGGGAGTTGACTCTCACATGTTTTTGAGTTGACTGGTGATTATATATATTAACGAATAGACTGGTGTGAGCGTCAAGAGGTAAGAAAAATCATAAATTATGCAGGTTTATGCATCCTGTGTACCATTCAGTCTGTGTCTCTAGGGTCGAGTGTTCGACATGGGCGGCGGTGTAGGGACGGGCGTGAGTGTGTCTACCGGCGTGGGCGTGGGAGCCATCAGATGCGGGGATGGTTTGACGGAGCTGCGGCCCGCTCCTGCCCGCCCCTATGCCCACTACACTGTCAAGATCCTCACTCCCGCAGGCGCCCTGCTCGACAATCCTGGAGACGTGAGACGTAAGTACCTGCTCGCAGTGTCTCCACCTCGCCTTACTCATGCTACTGCCCTTCATCTTTCTCCTCCGTCTGTACTCCTTTTCCTTTAATTTTTCCTCCTCTTGTTGGCTCTCTCTTCACCATCCTCCTGCTGATGTGTGTCCCTTACAACAATCACTCTCCTATTAAACTCCCTCATGTTCGTAGTACTGCCTCTCTGCCTCTCTCCTATCCCACTCATCTTCCTCTTTCAGATACCTTTCTCTCGCTCCTTCCCTTTCTATCTGCTGGCGCTTTCCTCTTGCGCCAGCAGGTGGAAACTGAGGGAGCTTCCCTCCAGCCCCGCCTCCCTCACTTTGCTTGTGCTGGTCCCTTCCTTTCTACCTCCCTCATCTTCCTCATGTTGTGCCGCCCTTTCCCCTCTCATCTCTCCCCAGCTCGTGCCTTCCTCTTCCTGCTACTGGTACTCTCTTCCCACCTATCTTCTTTCCTGCTGTTGCCTATCTCTCTCCTGTCTTTCCATGTCAACACCATTAACCCTCACCTATCAGTTATCATGCACCCATCCATACAGTAATTCTCTCTCTCTCTGACTGACAGTGGTAGTGTACGGGTGTGACCTCCTGGGTTCTTCCTGCCCCACCTGCGTCGCCGTCAACGCTACACTCTCCTGCGGTTGGTGCCTGGCCACTCGCACCTGCACGACTCATGCCCATTGTATAGGGACCTCATGGTTCGGCCCGGGAAGGACCTGTGATTCAGAGGAATACCTGAAGAGCCTCGCAGAGCCCCTGGGAGAACCGCAGATAGGTCTCGGGGAACCGATGGAACCGCTGGAGGACGAAATGGATCACAAGTCCCATAAAAACGATTTGAGTAAGTTCGGCTCTTGTGGGCGAATCAGACACCGTTCAAAGAATAGAGGGCCACACACGGTATCAGAGGATCAGTGAATAGTATAAGGGAAGGTGGGATGGGGGATGAAGGAAAAAATTGAGAGAATGTGGGGGATGACGGAAAGAATTGAGAGAATGTAAATGCCAGAAGGCAAGGAAGGGTGATGGTGAGGAAAGAAAAAGAGTAGTAAAAAAAGAGTATGGGATGAAGTGACGTAAGAGAGAGGGGGAAGGAATAAAATAATTAATAAAGAAAAGATGCCCAATAGAGAAAGTGATGCAAACAGTTGGTAGAAACCGTGCAAGCTCGTACTGAACCAGTTTAAATACCAGGAATGTGTGACTGGTAAAAGTGGAATCTGTACAAGTCACATTGAGAGTAGGGTTATGAGGCAGGAAAGGAAACCGACTTAAATAGTCCCGAGTTAGAAAAAGCAAAGTATCAATAAATGCAGCTAGAGGTCGGCATGAAAGAGTGCCAGTGTGCCAACCTTTAGCGACGGATGTCAAATAATAATATAATGTGAACGTGAAAAATTAGAGCAGACGAATAGACAATCTGAAAAGGATTCTTGGTTTTGGGAGAGTAGATAGAGCAAGGCCTGATGTAGAGTGCCAGTGTCGGTAAACAGCAAGTGTAAGGGTATGATTTAGAGCATATTGAACTAATGGCTGATAGTAAACTGGTAAATTTATAGGTAGAGGGATAGGAAGGCCAGGGAAAGGGATGGGTTAACATGAGTGTGCTAATTTCTGGCGGTGAGGATGAACAACATATTGGATAGGGTAAGTGTGGAAGGTGTTTGTGAGGAGGGAATAGATGTTTTAAAGTATTGTATAAACTTCGACCGGGTAGCAGGGTACACTATTAATAAAGTAGTGGAGCCCACCTGTAGGTCACTGAGATGATGCTAGTTGGTCCATGGTGCTATATTGTGTCACTGGTATAATGACTCGCCGAATTATACTGTTTTATTTGTCATATCTGTAACCTTTCACTGTATTCACCCTTTTTTTGGTTATCCAAGCCGATACCTCGCTGCTCCATGAAAGTGGGACACGGGGTCACAATGAAATATGAACAGTATTAGTCATGTTTGCATCTAGTTATGTATCCGGAAGCCTACGTGTTTGTGAGTGTGTATTTATTTAAAATGTGTATTTATTATTTGCGCTTGCACGCTTGAGCTGTTAGCTCTTGGTCCCCGCCTTTTTAACCGTCGACTGTTTAATGTACTGACTCCCGACCTAATTTTCTTTATCATGTCTACTACATATATAGCTCTCTAACACAAACATCCCCAGGATGCAGGCCGTAGCAGCTGTCTCTCAGGTACTTATTTGATGCCAGGGGGAACAGCGGCATCAGGTGAAAGAAACCTGGGCCAAACAGGTGACTGGCTAGTGTGCTAACCAATAGACTACCAGCAGATCATTTAAAGGACTGGAAATGGACAAATGGACAAAAGGACACCTGAAATATACAGTATATTATATATATATATATATATATATATATATATATATATATATATATATATATATATATATATATATATATATATATATATATATAAATAGTGTTAGGACGTGAGTACATAGTACACATACCATGCCTTTATACAACAGGCTTCGATAACATGGACAATTTCCTGGAGAGCTCCGATCAGGCTCACGAGGTCGAGGTCCTCGGTGGAAGAGACGACGAGGACGAGGAGGAAGGTGAGGAGGAAGACATGACATCGGTGGTGGAGAGGAGAGCGGGCAAAGAAGGTAGGAGGCACGGCAGGAAGAAGGGACCCAAGATCAAGAAGCCCGAGGGAGGACCAGACACTATAGCAGACGACGCCACCGTCCTCACCGCGCTTGAGCCCAACGACAATAGTGTTATCGACGCCAGCGTCAAGAAGACTGGTGAGTGACTGGGAGGAAATGAACAGTTTGGGCAGAATGAGGAACAGTTTGGGCAGAATGAGGAACCGTTTGGGCAGAATGAGGAACAGTTTGGACAGAATGAGGAACAGTTTGGGCAGAACGAGGAACAGTTTGGGCAGAATGAGGAACCGTTTGGGCAGAATGAGGAACAGTTTGGGGAGAATAAGGGGAGAATAAGAAACAGTTTGGGCAGAATGAGGAATAGTTTGGGCAGAATGAGGAACAGTTTGGGCAGAATAAGGAACAGTTTGGACAGAATGAGGAACAGTTTGGACAGAATGAGGAACAGTTTGGGCAGAATGAGGAACAGTTTGGGCAGAATGAGGAACAGTTTGGGCAGAATGAGGAACAGTTTGGGCAGAACGAGGAACAGTTTGGGCAGAATGAGGAACAGTTTGGGCAGAACGAGGAACAGTTTGGGCAGAATGAGGAACAGTTTGGGCAGAATAAGGGGAGAATAAGTAACAGTTTGGGCAGATTGTTGTTGTTTAAGATTCGCTGCTTGGAGCAAAAAGTTCCAAGTAGCACGGGCTATGGTGAGTCCGTTGTGGACTTCCCCGGCACAGGAGCGGGGCTGTAACTTGTTTCTTTGGCCAGATGATGTTGTTGTTTTAGATTTAGCTACTCAGAACGAAGTGTCCATGTAGCACGGGCTATGGTGAGCCCGTAATTTTATTTTTGGGGGGAGAGAAAAGTGTGGTGAATTTACAAGACCAACACAACGAAGAAATAATGCGAGCGGAGTGAAGTAGACAGAAATGAGGAGATAGAATAAAATACAGTACTATAGCTGAGGTGAAGAGAACAAAGGTGAGAAAAGGGAGTGAGCAAGACAGCAAAGAAGGGAGAGAACAAAGTAATGAGCAAAGCAGCAGACAAGGGAGGAATGGAAAGGTGATGGGGAAGGGGGGGCGACAGAGGTGTGGGTGAGGGGGAAGCTTCAATATCTATATTGAGAGACAGGTTCCAGATTTAACATGGACGCTGATGAAGGTCGAGGAAGAGGAGGGAGGGGGAGAGGTTGCCGCCAAGGAGAAGCGAGCCATGCTAATTAGCCCCCAGTTAACAACATATAACCACCCTACCCCTCTTCCCTGGTGTTGGGGGAGGGTATGTGAGGAGGGGAAGGGACAAAGGAGGGGAATCCACCTGTCCCATTAATCTATATATCGTGTTAGGTGGGGATATATTATGTGAGGTCCTCGGGGGGGGGGGGAGATTGTAGGGAAGTCAATGTCTTCCATAACACACACACACACACACACACACACACACACACACACACACACACACACACACATATTTATATGCATAAATACACATAACACTTTGATTTCAAGTTATGCCTCTGCGCACCCAAGTGGTGACGCGTATACATAAATAAATAAATAATATATATATATATATATATATATATATATATATATATATATATATATATATATATATATATATATATAATATAATATAATGTGTGTATGTGTGTTTGTGTCTCGCAGGACATCTGGGGGGCAAGAAGAAGGCCGGGAAGCGCACAGTGAAGGGCAAGATGAAGGTCACCAACCGCGGTCGCTCCTTCCTGCGTCTGCCCCAACACCCGGGGCTCTTCGTGGCCAGGTGAGCCCTCATATATATATATATATATATATATATATATATATATATATATATATATATATATATATATATATATATATATATATATATATATATATATATATATATATATATATATATATATACCCCCAGCACAGTCATATATATATCCTCCAGCACAGTCATATATACCCCCAGCGTAGTCAGCTATACTCTCTTCTTCAACTGTATCAAGTCATAGCCTTCAATTATAAGCCGTTCATTCCTTCTGAAGATTTTCAGGTTGTCTGTTACCCAGGATATAGAGAGAGAGATATATTATTATTATTATTACTAAGACAGTTCGCCGACTGATTTTAAGCCCATCCTAATGTAACTTAACCCCAGTCAACCTAATCTAACCGAGCCTAACTCGGCTTAATCTAAGCTGATACATCCTAATCTAATGACACATATGATCTGAAAATCAGAAAATGAGCTTCGTCAGGTCTTGTGTAAGATATAACCACTCCTGTGTTTCTCACGCGCCTGCCTCCTCCTCTAGGGATGCCTGGCGGCTCCACACTGGGCGCCAGTACTACATCCCCGTCAATAAGAAGACCCTCATCAATCTGGGCTTCGTCAGGCAGGTCAGTAGAGGTCATGATGGGTCACTAGGGATCAGGACAGGTCATTAGGAGTCAGGGAAGGTCACTGGAGGTCAGGACATGTCACTAAGGGTCTAAACAGGTCACTATGGGTTGGAACAAATCACTAGGGGTCAGGACATGTCACTAGGGGTCAGAACATGTCACTAGGGGTCAGGACAGTTCATTAGGGGTCAGGACAGGTCACTAGGGGGTCGGGCCAGGTCACTAGGGGGTCAAGATATGTCAGGACAGGTCAGTGAGGTACATCCAGGTACATGTTCCAGACCCAGTAAATGCCACCCCAGTTCGCCATCATGGGCCTAGACATGCCAACACCTCAAAACACGAGATTATTCACACTTAATTTAGAAGAAAATACAAAAATGTTAATAACAATTATAAAGCATTATACATTATATATGTCATCAGTATAGCATTCTTAGAACGACCATTCCATAGGCGTTCTCAGTTCTAGTAAGTAGAACAATGATTGTAATCACTTCTCTAGATCAGCTTTGATCAGATGTTCTTGCAGTTATAAAATAGCTTCTTTCATATGCTCCTTTTTTATTAGCAAGTTTTCTTTTCAATCATTTTTACCTTAATATTCATTTATATCTATAGAACTGAATGCCTGCTGTGCGGCTAGCCTCACGAAACTTTGCATTGTGACTAGTCTGGGTTACGGGCAGAACACAGGGTGACCGGGAGTCAAGCTCCATGTTTCCCACTTGCATTGTCAAATTTCTCAAATTTCCAATATAACTGAATATTTCTTTGTTTCTCTGAATAGTTTCTTTGTTATTGCTTTATAACTCGCGACTCTCAGGTCTGAGGCTAGTGTGGTATAAGTGGGCGAGTTGTGAATAATTAGGAATGGTGTGTTTTGCTGTCTGTGCCCTCGGAGAGAAATAGCTTGATCTCCACGCTTGAGAGAGAGAGAGCTTGGTCTCCACGCTTGAGAGAGAGAGAGCTTGGTCTCCACGCTTGAGAGAGAGAGAGCTTGGTCTCCACGCTTGAGAGAGAGAGAGCTTGGTCTCCACGCTTGAGAGAGAGAGAGCTTGGTCTCCACGCTTGAGAGAGAGAGAGCTTGGTCTCCACGCTTGAGAGAGAGAGAGCTTGGTCTCCACGCTTGAGAGAGAGAGAGCTTGGTCTCCACAACATAGCTATTGTATGTGGTGTATTAATACCTGTTATCGTAAGTACAAGCTGCCGTTCTTATTCTTGAGTCAGGGAAGCAGGGAATAGAGGTGGCTTCCACGACCTCTGCTCCCTGCTCAGTCATACTGGCTTACCACCCGCAATGCTTATTACAACTTCCTCGCATCTCCCTCGTTTATTCGTGTTGACAACTTCCCTTACCCCCTCCCGCCTGGTTCCCCACGTTCTGTTGGAGCTTATCTATAAGGAAGAGTGTGACGCTGTGTGTTGTGTTGGACAGGTGACGTACGGCAGCCTGGCGGAGGAGAAGACCCGCACCGTCCTCATCAACGGGGCCTGGAAGAAAGCAGCAGGTGAGGCACGAAGGGTCTCTCGGAAGGGCCCCGGTAACAGTCAACTCTCAACAATTATGTCGCCCAAGTTGGCTAAGATTCCTACTCCCATTTTTCCTGTAATGTGATAATGAAATTATTATTTTGTATGGGAAAAAATTTGTCCGTTGGTCTGATCTTCAATCACACACACACATATACTATTCAACACCACATATCTCTGCAGACGATGAGTTACAATAACGTGACTGAAGATATAGTGACCAAATTACGCATCAGAAAAATGAAGAAACGACGATGTTTCGGTCCGTCCTGGACTTGATAACAGTCCAGGACGGACCGAAACGTCGTCGTTTCTTTATTTTCTGATGTGTGGTTTGGTCATCAAATTCTCTCTCTCTCTCTCTCTCTCTCTCTCTCTCTCTCTCTCTCTCTCTCTCTCTCTCTCTCTCTCTCTCTCTCTCTCTCTCTCTCTCTCTCTCTCTCTCTCACTTTATCTCTGTTTTTATATCTTCTCTCTCACCATACCCGGTCATATGAAGAGCCTCCAACTGCCTCCACAGGGTACTTCGTAGACCTGTTCGAGAAGGTGGACCAGGACCCCGTCACCTCCATCATAACCACCAGCAGGGGCGTCTTCGAGCAGTTGTTGGCTCAACTCATTCCCGAGCAGTAATTCAGCCTCCCACTCAACACACCCACCTTACTCAGCTTCATAAGCACTCACCTCCACCATCCCTCCCATAGTGTCACTACCCAGCACCTCCACCACCGTATGCACCTCGCATGCTTCTAATCCTCTGGAGGCATTGTCACCTGCATAATTAGTTAAAGTTCTTGTATCAACACAGGTTATGTTAGTGTTGACGTCAGTAGCTGTTACAATATTCTGGTCAGGTTTAGTACAAACATTTGTTTCATGCAGACGAGGAGTCACAATAACGTGGCTGAAATATGTTGACCAGACCACACGCTAGAAAGTGAAGGGACGACGACGTTTCGGTCCGTTCTGGACCATTCTCAAGTCGTTTCATACACGAGGTGGATATCTTTAGTTAACATTATTTAACATTTAGTTTTGTACATTCAAGTTGAGCATAATATTTGTTATCAGTCAACCATCAGATCTTCATATAATGCTTTGAAATGCTAAGAACGTTCCTCGCAGTTCAAAAAGTCTGCAATTATTTGTAGGATAATTTCAGTAGTGAACATGCAGCATAAGGAATTTAACGAGTCACAACGTTAAATATATTCATAAGAAATATTAATTCAGATAAAAAAAATAGATATTGTGGTTTGGTATGATATTACGTTTTTGAACCTTACCTTGAGGTGATTTCGGGGCTCAGCGACCCCGCGGTCCGGTCGTCGACCAGGCCTCCTTATGTGTTGAAGCTTGCATTTGCAGCCGCTCTGTAGCTATGGTGTCCTAACTCAGGAGGAAGCAGTAGTCTTAATTTATAAACAATATATATTATATTTATATATAAATAGATATATCAAAATATATAACAAAATTATGCATTACTAACAGTTTCTTCGTTGTATTAGTTTAGAGATGTAGTATAATATGTCAGTATCACTTACAACTTAGGTAAACATGTCTATTTACACTCCATAGTATTTTTTATAAAACCAGTCAGTAAACCGCTTTGTTAATCAATAAAGCATAATAAAAACATTGTTCTTTTCTTATACCAATATAACGGTCTGTAAAAAAAAACTAATGTATTAAAATAATGGAGCATTAAGAAAGAGTTTTCTAACAGCATCTACAACACAAGTTAACAGACCAATTCATTAACATACTTAAAGTAGCTCACAATAAGGTAACAAATCTTCCTCGAGGGGATTTGATAAGATAAATATTAGTGTAAATAGTTACAAGTGTTGCAGCAGTACTCACAAGCCATCTGTATAACCTGAGCACTTGGGTCTGGTCTCCCAGTCACGACCCTGCAGTCTGGAGAGTCACAACATAGATAAGGACTCGGGGTACCTGCCAGCACGTCTCACACCTCAACAGGAAGAGATTTCGAAGATGTGTCTGGATTCACTGAGTCTTATCGACGCTGATTCAACGTTATCGACGTTGAGTCAGCGTTGCCGACGTTTATCAATGTTATAGAAGTTGAATCGACGTTTTTGATGTTGATTAAAACGTGGAAAACAGCTGACAAATCAGATGAATCACTCTATGCACAATCAAACCCACCTTTCAGACCTCATATGATTCGATAGTTGTTAAAGCCATAGCCAATCCTACTTAAGGTGAAGGATAAGTGTTCACCCTTACTTCTCTTACAGCTCGATACAATCACACTTCACCAGGGCAAGTTACGCGACGCTCACTGGAACACTCTGGCCTCCAGCCTCGGACACACAGATATTTTCTTGTATATAAACTGATTGGCTAAGTCAACATAATATTAATTTAGAAGGATAAGTTGGTAATTAATTTTTGTTAATTTATACCGTCTTAGAAAGCGTGATCCTGAAACATTGTATTACACAAAATTGAGAACGTGATAACTGGTACCTTGGGTAGAACTACCACTGGGATCCTTGTAGCACTCAGGTGAACTACCACCAAGACTTGCAGCATTCAGGTGAACTAAGATATCTGCTCAGGTGAACTCAGGTTAACTACCATTACGATACCTGTAACACTCAGGGAAGGACAGGAGTGTCGACTGGCACACACACACACACACACACACACACACACACACCAGTCAGGTTTCAGGTGGAGGTGGGTAACTGCACGCCTGCCTGGCAATTTGACCTGTTTACCAGTGTGTCTTTACCCTGCCAGTCGTCGCTTGACGTGGCATGGGCCAACAGTGTGGACATGGGTCCTTCACTACTATCATTCGTCGGTTCAACACGGTTGAACTTCACTTTACGTGTAAACTGGACCGTGCCCTAATGAACCTTGCCCAGTTGTACGTGCTTCGTGTGAAGATTGATGATGCGGCTGGTGTCCAGGAGCTACGGGAATGGTGTTGATGTCTGGAATTTCCACGTCATTTGGTAAGTGTCTCCGCGAGTTTGAGAGGCGTGTGTTACCTCTGCCTGGCAGCACCGTCACAGTGCACGTTGAATATTTCGGCGTGCATGCGAGTCATATTGATACACGATTTCTGCATTGTAATGTCCGACTAGACTATGCCGGCGTTATTGGACGGCATGGCAGTGTTCGGTGCTCGTCAGTCCCACTTTTTATATGGGTAGTGCAATGGCATAGCAAATGGTGCCCGGACTGTGAGAGTTGTGCTCTTCAGAAACGTGCCTTCCTCGACCTCGGTGTTGGGCGTCAGACTTGGAGTGGTGCATAAGGCCCAGCCGCGCACTTTTACTGGTGGCCGGAGGTATAGTGCGGAAGGCGTGTGAAAATAACCTACCTGATGCAGAGAGTGTGCGTGGTCTAGTGGAGGCGCCGCCTCATGTAGGATCGGTTGCTGAACAGTTCCGTGTGAAGGATGTGGCCCCGAGAGGATCCACATATCGAGGATTCACCGCCCAGTGAAGGCGGGACCTTTGGGCCCAGTTGTTAGTTTGCTTGTTTCGGGATGTGTGGGAGACGATCTCGTTCCCTGTGAGGTAGTGGACGAGAGTGGCTGCGTGCGAGCGAGTGGTGTGTTGTTTGGTAAGGATCCCGTTACACACAGAAATCACAATAGCGTGATGCATCAAATGAACAAATCCACAAGGGTGATGCTCAGTCGATTAAGGCAGCGTCTGGGATGCTCTCGGACGTAGGTTCGAATCCTCGTCACGGCCCTTGTGGATTTGTTAAAGGACCCCGTCATTGAGGATGGTGGCGAGTGTCGTGTGGCTGGGTTCAGAGGCAGAACCCAGGAGCTGAAGGTAGAGCACTGAAGCACAGTTCTGCGAGTATAGGTTCGTGATTTTCACATATTACAACAGCATATATTCATAAAAAAATTAGGTCTCTTATAATTTTTTTACGAAAGTGCTTAAATTGGAAGTGGCGTTCAGATTACGTGGCTAAATTATGCATGGCTTGTAACTAGGTGAGAGAGATAAATTACCGGTAAATTTACATAGTCCAGAATTACCGTAGAGCGGTCACGGCTTTAACTAAAGTTTCATTAATCTAATGTCACTTACGACATACATTTTTATATTCAAAATTAGGTCGATGTTTCTAATAATTTTACATTATACGAGATGGTAATTAAACGTGAAGATATTACTGAGCAATTGGATGATTGCCGCACTCTTTCTGAACTTCTTTCTTGCTTCCATCCAAGAGGATTGATTGATTGATTGATTAAGATTAAGCCACTCAAAAGCCACCCGTATTATAATTACGGGCATGAATAGCCCGTAAGTGGTGGCCCTTTTGAGCCATTACCAGTATCATTAGCTGATGCTGGAGATCTGTGAAGGTGCGACTGCACCCTGCGGAGAGGTCGTGACCTCTTATCCAAGAGGATGAGCATATATATGCTCTTTGGGAGGGTGGGGAGGGACCTCCTTCAAGCCGCCGGCTTCCTGTCCTCGTCGAGACCACTAGTGTTAGTGGCCCTCGGGTAAATTCAGGTAAATAAACACTTGTTCGAAAAGTTGAGTAAGTGTATAACGATAAAGTTACCCCGTGGAGCCAGTAAAATTATTCATTAAGCACTTTATTCTCCCGAAATGAAGTGCCAAATACTTTCATGGAAAAATTATTTTTTATAATATCATTAGTATCATTACTTTCATGCTTTGAAAAAATATATACAATATCATGATTCAACATAATAATAAGCTTTAAAAGAATTTTCAGAAAGTTGTATTAATTGAAGAAAAGATTATTAACTAATAACTTTCCCTCTATGATGAGTTTAATAAAAAGCAATATAATAGGCTTCGTCAGCTTGACGTTATTTAAAAAGTTCCACATATTTTGTGTTTTCGAGTTTCCAGTAATGAACGGGTAAACGTAATTGAAATGTTGTTATAAAATTTTAGTTTAATACATGAGGATTGAATATTTAAATTTGAAAACAAAATAATGCATGTAAATATGTTAAGGGCTTGTCCTAAGTAATATTAATGTAACTGTCAAGTACAGTCGATAATTTCCTATCTCTGCCACATTATGAAAACACGAAACAATGTTTATAAATTGGATAAGTTTAGATTTAGGAAAGACTTGGGTAAATACTGGTTCGGTAACAGGGTTGTTAAATTTGTGGAACCAATTACCGCGTAACGTGGTGGAGGTGGGGTCCCTCGATTGTTTCAAGCGTGGGTTGGACATGTATATAAGTGAGATTGGGTGGTTATAAATACACAGGAGACATCTCCCGTCACGCAGGGTGCAGTTGCACCTCCACAGATCTCCAGCATCATCTAATGATACTGGTAATGGCTCAAAAGGGCCACCATTTACGGGGCTATTCATGCTCGTGCCACCTTTTGGGTGGCTTAATCTTCATCAATCAATCAATCGTTATAAATTGGAGCTGCCTCGTATAAGGCCAATAGGCCTTCTGCCGTTACCTTTGTTCTTATGAATGGTGATGTTGTTTCAACATCACCATTCGTGCAGTCATCGGGAGGAAAAACTTTCATGCAAACTGCACGTATCACGAAAAAGAATAGCGCCTGGTCTTGTTCATGATGTTGCAGCTGATGTCAGTTGAACTATGAAAGCTAAACAGCGACGAGTGTAGCCCACGCGGCTTTCCCCATTAACCCATATTGCTTTAGGCTGCTGTAGCAATTGGCGTATTAAGCGGGCCGTGTGAAGCCGTATTTCCATATCATTTGTACCGAGATGGTTGCTGATGGAGCCTTTGTATCGAGCTGATCCCGGATTCACGAAGCAGTTACACACGCACTTACGAACCTGTACATCTTTCCTCAATCTTTGGCGGCTTTGGTTACAATTATTAAACAGTTAACGCGCTCGGAAGCACCAGGAGGCTGTTTATAACAATAACACTTGATTGGGAAGTTTTCATGCTTGTAAACTGTTTAATAAATGTGACCAAAGCCGTCAAAGATTGAGGAAAGGTGTACACGTTCGTAAGTATTTGCGTAACTGCTTCGTGAATCTGGCCGCTGATCTGTGGCACCAGGGGGGTGGGGGGGGGTCCTCACACGGTAATGCCATCCCGCTGATGTTCGACTCCTGCAACTCTCAACACCAGAATCCAGAGCAATACCAGTAATGTGTTCAGTGTGAAGACCATTAAAGGCCGCTCGTTAAGTGTTAAATGCTCCTCGTTAAATGGTGTAGGTCTGGGTGACCTAGACGAGGTGCCACGCAAGCTGCATAATCTCTACTAGTTGACCAGACCACACACTAGAAGGTGAAGGGACGACGACGTTTCGGTCCGTCCTGGACCATTCTCAAGTCGATTGTCGAGAATGGTCCAGGACGGACCGAAATGTCGTCGTCCCTTCACCTTCTAGTGTGTGGTCTGGTCAACTTACTTCAGCCACGTTATTGTGACTCATCGCCTGCATAATCTCTAGTATGTTAGACATGACATTCTGCGACCAGTGATGCGCAAATTATACACTTTTCTATTTTAATTATATCATTTTGGCAATTTTGTGATTTTATAATTGTCTTTCTGTAAAGTGCGTGTTCTAGCTCATGCTGGTACTGCATTTAACATTTAATTGTTACAAGTCGCATAGCATTATATGAGTCCGTTTTGTCAATTTTCTTTATTTACTCTTTTTGTTTTTATTTTTTAGTCTTAAAATGTTATTTTTCTGTTTGGCATGTATCATCTTGGCCGCTTCTCAGACAAGTTGTCAGACAGGTAAATGAATTTCCATTACGCAGCGAGCATCTTCCCGCCATCAGCCATCCTTCACAACAATATTAACAGTGAACACATCCACAAGGGCCGTGACGAGGATTCGAACCTATTCAGGGACCATCACGCTGATCTGATCCTACGTCTTCGGGATCTCTGACGTAGGTTCGAATCCTCGTCACGGCCCTTGTGGATTTGTGCATTTGATACATCACGCTATTGTGATTTCTGTGTATAATATTAGCAGTGTATCAGCAACCTGGCCTTGGAGTTGCCACAACGGACAGTAAAGAAGGTTCTAAAACACCCAAACGGGACCTAATAGAGTGACCCACTCGTAGAAAACGTGAATGTTTGTGAGCCGCTATAGTATACATCAAATTTTGTCTGTGGGGGATTTTGACGTCAAAATGCAAAGTATTATTCGAGAGGACAGGTTGGAAAAGGATAGAGGAAGAGGAGCCACTAGGTTATTAAAACGTTCTGGGCGCTATAAACATTAGTTACTCTCACCAGGAGAGATTTAGACTCCCTCCAACCCCCCCACCCCCCGCCCCCGCTACCCTGTTTAGAGCCAGGGTGCACTATGGGTACTGCCGGACTTGAGCTTAGTGCAACCGTTTACACCGTGTGATGCGTCAACACGGCGTGCTAGCTTTATTTCACTCTTACTATATTTTGTTGATGTCCGTCTTCACGTATGCACCTGAACGCTAGGGTCGTGTAGTTTTCAGTAAGGACAGTGCTTGTAATTCTCTGGTAGCAGTTGTACTACTTTAGCGGTGATACGTCACTATTGCGGACGCTTTTTAGGACCCCTGATATTTAAAGATAGATTTAGTCTTGTAAGGGATGGTCAATGGTAGGGAGATGAGGAACGCTCGGTTCTTGACTGCTCGCTAGTTGACCCTATCAAAGTGCACCTTGTTGAATGCTCTGTTGTTCGATGCTGTTTTAATACTTGTCCTAACTGTGCCCATGAGTTCTGCTTGTTCTTGTGGCTCCTACTTTTGAATAAACTACCACTGATAGCCCTAATCAGTGAATGTGTGGACGAGGTTGATGAGGATGGACTTGCTGAGCCCACAAGGTGTTTGATTTTCCTCCAGAAGTAGTCCAGGTCTCTTTATACAAGAATACTTATCTAATCCGGGTTTCCCAGATGTCTCTTGTGCAGTATTGTGAGTTAAATAGCTTTCCTTCTGAGTCTCTATCGATTCTGGGTTTTGGAGGGACTCTGAACCCGAAGGGGAGGGTTTGTAGTTTGACGAGTACTGGGATTTGGTCAGACCCACGTGCTTGCCCGGTGTTTGAATACGTATAGAGTTTGGAGGGTTTTGTTTTTTAAGTGTTTTATGATAATTTACAAGATTCGGACCCCTTATGGTGCCGAATAACGGTTATTGAGTAGAGTTCTTGGTCCGAGTTCCCTACCGCAGTCTGGATCACGTTGTGCTGAAGCGCTGACGAAATTTAGGCTTCAGTGATCCTGCTCACGTTGGCCAGCAGTTATGAGGTCATCTAGGCTAGTCATCAGGTAAGGTAAAAAAGACCAAACTTCTTACTCTGAGCTACGTTATTATAGAGCCTGGATCTAACTCTTCACCTTCCTCAAATCCTCTGTCCTCTTCGGAAGAGACTGACAATTCCTTACGTTGCTGTTATCATAGCGTGGGGAGTGCCACTGGAGGTTGTGGTTGTAGGTGGGGAATTAGGATGAAGTTGACTGCTCTGGAAGTGGTGTAGTTGCCTGATGATGATTGGGAGGGAGGAGGCTACTGCTGGGAGATAAGTAGAGTCCTTAACTGCTACTGTGTACGGGGATGTTTCTGGGTGGTTGTGTGTGTGTGTCTTAATCAAATTCAGTGTGAGTGATACATCATTAATCATGGGGCGAGGGTTGTGGGCCCTACCCTCCCCCCTCCCCCCGATATGACCAGATAAATCCTTGGTAATCACAATTAGTTTAGCTGATAATTCCAGAGTATTTATAATTTGTTTGGAGGTGGTTGTTGTGGTTAATTGTTAATGACGGGCTGGCTACATTGGGCGTCTGTTGGGTGGTGTACGCGGCTGGCCGTTGATGGGGGGTGGTGTTCGAAGTGGGTAGTGGCGCGGGGATGTAGTGGGTTGCTTGCTGGGCTATGGTGGTGCTGTTAACTTTAGCGGCTTCTTTGTCTTCAAGTTTAATTATTTACTTCCTTTCCTGACCCAGTGGAGTGTGTTATGTGGTCCTCGTCGCCCAGGAGGCAGCTGTCTTCGTTCTTACACTCCCTAATACTTAAACTCCCATGTGCAGAAACTCCACCTGCAAGTTTGGAGTTTGTATTCGTATACAGAGACTATACATGCCTTTCTTGAGTTTGTATTAGTTTGAATAATCATACTTAAAACATTTGTTGCATTGGTTTAATCTTTAAATAATTTTTCGTTTAATATTTTGTCTTTTGGTAATACCATATTTGAAGTACCATGTAGTCTGTTCAACTGCCAGCCTTATGTACAACAGCCCGTCCCAGGCACTGCCCATAACCTCCCTGGGGGCCACTGTGGCCCTCCCCCAAGCCTCCACACCGACACAGTCACCCTCACCAGTTGCCCAATCACCTAATTTGTTTTTGTCGCCATCCAATTTTTGTGGCTGTCATTATTATAATTCTAATAAGAATGTTTTGCCGATATCTTTAATTTATTACAAGAGGAGTTGTAAACCGTTATTGATTATACAAGTAATGAGAAGAGCCAATAGAGGGGGCGGCCCAACAGCCTGATTCCCATTCGGTGCAGTTAGAGTGCCAGCATCCTAGATGTGTCAGTGCCAAGCCAGACCCACCTCGTCACGCTGGTACACAGCTACGGTTGCTGCTGCTGGAAGACGAAGCTCTTTGTTGTGAGAGTTGAGGTAAGACAGGTGTACTTTCCTCAGTGTGTGTGTGTGTGTGTGTTAAATAGACTGTCTTTATCTACCCTATCAATCCCCTTCAGAATGTGTAGTCTCTCCTCGTAGCTCATACCTCTCAGTATGGACTCCATGCTGGGGCTGCATACTCCAGGATTGGCCTGACATATGTGTAATACATATGTGTGTGTGTGTGTGTGTGTGTGTGTGTGTTTTCACCTAGTTCACTTAGTTGTGCTTGCGGGGGTTGAGCTCTGCTTTTTCTGTCCGCCTCTCAACTGTCAATCAATCAACTGTTAGTACTAACTTTTTTTTTAATTGCGCACACGCTCATACAGAGGAAGTAGCCCGTAACAGCTGTCTAGCTCCCAGGTACCTATTTATTGCTAGGTAACATGGGCATCCGGGTGAAAGAAACTCTGGACATCTGTTTCTGCCGGCGCTGGGAATCGAATCCCGGTCCACAGGGCTACGTATCCAACATGCTATCCACTCAGACACCAGCCTGCCTGCCTGCATGTTCTCACCTAGATGTACTTGCAAGGTCTAGCTAGGCTCCTAGCCCCACCTTCCAAACATTCTTAGATTAATGCAATCACACATTTCTCGCGCTTTTTATCATATTTACATTTAATACTTTGAAACGAATTGGCTTCAACGTCTCTTACGTCTAACCTGTTCCACTTATTAACAGCTCAACACTGAAACCCGTTCTTTCTGGCGTCTCTGTGACTCATTTGCGTCTCTAGTTTCTATCCATGACCACCTCATTCCGCTTTTCCTAGCTTTAAACAATGCTGATTTGTCTTTGTCAACTCCCCCTTATGATCTTATGTCATGTTCCCCCATCCCTATCTCTCTCTCTCTCTCTCTCTCTCTCTCTCTCTCTCTCTCTCCAGTGTGGGAAGTGAGATATCTGTCGCTCTCTCCTCATGGCTCGGGAACAAGTCTTGTCGCGTATCTTTGAACCTTTTTAAGTTTCTCCTTGTCCATCTATCAGGCAGCTGTTCCGTGCTGGGGATGCATATTCAAGAGTTAGGTTTGATCAAATTTCTATGTTTTAACTTGGAAAAAATAAAAATGATATAATTTAGAAAATACATGCTTTCAGGAAAATTAGGCTTCTTAGGCAATTTTTGCATATTAAGTAATAATATATATATAATATGTGAAAGGAGGAAGTGTTTTAGATGACAGGAGTGTGTTTAACAGATGGTGGAGAGCTGTGGGAAGACGCGAATGGTGTGCTTCCCTCTGGCGCTGCTTGTGGTAGGTCTTGCTGCCACCAGCGCCAACCTCAACCATCTCCAGAAGCTCTCCTTGCTTGACTCCATAAGATACAGCCTTCTGGGACCCGAAGATGTCGTGAATACCACCTTGCTAGGCCAAGACGACGACATGACTGAGAATGTTGAGGATTCTATGAAGCGTGTGTCGAATGGTAAGAGGGACGTCTTGCTTGCGGAGGGAGGAGGAGGAAGAGAAGGCAACTTAAAGACGGAGAGGGAGACACAAGAGAGCTTGGAAGCTACCTGTAATTGCTTGAAACTGAAGACAGCCACTGCTTCATGTTTCGGAAAACTAGAGGTAAGCTTTCTTCTTCACTACGTCTTCAACTTTTTCTAAGAAACATTTTGTGTCGTACAACCTTACCTAACTGAATGAGAGGGTCGAGAATTGTATTACACTTTAGTTACGTTCCTGGAAAACCTTGTGATATATAACATTTCAGATAAACTGAATTACATGGAGAAAGTAGTTACGTTCCCAGACATGACAAAGTTGTAATTTATAGGAATACTTTAATTTAGTTCAGTGCCGGCAACAGCGTGCCGGCATAACATTCTTACCTGCTCACCATCCCCCCCCCCATGACTTTTTGGCACTGCGTGTCAACTATACCCAGTTAAATATATTCAAACAAATGTTAAAAAAAAATCATATAGGAATGCACATCATTATTCACTTCTCGGTAAAAAAAATTGCACAATTTTCCTGCTACTAATACTTTGGCTGAAGTACCATAAAGCGCTCAAATTGAACACTGTCCCTCTATCATTGCCAGGGAAACCCCGAGGGCCGACCCACAAATTCGGAAGGGGGAAGGAGTTGGCTAAAATGGAAGTACATATATTGTCTTACAGCGCATGCTTACCGTCCCTCAAGGGCATCATGCTGACCCGAATCGTTTTGCTTGTGAATTCCACCAGATGTGAATTGTTGTGCTGGGGCTCCTCTTGACATTGTTTACTTCCTCGTGTCTTGCATGCTTGCCCCTTGACCTACTGCAAACGAGACTGTATTGGTCATATTGGTGGGCCATTTCACTGCCATATATACATCTGTGTTCGACGAGGATAAGGTGGCAAGGTGAAGGGCTATGCTGGTGTGAAAAGCCCTCCTGCCAAAGCGAATTTTCAATGTTGTTTTAAAGACGTTGAATAAAAGAATTCCCTGCTTCATGGTCTGTCATCAGAAAATGGCGGGCTCAATCACTCGCAGAAAGATTATCTACCAATGACATGTTTTTTTTTTCATTATGGTAATATCGCAGCGAGGCTGTTATTGATCTTTTGGGGATAATAGATGTGGTGAAGGGGAGGCAATATAGTCCACCGGCTGGCTCCTTCAATAAACTTATGGTCGTGTATTCTCTAGATTCTCTTATGTGATCTTGTAGAACATTCTCTACCAACTCACTGGCAACCATGCATTAAGATATAATTCTGCCAGCATTCATACGTTACGTTCGTTGTCTTACGCATTCATATCTTCGCCTCGTCTGACTGGCAGCGTTTCTTGGTCCCAGTCACGGTGTGAATGTTGATTTCAGGAGCTCGTCATATTCCCTTAGTAGCAAACTGTCGACAATAGAGCACCCTGCTGCTGCTGCTGTTCCATTCCCAGCCGAAATCGGCAAGAAATTACCTCTGTATATCTTGCCTCTGACCTTTCATTTCTGAAGTTTCAAAAAGTTTTTGTAAGCACTTTTAAATACAGTATAGATAAGGTTTGAGCTACCTCATCCCGTTGTGTGTTTATACCTCAATAAACTTATTTCAATTTAGATTCGATTTCAGTATAGATAATATTATGGTATTTTGTCTAGTTTTGTTTGATTGAATAAGCCTCCTTGCCTTTGTTGTGATAGTTGTATAGCTGTGATATACAGTAAAAAAAAAAAACGTTTTTTCAGACAAGTGAGCAAAGTTTACTTTAAGCAGTTGCAATTTCTGCTTGTTTGCTTCTTTCCTTATGATTAGAATATCGAATAATAACAAAGAGGAATATCCAGGCATTGATAATATGGGCGAGTCGATCAATTATTTTCCAAATAGACGTAAATCCACAGGTTTCTTTGGACCTTAATCTTTATTCATACTACACATAAATGACCGCCAAACTCTTAATCTTAACATAAGCCAATCTAAAGACAATGGTAAAATATAGTAATAACAATCATTTATTTGAAAGAAGGTACAATGGGTTGGTGAGATTACATAACATTGGTACTTTTACATTGATGCAAAGCCACTAACACGCACAGCGTTTCTGGCAGGTCCTTAATGTAACACATCAGGTAAGATGAAAGGGTACATTGTAGCAAGGTTTTTATATCGACAAAAAATTACAGTAAGTTGACAGAGGTGATTACACTCGTAAGGATGTATGTCTTAAGTACTAATATTTGGGGAAGTGTGTAGTACAAAATAGTGAGAGTTTGAAGCACAAGGTAGGAAATTATGAGGATGTGTAACGTTTCTGTTGTGTAAATTACGGTGACAATAAACAGACACCTTGGGAATATATATATATATTTGGACGAATGTGGTATACAGAAGTTTGCAGATGAAACTTGGTGTGATGGTGAGTGATGTAGTATCACACACTATAGGTATAGTATTAGTTCATACCAGTTGGAGGGCGAAGTGGAGATGCAGGTCGAAAGTTTGTGCCTGGTACCGAAGCTGCAGTGTCTTGACCTCGTGTGTCTTGACCTCGCGTGTCTTGACCTTGTGTGTGATTACAGGAAATGGGACCCCTGGTGATCAATGGACGATGTATCGGCGGCAACATGTGGAGACGCAGGAGAGAAAGGGGGCGGGTGAGTCCAGCCACAGCATCTCTATTGAAAATTTGTATGTAATAATAATATTAAAGTAAATAGGTAAATAAATTCGATATATATTACATTTTGTTATAAATTTAACTCAAAATACTCATGTATAAAGAATTATGATTCCTCGGTATTCATATTAGAGGAGTTTCCTGTGCCATATCCAGTTTAATGTTCACAAATAACTTCCAGTATGAAGTAACTAGTTTTAACCAACAGGCTGATGTAAATGACTTTCCGATACTGGTACATGCCGATCGTGAGATGTGTGAGGGCTCAAAGCCGCTCATCTTCTCATCATCTGGTGAAAAGTCTCGTCTTACCTTCGGCAACACACCTTCCATCCTCATCTGCCAGGGAAGCATCGGCCCACACCTGGAGAACCTCTCAATATCTGGCGTGAAGGAGATCTGGGTGGCTCCTGGCGCTCTCCAGCCTCGTGATGCCAAACTCGTTATACACCTCTCTGACGTCCAAAATAAAATTATATTGCCTGAAGGAGCGCTATTAATTGAAGCCAGCGAATCCAACAATCATGAACAGCAGTCACCGCCAGCAGAGATTCACTTTATTATAGAGAGAGCAACATCAGTGGAATACAATAGCCAGAGTTTAGTAGCACCACGTATATCTGTTGTTATGGATGACGTTAGGAATATAAGCATTGGTCCCCAGGCAATCATAGCGTACAAAGATGCAAAGGCATCTTTCTTTGAAGCTAGGCTGAGCGAGTCTCTTCTACTGGAGACTCGGGCTATGAGAGTGGGTAATTTTAAAGCCATAGACATTGACCAATTGACATTGAAGGAAGCATCGGTAGATGTGACTACTGATGGTGGAGGCGAGATGATCCTGGAAGGTGTTAAAAACTTGGTACTCGAGGATAATGCCGTAAGACTTTCGCCGGGAGCTTCTCTGACACTGAATAATGTAAATATAAGCTCAGCCGGCCATCGAGCCATATCCAACTACATAAATACAACTGGGCCTCTTCTTAACGTGAATCTACACAACGTTAACGGAACAACATTGGCAAATGGTGCGTTTTGTCTAGTATCTGAAAATGTCATTCTCAACATCTTTACGGTTTGGGAGCAACCGGAGACGACTTCTACCTGTATCCAGGCTGAGACATTGTCGAGCGACACAGATGGAGAGACGTGGCCGGGCGTTGTAACGTGCCAAGGACTGAACGAGACGAGTCCTCTGTGTGGTGACGCTCGCTGCGCCCCCTGCACCATTCTACCACTTGGTTAGTACCATAATATGTGCATGAAATGTTGCCCGAGTATAAATGGATTGGTGCTTGTCCGCCTTTATGTCCATCTTAATTAAGGTAATAGATGTATTTTAATGTTAAATAAATGTTATATTAACACGAGCATTATTGCAAAATTGGTAACTTGAATAAGAAACAGCAAAAATAAATAATTATGACAATAATGAAAGGTATATATTATTATTAAATATGAAAATTGTTATATGTTGGGTAGATATTTTAGTCTATTATTATTTATTATTATTATTATTAAATAATTCATTGTGTCGGACAGGAAGTCAGTGTATTCATACACGTTAGGCTTTTATTGAGGTCCCCCACCCCACCTTGGGGAAGGGAACTATCAGGAGAAAGCGCCAAGCCATTACGACTATATGACGCTAGGAAGGGATCAGGATAAGGATTTTGGAGGAATTTCATAGATACAGAGTATGTTTGAGTGTGTGTATGCGCAGTGTTCTTATATTTAACATGTTCAAAGATTCAGTAAAGGTGCAGAGTGCTGTCTGCTGGAGTTTGTTATTGATCTAACTGCTGATTTTTTTGCAGAGTAATTAGGGGTCGGAGGTAATTTATGTATGTAGATCCCCAAGCACGAATATAGGTAAGATGAGCGAATAAGTTACCAGGGCAAGGCGAGATACGTAGTCCAGTATCCGATTTTAGAAAGAATCCCTATTATTTTAGAAACGTTTATGTAATGTGTTTTATATGGTAATTCAGCTTGCTGTCTATGGAACTTCCAATCTACTCTGCTCATAGATTGGATATTGCTAATTCTTAGGTTAATTTGACTGTTGGACTTGTTACCAAACAATATGTAAAAGGTTTCCTCGATGTTAAGAATAAGTTTCTTAGCAGTCAGCCACAAATGTCTTTTCATCTATTTATTATTTATATATACAAGAGTTCTTACATTCTTACATTCTTGTTACATTCTTGTACAGCCACTAGCACGCGTAGCGTTTTGGGCAAGCCCTTAATCCCATGTTCCCCGGAATACGACCCGCCAAATCATTTAACAACCAGGTACCCATTTTACTGTTGGGTAAACAGAGGCTACAGTTAAGGGTTGATACCCAGTAAATCCTCCCTGGCCAGGATACGAACCCAGAACAAAGCGCTCGCAAAACGCCAGGTACGTATCTTGCCACTTCGCCACAGGGGCTGTTCAGTATTCACCGTCATTTAGAAAAAGTGCGTTAGCATGGGAGAAAGTGAAGGTTGTGTTATCAGCAAATAGAATTACCGTAGCTTCAAGCACCGAGTACATCAGTGGAAGATCACTGATGTAAATGAGAAAGAGGACGGACTAAGTTTACCACCCTGTGGAACCCCAGTGATCACTTGCAGAGTGGGAGAGGTAGCATCGTTCACAGAAATTGCTGGCACCTGTGTCTACTTCGATGTAGATGTTCCTCAACTGCGGAATGTTAGCTCAGGATACACATGAATGAGATTACCGTTGTAGAACACAACCTCAAATTATATTTTTTATCTTAACTGCTTTCATTGTATAATTACTTAGATTAAATTAGTATTTACTGGGCTTAAACATAGTGTTATTGTTGTTATCCGTGTTAGCTAAGTCTGAAAACTTATCCTCATTAATTAAATGAATTGCTGTCGCTGATATTCAACAGTCGGATCTACCACTGACATGACAGAGACGTACGAGGAAGGACTCCCATTGTATGCTGTCGTTCTCACTATCTTAGCTGGAATTATCCTCATTCTTCTTCTTATATTCAGCATTTGCAAAATACTTAGGCGTAACCAGGTAAATATGACTTGCTTAACTTATCCATCAATGGTTTTTAAACTGAACATTTGCCTTACACTTGATAACCATAACTGCTGAAACTATTAAGTATAATTGGAAGTATAATAAATATAACATTAAAATATATTTATATATAGCATAAATTATTATACTATAAAGTATAATAAATATAATTGGATGTGATACCCAAGGATCACTTTTAAATATAAATGTCTGCAAATTTAGTTCAATGTTGTGACAATGTGTGTTTCTATCCCAAAACCAGAGTGCAGAGTACAAACTTCCTCGTCCAGCTCAAAATAACACCTTCCAGAAGAGCATTGTAACTGCGGAGAACCTAGACACATCTTGCAAGAACACTAGGGAAGACCATGCTGCTCCTGCAGAGATATACATCACCTTCAATAAATCAGAACCGTTAGAAGAAAGGCAAGTACTGCTCAGTGATGTCGACTTATTTCATACCGACTTCCACACACTTCCTGCCAATGCCTACTTACCATCTGATAATACCAGAAGGATATCTGAAGATTACAACTGTTCATAAAATTTTAGTATAATTTATGTAATAAATGTACTGTATATCAATATTGAAACATGCCACTTCAAACTGATGACTTAGAGATGTATGCAGTGTGCACAAGAAAGTTGCCGATTTATACTCATACATACATACTGGAACAATAACAATGATGTAATGTTGTGGCTGGAAGAACATCATAGACACCACCTAAACTCCCAGGGTATTATTTCTCTAACATAGGTGGTCTAGTTTCTAGATGATTCGGGTATCCACAGACTGGCTCTTCATACCTCTGCAACATCTATGTGAGGTGTGACAGAATAATGGAGACATCTCTTTGCTCATTAAACAGTTGGACTTAAACCCTCGTAATGGGCGACTTTAATGCAAGACACATTAACTTAGGGATAAAACAAACAGAAATGGTTGTTTGTTTCTTAATCTGGTCATTAAGAAGAGCATGACTGTCTTCGATCTAAACCCATCTAACACCACCACTTTTCGGGTAGAACACTCAATTATGCAGTAGGTCATGGTCTCTCGGAGAATTTGGTCCATGTATCGTTAGTGTAAGAGCTAATTACTGATCACAATGCAATACAAAGTTCATATACCATCAAAGATGTCAAATCACAACACTGACAGAACACCAGTTAACATCCCTGACAATTTACACATGCACTTCAAGCTCTAAATATACAATTGGTATCTATTCCACACATTTACAAAATGTCAATTATATGAGGACCTTAGTAATGTGTTACTTCATTAACATGTTAAATGTGTGAAACCTAAATGGCCAAGAACTAAGTACAAAGGAGAGTTGACCAGACCTCACACTAGAAGGTGAAGGGACGACGACGTTTCAGGGTTTGACCAGGGTCTGATCAACATACTTCAGCCACGTTATTGTGACTCGTCAAACAAACAAATACAAATATTTATTCAGGTAAAATACTGTACATACATACAAGGTGAAATACAAAAGTTGATGGATTTATAGATAGAGCTAGTACATACAATGCCTAAAGCCACTATTACGCAAAGCGTTTCGGACAGGAAAAACACCAAGACTAAAACATCGCCTGCATACAAAGGAGAGCATTGGTTCCGTGACCAGTGCCACAAATCCTTACCTGATCATGCACTATATTTATAGCATTACAGATAGCAACTATGTTGGATAGCAAACAGATGCTTTACTTTACCCATAGGGTTTATAAACCTATTAGATGAGGGAAGCAGGGGGAAGGGGAGGACTGATGCATGGGTAACAGCTTCTTCCCCGTATCAACCTACCCTGGCTTTGCACCTTGGAGAGGCCACTCCAGGCTGACAACCAGAGCACAACTCCATAATCTCCCGAGACTGATGGATGCCTACTTCTACTACTAGACGAGGTATCCAGGAGTGCTCGGGTCGACCCTGTGCCCAGGCCTCTCCCACACACCCTAGAAGTACTCCCCTCTCGCAAATCCTCCAACTCCTAACACACATTCCCTTCCAAATTTATCTCCACACACACACCTACCTAATCTTCCCCAAATACACACTTTCAGTGCCAAATCACTGTAATCATTTTCATTATACGCATACATCACCACTGCCAAAATCTACAAATCCTTCCCGTTTGTCTACACACGCCCTCCCAGTCTTCTCCACATATGCTTTTGCTGACTTCTCCCCTTTTCCCCCCACAAACAACCTGTCCATCTACACCCACACATGTGCACATCCTCCTGATCTTCCCATATACACCCTCCCAGTCTCCAACCACACACACACTCACCCCTACCTACCTTCCCCATCTCGCATCATTACTATTTTCACAACACACCATCTTCACCACAGTAAACATCGTAACACCTTGCTTTTACTCTGGTTACTCTTCCAGGAAAGTCAACATGCATGATGGTAATTTTTGTTCTCAATCTGTGTTGTGATCCTTTCAAAAGTCTGTGCACAGAGATGGTTGACTAAATGAAAGAACCATTTTACCCATGCTTAAAGTGTAAAAAGGAATCGATCGACAAAACAAATTAAAACCTGTAATTTTTTATTACATAAGGAAAATCAATAAAGATGTCCCTAATACCCTATGCTAGAATATATTGTTGCAATTATAGTTTGTATCTCCATATACAGTGTGGGTGAATTTCTGCTCGAATAGAACAATTGGTTGCAAACACGTTATTGATTCAGAATCTTGTTGCATTAAATAGGCACTATTGTGGTTACAATTATTGCAAAAAAAGTAACTACTTTCACATTAATATAATGCATAAAAGAACATTTTAATGCAAAGTAACAACTTTAATAACTTGTTAATTTGTTGCCACTGCAAATCCAAATGTACAATATTGTTTGCATTAACAGGATTAGAATTCATCATATCCAATGAATTTTGTGGTGGACCCGGTTCCATTCAAGCAGAAATTTACTGTACGTACAAATGTACCAGCAACTTTGCAATACAGACAATATTAATACCTTTTTAAGTGTTACTACTCGACTCTCAATGAGTGACATTAATAGAACTCACAGGCTGAGGCATGGAAAAAGTTTCCAATAATCAATCCATAATTGCAGTCTCGGTTCCATTATATTATACTCACTAATTCTCGTCAAGTGGGGTGGCCCAATATTCCAGTTATTGTACCTGAATTTATGGCATGTGTAATTTTTTTTGTATGCAATCGGTTGAATTTATATTTTTACACTAATACAGAATTTTATTCTTATGGCATTTTCATAGAAATATGTAATATTTAACAAATCAATTTGAACTTACCTTGGTGTCCATCAAAGGTGTCCATCACCCTTGGATTGGAATACTGTATTTTACAATACAAAAAATGTAGTGCCACAACATCCGAACTGTAGAACGTTAACCCTTAAACTCGGCAGGATATTTTGATTCATTGTAATGAAGAAAAAAATGTAAGCTTTTTTTGCTTTTGACATTGTTAATTAGCATCCAGAAAAGTCAAGTAAAAAGTCTCTACCTATCGTGGTTTAGCTGTAGTGGCCCAGAAGTTGTTTTTTTTTCTGTGGAAATGAAGTGAGGTGTTGTATGGGAATAACATGGTGCATTTATTTTCATTGTATCTCACTTTTTTTCATGCTCGCATGTATAGGTGTTATATATAATATATATAAACTTTGGAAATATGTCCTGTATATACAAAAGTGTGTGTATATATACACACACACACACTGTATTTATTCATACTAATACACACGAGAGAGCACACAATATTTGCACAGAGCACACATTTTGTTTGCAAATATATACTGTACATGGAAAAATCACTAATTTGCTGTTGTTAAATTGTCAATGGTTTCTTGTATAGCTACCCTGCATGTACAATGACTGGATGGTGATGCCCCAGACATGGTTCACATCCTTTTAGTAAATCCCTGGAAGGAAACTATGGGATGATAACCAAACCACGCACCAGAAGATAAAGAAACGACGGAGCTTCAGTCAGTCCTGGACCATCATCAAGTCTTCCAGATTAAGACTTGATAATGGTCCAGGACGGACTGAAATGTTGTCATTTCTCCATCTTCTGGTGTGTGTGGTTTGGTCACAAATCTTCAGCCACATTGTGACTTTCTGCAAACTATGAAACTCGGGAATTCCTATCAAGTATTGCAAATGATCAACGGGCATTTCATGCCAAATGACATCGCCCTAGAATGGGTGGGGATTTTGTAGAATCAAATGGGGAGCTTTAAATCATCTCCAGAAAATTTGAGCATATGGGACCAATCTTTCACCTTATCCTACTCCGCAAGCCCTGCCTGGGGCCAGGCTTAACACCCAGGGCAATCTAGGATAAGTGAAGTTAACACAACCTCCTCCAATTTGTCTAAAATTTGGTTCGGCAGTTGGTGTTAGGAAGAGGAGGAAAGAAAAAAAATAGTGAAATACTTGACTCGGATAAAAAGTAAATGGCAAGGTCAAATTAGGAACAATAAATGACTACTTGCCACAGTAGTATTGTAGATACAGTATAGAAGTTAAGATACAAAAAAAAAAAAAAAAAGTTGAGACGTCCATGAATGTGTTGAAATAAGAATTCAAACATACTAAAAAAACAGCTTGCCAAGTTCAAATGTTAATAAACTGCTGAAAATATAAAAACGTTTACTATGTAATTTAAAATCCTATCCATAATGTTATAAAGGAATGGTTTTATAGGTTCTCTGCAAAATAAGTATGCATTCTAATTATTTTGGTGAAATTAAAATACCAATTCTCTTCTATAACCTGATAAAATATGTTTTTACACAAATTTCTCATATCAAGATAATATTGGGGAAACTAATTATAAAAGATGCATTTCCATTTACGTATAGTATATTTTTGGCAATTTATGGTTGGGGTTTTTTTGGAATTCCTCATGGCCCAACTTAACCTAAATATAAATCCCAACATATCCAAAGTGTCAAGATCACCCACAGTTAATGCTAATTAAAACATCTAAACATATATATATATATATATATATATATATATATATAACTGAAAACTCACACCCCAGAAGTGACTCGAACCCATACTCCCACAACTGGTATGTACAGGGACGCCTTAATCCGCTTGACCATCACGACCGGACATAAGGAAGTGATAGCCGAGGCTATATGAACCACTTCCCCGCCGGCACTCGGATGGTAATCTTGGGCATAGCATTTTATCAAATCACCTCATTCTTTGGGGCACACGTGAGGAACACAAATGCAAACAAGCCTGAATGGTCCCCAGGACTATATACAACTGAAAACTCACACCCCAGAAGTGACTCGAACCCATACTCCCACAACTGGTATGTACAGGGACGCCTTAATCCGCTTGACCATCACGACCGGACATAAGGAAGTGATAGCCGAGGCTATATGAACCACTTCCCCGCCGGCACTCGGATGGTAATCTTGGGCATAGCATTTTATCAAATCACCTCATTCTTTGGGGCACACGTGAGGAACACAAATGCAAACAAGCCTGAATGGTCCCCAGGACTATATACAACTGAAAACTCACACCCCAGAAGTGACTCGAACCCATACTCCCACAACTGGTATGTACAGGGACGCCTTAATCCGCTTGACCATCACGACCGGACATAAGGAAGTGATAGCCGAGGCTATATGAACCACTTCCCCGCCGGCACTCGGATGGTAATCTTGGGCATAGCATTTTATCAAATCACCTCATTCTTTGGGGCACACGTGAGGAACACAAATGCAAACAAGCCTGAATGGTCCCCAGGACTATATACAACTGAAAACTCACACCCCAGAAGTGACTCGAACCCATACTCCCACAACTGGTATGTACAGGGACGCCTTAATCCGCTTGACCATCACGACCGGACATAAGGAAGTGATAGCCGAGGCTATATGAACCACTTCCCCGCCGGCACTCGGATGGTAATCTTGGGCATAGCATTTTATCAAATCACCTCATTCTTTGGGGCACACGTGAGGAACACAAATGCAAACAAGCCTGAATGGTCCCCAGGACTATATACAACTGAAAACTCACACCCCAGAAGTGACTCGAACCCATACTCCCACAACTGGTATGTACAGGGACGCCTTAATCCGCTTGACCATCACGACCGGACATAAGGAAGTGATAGCCGAGGCTATATGAACCACTTCCCCGCCGGCACTCGGATGGTAATCTTGGGCATAGCATTTTATCAAATCACCTCATTCTTTGGGGCACACGTGAGGAACACAAATGCAAACAAGCCTGAATGGTCCCCAGGACTATATACAACTGAAAACTCACACCCCAGAAGTGACTCGAACCCATACTCCCACAACTGGTATGTACAGGGACGCCTTAATCCGCTTGACCATCACGACCGGACATAAGGAAGTGATAGCCGAGGCTATATGAACCACTTCCCCGCCGGCACTCGGATGGTAATCTTGGGCATAGCATTTTATCAAATCACCTCATTCTTTGGGGCACACGTGAGGAACACAAATGCAAACAAGCCTGAATGGTCCCCAGGACTATATACAACTGAAAACTCACACCCCAGAAGTGACTCGAACCCATACTCCCACAACTGGTATGTACAGGGACGCCTTAATCCGCTTGACCATCACGACCGGACATAAGGAAGTGATAGCCGAGGCTATATGAACCACTTCCCCGCCGGCACTCGGATGGTAATCTTGGGCATAGCATTTTATCAAATCACCTCATTCTTTGGGGCACACGTGAGGAACACAAATGCAAACAAGCCTGAATGGTCCCCAGGACTATATACAACTGAAAACTCACACCCCAGAAGTGACTCGAACCCATACTCCCACAACTGGTATGTACAGGGACGCCTTAATCCACAACTGTACATACCAGTTGTGGGAGTATGGGTTCGAGTCACTTCTGGGGTGTGAGTTTTCAGTTGTACATAGTCCTGGGGACCATTCAGGCTTGTTTGCATTTGTGTTCCTCACGTGTGCCCCAAAGAATGAGGTGATTTGATAAAATGCTATGCCCAAGATTACCATCCGAGTGCCGGCGGGGAAGTGGTTCATATAGCCTCGGCTATCACTTCCTTATGTCCGGTCGTGATGGTCAAGCGGATTAAGGCGTCCCTGTACATACCAGTTGTGGGAGTATGGGTTCGAGTCACTTCTGGGGTGTGAGTTTTCAGTTGTAAATAGTCCTGGGGACCATTCAGGCTTGTTTGCATTTGTGTTCCTCACGTGTGCCCCAAAGAATGAGGTGATTTGATAAAATGCTATGCCCAAGATTACCATCCGAGTGCCGGCGGGGAAGTGGTTCATATAGCCTCGGCTATCACTTCCTTATGTCCGGTCGTGATGGTCAAGCGGATTAAGGCGTCCCTGTACATACCAGTTGTGGGAGTATGGGTTCGAGTCACTTCTGGGGTGTGAGTTTTCAGTTGTATATAGTCCTGGGACCATTCAGGCTTGTTTGCATTTGTGTTCCTCACGTGTGCCCCAAAGAATGAGGTGATTTGATAAAATGCTATGCCCAAGATTACCATCCGAGTGCCGGCGGGGAAGTGGTTCATATAGCCTCGGCTATCACTTCCTTATGTCCGGTCGTGATGGTCAAGCGGATTAAGGCGTCCCTGTACATACCAGTTGTGGGAGTATGGGTTCGAGTCACTTCTGGGGTGTGAGTTTTCAGTTGTATATAGTCCTGGGACCATTCAGGCTTGTTTGCATTTGTGTTCCTCACGTGTGCCCCAAAGAATGAGGTGATTTGATAAAATGCTATGCCCAAGATTACCATCCGAGTGCCGGCGGGGAAGTGGTTCATATAGCCTCGGCTATCACTTCCTTATGTCCGGTCGTGATGGTCAAGCGGATTAAGGCGTCCCTGTACATACCAGTTGTGGGAGTATGGGTTCGAGTCACTTCTGGGTGTGAGTTTTCAGTTGTATATAGTCCTGGGGACCATTCAGGCTTGTTTGCATTTGTGTTCCTCACGTGTGCCCCAAAGAATGAGGTGATTTGATAAAATGCTATGCCCAAGATTACCATCCGAGTGCCGGCGGGGAAGTGGTTCATATAGCCTCGGCTATCACTTCCTTATGTCCGGTCGTGATGGTCAAGCGGATTAAGGCGTCCCTGTACATACCAGTTGTGGGAGTATGGGTTCGAGTCACTTCTGGGTGTGAGTTTTCAGTTGTATATAGTCCTGGGGACCATTCAGGCTTGTTTGCATTTGTGTTCCTCACGTGTGCCCCAAAGAATGAGGTGATTTGATAAAATGCTATGCCCAAGATTACCATCCGAGTGCCGGCGGGGAAGTGGTTCATATAGCCTCGGCTATCACTTCCTTATGTCCGGTCGTGATGGTCAAGCGGATTAAGGCGTCCCTGTACATACCAGTTGTGGGAGTATGGGTTCGAGTCACTTCTGGGGTGTGAGTTTTCAGTTGTATATAGTCCTGGGGACCATTCAGGCTTGTTTGCATTTGTGTTCCTCACGTGTGCCCCAAAGAATGAGGTGATTTGATAAAATGCTATGCCCAAGATTACCATCCGAGTGCCGGCGGGGAAGTGGTTCATATAGCCTCGGCTATCACTTCCTTATGTCCGGTCGTGATGGTCAAGCGGATTAAGGCGTCCCTGTACATACCAGTTGTGGGAGTATGGGTTCGAGTCACTTCTGGGGTGTGAGTTTTCAGTTGTATATAGTCCTGGGGACCATTCAGGCTTGTTTGCATTTGTGTTCCTCACGTGTGCCCCAAAGAATGAGGTGATTTGATAAAATGCTATGCCCAAGATTACCATCCGAGTGCCGGCGGGGAAGTGGTTCATATAGCCTCGGCTATCACTTCCTTATGTCCGGTCGTGATGGTCAAGCGGATTAAGGCGTCCCTGTACATACCAGTTGTGGGAGTATGGGTTCGAGTCACTTCTGGGGTGTGAGTTTTCAGTTGTATATAGTCCTGGGGACCATTCAGGCTTGTTTGCATATATATATATATATATATATATATATATATATAGCATTTAAAAGCTCTGCAATAACAATACTATATATCTAATCAAGCAACAGAATCCCAAATATTTGAACTAATAAACCACATCCATTAATTTCTTAACTCTCACTCCTGCTCCATCACTTAGTCCTCACATCTTGGCTTGTGGTTTCAAGAGTGTCTGCAGCTTCTGTGTGAGCATCACATTGCCTGAAACTTTTAGTTTGCCAGACAAGAATGCCTTTTGTGCATTTAACTTCCCAGTCATCAGAGCAGCCATGTCATCATCTTCTAGTGTCAGTGTTACGTTTGGCCTCTCTCCATTCTTGGGTGTGCCTTCATACACTGAACCTTGGCCATTCTTCAAATCCAAGGCTGTAAAGACGTTTGTTCAATCAAAACTAAATTAGAAACCTGCCACACTTGCCGCAGATAAAGAAAAGCATGCGGCAACATTTTCTCAAACAGCAATGTCGGCAGCATCATCATACTGTGGCATGTGAAGCCAGACACATGAATGTGTGAAGCAAATACTTCCAGCAAATGCAAGTGTATTAAAACATGGCTTTCTTGGAGTCCACAACAAAAACAATAGAAAACAATATATTTAATGCATTATATACTTACTCCACTGTGCAGCTTTTGTCTTGTTCTTGTTTATATTCCACAAGAATATAGCGTTAACCTTTTCAGCTGTACCAGGAGTACTTGCCAGTCTCTCTGACATTTCACGAAACACAGCAGTGCTGAGTAACTGCACAGGGCTAGAAGTGGAAGGACTCTGACGATCCTCGTCAACAATATCCACATAGCCACCTGTGGAAAAAAAATATAAAAACCAGAATAGAATAAAACAATTACTACATTAATTTTACTCACACATTTTCATCACTAAAATAAGAGCATATAGTGTAATGAAATGCCCACTTCATGAGTAACACCATCATTGTAAATTAATTGCAGTTACTTAAATGATTTCATACTGTATATAAGTGATGCTGTGAACACAAACTGAACAGAGGTGTTGTTTGCTCTGTTGTTATCCATTTTGCTTCGTTTCCATTCTAGGAGGGTTAATTTCTTCAGTGAGCATAATCATGAATCCCCTTCCCCCCTGTACCTCAGTAAGGGGAAAGCCAGGTTTTGACCTCTGGTTTCCAGTAGGCTATTAAGGGCTCACAAGTGCTAATATGACTTGTAGGTATAGTCTCCTAGAGCCCAGGTGAATGGATTGTAGGTATAGAGCTATCTCAGTATGTCTAGCTACAGGGAGCCACCATTTGAACCCTTCAGAAATACCCCAGTAGATTTAAAACTTAAGGTGGCAAGAAAACGCTTGTAACATACCTGAAAGACATACTTGGTTTGTTTCCTTAACAGTGGTGGTAAAGAAAACCCGTGAACCCTCTTTCCACATGTCGACTACAAGTGTCTGGCCGGGAATCACTGGTTTAGCAAAACGAGTCTACAAAGAAATCACAACACTTTAATTTAAACATAATTGAAATAAGAAAGAATTCACAATAAAATCAAATCAATGCAGGTTATTCAGTTCACTTTATTATTACTTAATACTATCCCTGCTTTTGTTTATAAAATACATTGTACTGAAGAGACAATTGCCCACCTAATAATTCATAGCTTTGGTAAAGAAAACATACCAGGGGGCCCCAGTATTACATTTGGGTTCGTTCTCGATTCATAATCGAGAATTCTGGGTTCGAGTCCTGGGCAGGACAGAAATGGTTGGGCACATTACCTAGCACCTAATGCCTCTGTTCACCTAGCAGTACGTAGGTACTCAGGAGATAGTTTGTTAAGGGGGTTGCATCCTGGGTGGGTCCAGTAATTCGACCTTGGGAGGGGGACCTCGAAATAAGCCTAGACATGTATGAATACACTCTGGCTGCCTGTCCCTCGACACACTGAATTATACAAGAGCTAAAAAAAAAAGTTTACCAACAGTTCTTGAATAATTGGGGACTAAAGGAATAGTTCCAGGGGAAAAATAATTAGGTGTTAGTCCATTCCATAAGAAAGCTGTGGAATGGAGAAATAAAAACACACACCATGTCTGTCCAACTCCTTGATCTTCCTCTTCTATCTTCAAAATCACTTAAATATGCCCTCTTAACCACTATCACATCTTAATAAGCCACACTATAAACAAACATACCTTCATTGCCTTAAACAACCTGGCATCATTCCCACAAAAATTCTTCATGATGATTCTAGCAGTAATGCCATAGAAACAAAGTCCATGTAGAATGGGTTGACTGAAACCACCCATGGCAGCAAAGGAAGGATCAATGTGGAGAGGATTACGGTCACCATTAAGACGGTACAGAGCAGCCTGAAACAAGGAACAAAATCATTAATCAAGGTGTATATTCTATTAAAAACTAAGCATGCCTCACAAAAAATTATAAAGTACCAAATGAGTAATTTATAGAAAGCAGGTCTTTTTTTGCATAAAATGTATGTATGCTCCTACAAACTTTACTGCCTAAAATAATCTTTAATAAAAATATAAATAGTTAACCTTACATATTCAAGTTAACATTTTACATTCAAGCCCAATTACCAATTGCTGTAATTAATAGGGTAGAAAGAAAAATTTAATTTAAAACAGTGTAGCTCTTATTCCATGACAAAGATGCCAAAGGTAAGAAACATTGATTTTTGGGCGACTGCCACCATTTTTGGGCCAGCAACCGCTCCAAACACATCCGTGTGGTGGGGCGGTCAAAATGGCCAGTACACTGTATAACATAACTTGTATACACGAACATGATAAAGTAATTATTTTTACCTGATCAATGCCCGTCTTGACCTCTTCAGTGGCATCTGGTTTTCGCTGGGGGGCATCATACAGAGGTACTGCTTTGCTACTCTTCCTTGGACCACCAAAATTTCCATCACCAACTATGAACAGCGACCATTGTGCTCGACAAATTGGTTCCCCTTTCTCATCTTTTGTCAATGCTGTTAGGAGTAACTAATAATTCAGTCTATCAACTTTAATACAATACCACCTGTCTGGTGTTCAATGAGCCTTGTTGTAAAAGTTATGAATGAGTCATTTAACAGTATGAAATCAAAGTGATTAATGTACAAACATATTTCTCCCTTTGAACTGTTTATTCTATTATCTATTCAAGTTACTAGAGGGGTTACCCAGTGGTGCATGGGTTACTGTCCTTTGTCCCTCTCTTCCCCTCCCATTCTTTCTCATTTTTTTCCATCCCATTCTTCCTCACTTTACTGCCGAATCAGCATTATCGATATCGAATCAACATTAAATAAACATCGATAACAGCTGAGAAATTAAGTTGGGAAAACACATTATGGACAATTAAACCTTATTTCAGACTTCATTGGAGTTAGTGGTTGTTGAAAGAAGAGCCAATCCTACTCACCATGCAATCATAATTCATCATGGAAAGTTGTGAGGCTAACCACAACCATATAGCCTCCAACCTCCTTACCTTGTGATGATGATTTCAGGGCTCAACATCCCGACGGCCCAGTCCCTGGACACCCTTGGGGACACCTCAAACAGGCCTCCTGGTCAGCGGACACCTCGAACAGACATACAGACAAGACCTTTTCTCTTATATAGATATTGTTATCCAACCTTTACAGTCCATATAATTTCTAACTAGTTTCTTTGAATGCTCCAAACATTGCATTCAACTATTACTGACGGTGCAGCCAGTTAAATTGACAAAATAGTAAATAAGAAATTGCAGAGATGCCCATGCAACTGACAGAGACAATAGCAAGAGGAAATGACCAATGTAGGAGCACAAGATAAGGTTATTCTTGTTAGAAGAGTATGGATGGGACTTTCAGATTAAACTGCATTACTCTACAGCTTGTGGGTATGTTTATCTGAAGGCTTGAATCTTTAAATTATAGCTGGGATTTAAAACAAATACAGTACATTAAATTTCAATTGTTAACCTGAAAAGCAGTAACACTTTCAGCATTCCACATGAAATTAATACCCAAAATTTATAAAAATCTGTAGTGGTAATAGCCACACAAGATAGCACGCTCCTTAGACTAACCAGATTGTGCTAACCAACATATTTTGCTAGTTTTTTAAGGGGACATCTCTGCTCAAATCCGAAAAATTTCGAAAATTTACAAAAAATTCTGAAAAATACTACAACGTTCTGGCAACACTGTGGTGAAAACCGTTTCATGTTATCTTGAAAAATAACGTAATTAGAGTCAAAATTCCCGCTGCAAGTTTCCCCATTCCGGTTCTCGCGGCCTGGGTGCGCCGTGGGGTATTGCGTCTTACGTTGTAGCTGTCTAATATTTCGTAATAGCGTTGAAAATAACGTGTGATGCATAAAACAAATATAAACTCACTTATTGGCAACAGTCGCGAGTGAGGGAGGGATGGGATTGCTAACATAAGTCAGTCACTCTCTGTGTTCGATAGCTAGCGGATCTATCGTGGACGCGCGCTCACAATATCTCCCAGAATTATCAGTATTTGTGCTATTTTTACTGCAAAATGACGTACAAAACGAAGATGAGGAAAACTCTGAAAGCTAAAAGCATGCTAGCTGCCCGTAGAAGGTGCGAGCTGGCTAGAATCCATGGATTACGCACTTTGACGAGTGAAGATCGTGGAGGCCTCTCAGCCGCGAGTGTGAGGAACTTGTTGCAGCCCGCTACCCCCCCCCCCCCCACAATCCCACCCTCTGCCACCGCACATTCTCCACCTTCTACTCCAGGTCTTGCACCTGCTACTCCAGATGTTCCACCTGCTACTCCAGGTCTTCCACCTGCTACTCCAGGTCTTCCACCTGCTACTCCAGACGTTCCACCTGCTACTCCAGACGTTCCACCTGCTACTCCAGACGTTCCACCTGCTACTCCAGACGTTCTCGCTCTTGATGTTGCAGGGCCCAGCACCTCAAGTGCTGTTGCAGTCGTGTAATGGTAGAATTTGCCATGGCAATGACAGCTGTCAACTATAACGCTGGGTATGTGATGGGATCACTGAACAACCTCCTCGGTCTACCACAAAGTGACGTACGGGACTGGTACTTGAACAAAAAGGACAAGGATATGCAGAGACCAACGAGACCCACAACCAAACCAAGAAAGGCCCCTGAGGGAGCTGACCCCGGCTATGGCGCAGGTGCCTACTAGTGCCACTCCAGTGCCACCTTGAGGACCCATATTTCTGACCAATTATATTAGGTTAGTATGTTTTAGTGTTATATTGTGATATTACTTCATATATATTTGTACATATAAAACTGGTGGCAAATATATATATATATATATTGTTATTTTTTTTTTTTTTTTTTTTTTTTTTTTTTATTTTATTTATCAGGCGATCTGCATGGAACTTGCACACCTTACTGAACCCATGCCTATCTACAAGGGTGCAAATTTTGAATGATATCGGTCAACATCAACCTCAGCTAAAGGTGGCTGAACTTTAACCTCCGTTTGTGCAGGTAAATATTTTAAAATTTTATCTGATTTCACAGACTTTATTTATTATTCAATTTACATGAAACTTGCACATTATATGTAAAGTTTATGCCTCTAAAACATTGTGGTGGCTTTTCTTTCTACGTAGATTTATTGATTTTATAAATATTTATAAATATCATATTAGTGCATAGGATTTTTGGGAAATTTACAAAATCTGTATTATTGCACTAAATACATCTGGGATAAAAATCCACCACACAAATCTTTATTATATAGTAAGGTCATAGCTAAGTTTCATAGAACTGATTTCGGTTCACAATTGTGGCCTGTGAAATGATTTGAACATTGTTGAAAAATTGTCTAAAAAATTTTTTTATTTTTTTTCTCCCTCTCTATTTAGGCTGCAATGCTGAAACTTGGCCCAGTTGCAGCACCTTTCACATGTATCAGGATAATAAATTTTCAATGCCCTACAACAACTTTCAATTTCCATCTAGATGACCCCTTAAGCTGTTACACAATGCTGGTGATTCCTGTACTTGCCTTCCTTTTATGGTGTACATTCCTTCTAGTCTCATATCTCCCTTTCCAATCTTCATTACCTTACACTTGCTGCAGTTGAATTCAAACAGTCCTTTATTGACCCACTTCTGGAGTTTGTCAAGGTGATGGTTTTAGTAATATATTAACAGAAAAACAGATTTGCCGTATCATATTGTACTTACTATCATAGATAAGAACAGCTCCAGAACCCTTGTCTAAAACATCCACAACTTCTACTTCTGTGTTTACAGTGGCACTTGTTGGAAGTGGTTTGAAAATTTCTATATACATTTCCCCATGAAGAAGCTGAAATAAAAATTCTTGGTAATATTATGAATAAACATGATTACTGTATTACAGTTTGTGTATAGTGCTTATATTTTATGAATTTAAGCTAAAACTAAAAAACTAAATAAAAAGTGAGTTTAATGAGATGCATTGAAACTTAACTTGGACTTCCAAAGGGTTTGGAAAGGATAGGGGAGGAAGAAGGGTGGGATGGTGACAATCTTAGACGAGGTTTTGGATGTGGAGAGAGGAGGCTTGAAAGTTTGGTGGCCTTTCCACCTTGGGTTGGAGTCATATTTACCCACCCGGCAATACTGGGTGCAAGAGGTGTGTCTGTGTCTGTGTACTTTGTGTTTTGCATTGAAATTACTGATGGTTTTGATATTCACAACCTTCTAACCATCTACCATTCTGTTTAAAATTGAGTACTTTTTTTAGGGGAGGGGGAAGAGTGGGGGGCAGCCTTGATTGATTCCTTAGCTTGGGTCTATGACCTTATGTTCATGAAGATGCAGGTTTCAAGACTTTGTCAATTTTGTTGATTACAGTTACTATTTTGTATGCAGTGATCATATCACTTATTTTCCTTCTATCTTCTAGTTTGGGTGAATTTAACACCTCTAACCTCTCTTTGTAGCTTTGTGTTTCAGTCTCAGGAACGATTTAGGTGTGTACTGTATACTTTATTCCTTTAAAACTCTGAACTACAATGCCAGTCCTGACCTTAAATGCTTCCTAGAAGGCTGTAACAGAACTCATGGACTCCATAATAGAAACAAACATCTTTTTGATAAGCCAAGAGTGAGACTTAACCAAAGCAGAAATGCTATGCAAATCAAGGGTCCCAAATTGTTAAAAACCTCCAAAACGTAATTAAAAGCTAATTAATGCTCATAAGTTTAAAATGATACTAAAAAAATATTTACTAATGTAACTAATTTCGCTCACATTACCTCACCGAACAAAGATTTCTTAAATTTTACTTACTATAAATCTATGCCTTTCTTCATTGTCATCTAACTTGTGTACAGTATCTAATTTTTGTAAAATTGTTTATTAAAGTAATATATTCTCTTTACTTTCAACTTTGCAAACTTGCTCTACGTTATGTTCTAGTAGGCTTTCTAAAACATACCTTTGTATTTCATTGCTGTTATTAATGTTAAAAATCACTTCAGTACTGTTGCTAGAACTGCAGAATCTAGACTGTAATAGCCTACGCCTATCATCACCTTTATATTGTATATTATTCGTCACATTTCTTGAACATTTTCACACATGTTAGCTTACTTCCCTTTAGCATTGTTTTTCCCATTATACCTTTAAGTAATTTTACATGTAAATTACTCTAAGTTTCGTGTGAAACATTTTGTGTAGCAGTGGCTTCATTTGTGTGTGTGTGTGTAACCCCTGTACCTACAATTGTCCCTTCATCTTATATTCTTTGCATGTACTGTACATTCTTATGAATAAAATTACTATCATCATTATTATTTTAAAGACAAGGAACAAAATAAAATAAACAAGACCATTCTTCATCTTCCACATCATGAACAATTCTGTTTACCTTTGTAAGATCAACTGACCACCCAGGAATATTACTAAAGAGATCTCCACCCATGGCAGATGCTTGTGAAGGCACGATACCAAAGGTTGGTAGTGGCATAAAGTCTTCACTGTTCTCATACAAGTATTGAAGGCTATTCTCATCCTTTGTAGATACACCAACTGAAAACAATTGCAGTTATAAAACAATTAGCACCAGTATACTTGTGTACAACTTGAAGGAAATATTCTACCGAGTAACTTGGTACAATATTACTAATATGGTAAATATCAACTTCAACATCAAAATATGGGGAAAATAAATACAAAAGAAGCTAAATTTCTAAACTGCAAACAAAATAAAAAGATTAAATAATCTTTATACACCCCAATTAACCAAAGACAAATGAGATGGCAAAAGTATCCTTGAAGAGAATCTAATATACAGTACACACACATTAATAATACATCTACAATGGATTGATCACTTCAAATATATATTTCCAGTAAAACAACATCTGAGAATCTATAATTCAGATTTCCTGTACCTGTACCCTTTGACTGACTATTACTTACTAAAGGGGAAGGATCTAGCAAAAGAATTAGGTCCCAGAAACAACCAGATATCACACACTGGTGCACCATTTCTCAATAGATCAACATTTGCCATGGCATTCCAATTTCTAAATACTGAAGTGTGTTTGTAACACATCACACTATACTGTATACGAAGAGTTGCACTGCTCAGTCACTAAAGAAAATCTAGTAAGGATGGAATTCCACCACTTTAAGACTTGCATGATACAAGGTTGCAGAAAAAATTTAATATTTGTTAAGGACTCAATGTTTGCTTAAGGCTTTGAATGTTACTCTTACCTCCAAGAGCATATAAGATTACATCCTTTGCGCCATATGTGAAGCTACTTGGTTTCAATTTTACCCCAAGAGCAGAGAGCTGAAACATAGGGAAAATTATACAAATCTCTATAATAGCACAAAATATATGTTTGTAAATATATAGCTGTAGCCAGCAGTACAAGAAATTTTAAAATGAACAGATGCAACTTTTAAAGAAGGTAATAAAAACATTGGTCTTGTAAGCTAGAAAAAGGCAAATATGAATGTATTACAATACTATTATTTATGAATGTCTGAATAAAAATTTGAGTAGTATTAGTAGTCTTGTACTACTGATTGCAACACTAGTACTAAGTGGGTGCAACACCAATAAAAAGTATTTGTAATAGCATTTTGGAACTCTTTGGCTGCACAATGTGATAGTAGTCAAATCAAGGGAAAGGGGGTTAATGGTGATAAGTGACCTCTGTTCAAATGCCTAAAACAGTATTTTAAAGTTATCTAATGTTCAACCAGGTCCTCTGATCTTCAAAACGGGAGTCTGGACACAGCAAATGTTCCCATCTGTTAGTGACAATTGAACTTTACCTCATGCTGCTGTACCAAAACAGCAATCATATCTTCTTTAAACCCTAGCACTTACTGGTACTCATATAATTTGACTATTATTATTATTTTTATATTTTTTTTACATAATTAAGGTAGTGTATGTTATGTTGTTTTGTATGTTGTAACATGTTCAGTACAATATACAAATTGGTGCATAGGTAAAATACAAATTACACACACACACACACTAAGTATATTCACAATGAAATCACAATAACATTATGTTCCTACCAGAAAATGTTAAGGCAATGTGGCAAGATTAACTCATGTCTCTCGACTCCCCAAAAACATGCACTGCCCACTAAACCATGATACTAAAAGTATTACAAGCACAAGCTTGATGGAACTTGCTTGAGGTTTGACATGCATCTAACTGGTACCCAAAATTGAATTTTTATGATACCTGCCACACTTGGGTGAAGGTAGTGATGTTCCTTAGCTTACACCCCCCTCTGTAATGGGAGTGAAGGTAGGGAATATCACTACCCATGATCAAACCACTGAAATTCCTCAAGGAAAAGTCAGACAAATTAAATTAATATAAAAAGCAATAACCCTTAAATTACAGAATGCTGTCATTGCAGCTGCATTGTTAATGGGGCACATCAAATGAAAATCCAGAGTATTCAATTATTTGTGTGATAAATATTTACTTTATTATTTTTTTAATATAGATAAGGCTATATTAAGAAATATGGTAAAGGTAACTCAAATTAACTCACAGGTCCAGTCACTGAGTGTGAAGCAGCAGCCGTGGAGTTAGACTTGACATTTTGCTTCTCGCTATTCCTTTGGAAAATCTGATGGGGGAATTTACCAACGTTCATTATTCAAGCTATAACATTTGCAAAAATTTGTTAACAAAATCAGATGCCTACATTAAAAATAACTATCATAAAAATTAACTTTATGTACATGAGCCGTGATTAAAACCATGCTTCAAATTACAGAGAAAAATCTATGGTTAGCAGTATCGATCCCGAGAACTCAACTCGGGGCTAATTGACTCATTTTATAAAATCTGAATTATGAAATATTAACTGTCTAATAAACATACAGTATAATAAGATATTTCAGCTAATATTTTTATGTACTGTATACAAATAAGAACACCGAACTACACACATACACCCACACATACTGCTAGATAAAGCTAAAGATAAATAGTAGAGACAATTAGTTTAACACAAGATGGAGAGGGGGGGGGCCACATACACACAAGGGAACACAGGTGAAAACCAAGTATCCAGATAAGCCATAGAGACATTAGAAAGAACTCATTTAGTGTCAATAATTGTTAACAAATGCATTAAGCAGTGATGTAGTGGAAGCAAACTTCTTACACTCTTTAAGATGTAGATATGATAGAGCCTAATAGGCTCAGGAATCTGTACACCAGTTAATTGACAGTCGAGAGGCAGGACCAAAGAGCTGAAGCTCAACCCCCGCAAGCCCAACTAGGAGACTACTGCTGAGCAGACAGCACTCGTAGTAAAAAGGGCCCAGGTTTAATTACCAGCTGAGGCAGAAACAAATGTGAAGTTTCTCTCATCAGATGCCTCTGTTACTCTGTTAACCTAGAAATAAATAGGTGCCTGGGAGTTAAAGACAGCTGCTACAGGCTGCTTCCAGAAGATGTGTGTGCGCGCGCGTACGAATGTGTGTGTGTTAGAGAAATATATGTAGTAGACATAATAAACGAAAACAGATCGGTTAGAAAAGCTGGGTCCAAGAGCTAATAGCTCAATTCTGCAGGCACATAGTAAATACCCACATATGGAAAGGAATTACAAAACTAACAGAGATCAAGGGATGATTCTGGATAGCAAATGGTCACCAGAGGAACAGAAAGGATATTGTGTGAGGAGCATATGTTGAGCTTTCCAACTTCAGAATAACTTTTAATTACATGGATGGTGGAATACTAAAGAAACTATTCGTGACTTTTGAAAGACCATTTTCTTTGCCCTCCATGGGCAAAAGATTCCCGCAGTGTGATAAAAATAATGAGAGAAGCTCTTGAGTCTGAACATGAACATGATCAAAATTAGAATATGCAGCAGTTGTATGGTGCCCATATCTCAAAAATCACATCAATAAACTGGAAAAAGTGAAAAGATATGCTATAAAATGGCTTTCAGATCTGAAAAACAGGAGTTATGAGGAGAGGCTAGAGGCATTAAATATGCCAAAGCTAAAAGATAAATGAAAAAGAGGTGATATGATCACTGCTTATAAAATAGTAACAGGAATTTATGAAATTGTCTATGAAGAATTTTTGAAAATTGCAACTTCAAGAACTAAAAAGACACAGGTTCAAAGCTATGAAACAGAGCTATCCCCCAAAAAAATCACAGTTCACTTTTGCAAGCAGAACGGTAGACAGTTAGAGCAAGCGAGAAGGTGGTGAAGGCCAAAACCGTCAGTATATTAGTTTCAAAGGCACATATTATACATGACGGTATAATACTGAGAAGATGGGACACCACGAGAGTAGCTCTCATCCGGTAGCTACATTTAGGTAATTACACACACATAGTACACTATATTTAGCTCGGAAATAATTATGAACATGAATTACAAGGTAGATATTGTATATCTTACCCTTGCAAGTAATGCACTATCTTCAAGAGTGGATGCTGGATGATGAGCCCCTTTAAAATCTATTATTTGTTCCCAATTATCACGGACTTCCTCAGGAGAGACTAAAGCCTTTGGCGATTTCTGACACAGTACTCCTTCTGTTAGCTCCCATCTAACTGTTTAAATATTGGTATAAATATTATGGCATGCTAAACAATGTTATATATCTTAAAAGTGCAAGCAAGTTGCATAGTTCAATAAATTCTGCAACACAGGTAAAGACAAAGTTCAGTTATACAGACAATGGTTAATGTTTACTATTTTCTTTGCCATCTTTTTCTATCAAATAATTTTACTACCATGGGAATAAAATTAAATTTTATGCTACAGTATAAAAATTATGAATATTATCACCTTTCCAAGTTTTAGGCACCATCTCTGGCAGTCAGGTATTTTTAAAGAATAACTGCTGATCATCATGAGAAAAGATAAGGAAAGTTCCAAAAACTGAATGACCTTAAAGAAATAAAGATATGAATATATATCAAAAGCTTTTTTATTTGTTTCTCCCTCAGGTAAAATCTGCTACATCTGTAATACAGGACCATGCAGGAGTCAGATATGCAGGATAATATTTCAACACCAGTACAACAGGAAACAATTCAAGCACTCCCTGTAGAGTCGTACTGGTGCTAGGGAGTATTAAGAACACTAAATTAAGCCTAGAATGAATTCCAGACTGTTTATTCACAAACTATATAATCATTCCAAGCTCTCTCTGCTATCATAAATGACTGCCAATGTACTCTAATTTCCAGTTTGTCTGCGAGAAACCTTACATCAGCTGCCACCAGACTGCAGTGCCCTACTAACAAGATTTCTGACCTGAATGAAGTCACTACACATACTAATGCACAAAAACTTGATACAAAAGGGATGCAAGGCAAAAAGGGAGGGAATGGGAACCACCAAATGATTTGCTTATAAAGGAACCTTTTAAATTTATTCAAAGCCATATTTCTGAACCTCTTCCTGAACTTCTGAAATACACCTGAACCTATTTCCTGAACTTCTGAAATACACAAATCCTCCTTAAATTTTTTTTACAATAGCCAGTGAAGGATGAAATATATTGCACAACGACTTTGCAAAATTTAGTTCAGTGTGATACGCCAGTCGCACTAACTACAATGAGCTGTTAATAAGAACAAATAAAAAACCAGCGTTGAATGTAATGAAACGCCATTTTCTGAGTGAGTCCCGGAGGCTCCCCGGAGCTATCCCAGGCTGATTTGCTAATGTCAGACTTTGGCATCAGTCATGTGTATGGAGTTCTTAGGCCTACCGGGGACCACGGCCAGAACCGGGCCCCCTCAGAGAGGCAAGGGGAGCAATGGCCTATAGAAGCCCCCGTGTAGTTGGAAGCATTCTATGTCTGCCATCGACCGGAACAGGCACCCAGAAAGGTAAGCGCCCCAAAACAAACCCCTATTCTGGTTAAAATTGCTACCTAAAACCGAACTAGTGGATAGAACTCCCCAACCGAAAACAAGCAAACTAGTGTGACGTCACACACTGCCGCGCCGCTGTCTGCGCAGCTCCCCCCTCCCCGGGAGGGGGAAGGGGGAGCCCCAGACCCCCCGCGCCGGCTACCCACACCTCAGTTCTTGAGGCTGGATGTCAAAAACGCGAAAAACCGCCGACCGGAGGGAGGGAGGGATGCCGGGGAGCCTCCGGGACTCACCCAGAAAATGGCGTTTCATTACATTCAACGCTGGTTTTCTGGGGGGAGCCCCGTCGGCTCCCCGGAGCTAACTACCCACAGACAGAAAAAGAGGGACTTACCCGGGAGGCGGTCGTCGTTCACCCCTCAACTCTAAGCCGAGACAACTGGCTGCAACCGCCGACCCAAAGCAACACAGGCCCGACGAGGCCCAGGGACATTCACAAGGTAACGAGCAGCCAGGACCCTGTTCGACCGCCAAAATCCCCGCGCCCGAATATCAGACCAAGACATATTCCCAAAGACGGCAGCAAGAGCCGCGAACTTACGAACGTCATGGGCACGGGGATAGACCGCAGGCTGTCTGGACCTAATAACCCTGCGGACGACCTGAGAGACCCGAACCCGCGAACAGGGAAGAAGGGAAACCGGATCAACCCACAGCGCCTCCCCGGACACAGAAGCTGTGGGGCGCAAATAACGGTGAAGCGCCGCAACCGGACACAAAACATGATGCACCCCCGGCCTGACCAACCAAGCATCAACCACCCATGGACCCCTCCGGAACGCAGCAGTCTCCTTCTTCGCCAGAAAAGAAGGAGACGGCTGCAAACGAACAAAACTATCACCACGACCAAAAGAGCAGAAACCCCTGCGCCGGAGGAGAGCATGAAGCTCCCCTACCCGACCCCCAGAGGCCAAAGCCAACAAGAAAAGTTCCTTGGAAAAACAATCCTGGACCGAAGGGGCCACAACGAAACGAGGAGATGAAAGGAAAGCGAGCACTCTGTACAAAGACCAGGACGGCTCAGGCGACGCATGAGCAGGCCGGAGGTGAAACAATGCACGAGACAGCTTGCGAAACGGCGCAGACGTAACATCGATACCGAAAGCAAGCTGAAGCGGCTCCGCCAGCGCCGCACGATACGAAGCGACAGTGTTAGGCATAAGATGACGGTCCTGAAACAACCACGAGAGGAAGGACAAGACCACCCAAACAGACAAGGAGCTAACACGACGAAGACGCAAAAAGAAACGGAAGGACCGCCAGGAAACTTCATACTGCCGCCGAGAAGAAGCCCTCAGGTGGGACACCAACAAGGAGGCCACCTGATCACCATAGAGATGATGATAGACTCGAGTCAAAAAAACCATACGCGAAGACTCGAGGAGAAGATCGAACCAGCTACGTGACGTACCGGCCCGATCTGCTGAAAGAGGCGGAGCCGCGGGAAAACCCTCGGGTTCGGACACCGAGCAACCAGCGCCTGAAACCAAGGCTGCGCCGGCCACCAAGGGGCCAGAAGGACAACTCTCCCCCGGTAAGTCTCTAAGCGAGTCAGGACCTGGAGCAACAGCCGAACCGGGGGAAAGAGGTACAGGAACCCCCACCTCGACCAGTCTAGCCGAAAGGCATCGACCCCGACGGCCTCGCAATCGGGGAAGGGCGCCGCATAAACGGGAAGACGCCGCGACCACGCCGACGCGAAGAGGTCCACTTCGGGGCGCCCGAACGTCTGGCAAAGCCAACGGAAGGACTCGTCGTCGACCGTCCACTCCGTGGAGAGGGGAACGAAGCGAGACAGGGCGTCGGCCAAGACGTTGGACACGCCCCGTACGTGAACCGCCAGGAGAGCCAAACCCCGAGAACTCAGCAGACGAGTCACCCGAAGCGACCAACCCCAAAGAGACAAGGACCGCATCGAACCCCCGCGGTTCAGGAAATGAACCACCGGAGAGCAGTCCGAATGGAGCCGAATCGTCGATCCGCGGGCCACCCGAATCCTCCCCAGAGCAAACCACACCGCCGCGAACTCCCGCACCGTACTGTGAGCTCGACGGAAGGACGGATCCCAACGCCCCTGGCCGGCCTGGTGAGCACTGGTCACAAAACCCCAGCCGAGAGACGACGCATCCGTGTACACATCGAGCGAGGGCTCGGGTAGGCGCCAAGGCACTGAACCCCGAAAAACCCGAAGAGGAAGCCGGTGACGCAGCAACCGACGCAAGTCCCCCGGGGTCGAACTCTGCGATCGCGAGAGAGGCGGAAGGGGGAACCCCGAAGGAACCAGAACAGCCGCCGAAGCCAAACCCGACCCGGCGGGTAGACCACCATCGCGAAGTTCAGGCTCCCGCACAGCCCCTCGAGCAACCGCCGGGTGACCCGAGGGCCCTCCAGAAACAGACGAAGGCGGGACCGCAGCTGCAGGAGAGACTCCGGAGGGAGAGACAAAGAGGCGGTTCGAGAGTCCCACACGAGACCCAGCCAAGTCCGAACCTGAGAGGGAACCAGATGGGACTTCCTCCAGTTCACCAAGAACCCGAACCTGGCGAGCTGGGAAAGAACCAAATCCCTGGCTAGCAAGCAAGCTGACTGGCTGGGAGCCCAAACCAGCCAGTCGTCGAGGTAGGCCAACACCCGAACACCTAGGAGACGCAAACGAGCCACCACAACCCGTGTAAGGCGTGTGAACACGCGAGGTGCCAGGTTCAACCCGAACGGGAGAAAACGAAAGCGGTAACTCAGACGCCCCACTACAAAACCGAGCCAGTCCCTGAACCGCGGATGAATCGGGACATGCCAATAAGCGTCCCGGAGGTCCAGGGACACCATCCAAGCTCCCGGCTCCAAGAGGAGCCGAACCTGAGACAGCGTAGTCATCCGAAAGGAGGGGCAATGAACCCAGGGGTTCAGACGGGACAAGTCCAGAATGAACCGCAGGTCCGCGCAGTCCCGTTTCGGAACCTGAAACAGACGGGAAACCCATCTGAGGGACGACGTCGTTTCGACGACGCCCAAGTGTACCCACTCCAAGACGACTCGACAGAGCGCAGGGGAAGAAGCCTGCCCTGCCAGCCCCGACCCCCCAAAGGGGGGAGGGGCCACCCAACGCCACCGCAGGCCGCGAGACACGACCCGAAAGGCCCACGAATCGTGGGACTAGGCGCGGGCGAACAGCGCAAGCCCCATCGCCCCGTCAAGGGGGCAAACCGCGAAAGGGCCGGCGACCCTTACGAGACCCAGAACCCCGCACAGCGCGAACACCGCGCCGACCAGACGAGGGAGGGTCCGCAGGAGGAGCCAACCTGACACCAGAGGCCTACCACGACGAGAGGAACCCCGAGCCCTGGCACGACCTTTCCGGGAAGACCCACCCCGGGACCCCCGGAAAACCAACAAGTCCGACATCGGACGACACGCCGTCGACGCAGCCTGAATAAACTGCGCCACGGCCGACTCCCCAAACAGGAGAGGACAAAAAGGTGAAGAACGCCTAAGAGCCAGAGCCCAAGCAGATTCCACGGAGGAACCCAGCACCGCCTGCCGACACGCGAGACGGGAAGCATAGAACAGGGAAACCGCATCCCGCAAAATCGGCGTGAACAGCTTCAACAAGGCAGCCGACGAACGCGCAGCCGAGGACAAGGTGCCGGACCCCGGGACGGACCCAAGCGTCCCCACATCCTCCACGAGCCAATCCGAAGACAGCTCCAGGAGGGAAAAGAACCGCAAGGCCGAACACAAAAGGCCCCGGGCGCGCAAGTCCTCCGCCACGAGCGCCGCCGAAAGGGAGGGAACCTGCACATGGAGCTGAATAACGCCCACATCGTGGGGAAGGGCAGGGGCAAACAAGCACTCATTCAGGTACTCAAGTTCACCCCCCAGGAAAACCTGAAGCACCGTGGAAGCTTCCCGCCACTCCAGCGTGCGGGAACGACAGAAGGAATGCCAGGAATCCAGACCAAACAAGGGGCAGTCTGCTAGCCAGGACGACTCCGGAACCTCGTAACGGAGCCAGAAAGGGAACGAAGTCCCAAACCTGAACGTGGACAGATCCATTTCCGAGGCATAATCCGGGTCACGCAGGAGGTAAGCTGCAAAGGCCGCTCGCACCACACCAGGTTGGATGCGATAAGCCGAAAACCTCCGGAAGGACGGAACCGACGTACCCGGGGGAACACGGAACCGAACCCGGGGAGGGGCCGACACCAAATCCAACTCGTACGCAGAGGGGGGAAAAGAAAACCCCACTCCTTGTAACAATAAGCCCCGCTCAGTGGGAAGAAAAACCCAGGCGGGGTCCAGCGGGGCCCAAGGCCCCCAAGTCAGCCCCTCCCCAGCCTCGAGGTCCGTCACCACAGGACCCGAGGCCGAGTCCTCTCCCCAAGCCCCGACCCCACAAGACAAGGACGGAGCAGCCGGAAAAGCTGGAGGAAGGGGGGCCCACTGGTCAGACCCTGAAGCTTCGGCCGGGAGACAAGACTCGAATGCCTCTGCCGCCCCCCCGGAAGGGGCAACCCCCGAAGCTGCCCGAGTCTCAAGATCAAATAACCCCTGCTCCGGCCCCGAAACCCTTAGACGCTTCGGGGCCGGAAGCAGGGGCGGGGGACCAGAACGAACAGAAGGGGAAGGACGAGGAGGTGCGGACTGAACCAGGATCGAAGTGACCCCCACCCCCAAGTCCGGGTCTCGAAAAGCAAAGCGGGGCAGCCCCGGGGCATCCGGGGAAGCAACCAACCGAGCGCGTTGCAACAGACAAAACCTAGACTGCAACGCACGTGCCGCCCGTACCCGAATAGAATCATCAGAGGATTGGGTAAATTGAGTCACAAGCAAGCAGCAACACTCACAGGACTCAGGGTCGAAAGTATCACCAACCCAACAGGCAGCGTGGCAGAGGCAAAAACAATGAGGGTCACCCTGAGACAAGGGGACCGAGCAACCCTCAAACTCGCACACAGCGAGTGGGGACTCCGGGGTCACATCCATCGGACCCACGCGCCCCCTAGGAGATTCCCAGGGTCCTGAGCGTTTACTTTAAGAGGACTCGCGCTCAGGTAGTCCCAGGCAGGGTGCTGCAAACCGGCGCCCAAAACTACCAAGCAAACTTCTAAAGCTGAACCCCAGGGACGTGTACACTCACGGGGACCTAGCAGGGGGCGCCACCGAGGAGAACAGTGGAAGGGCAAAAACAAACTGAATAAAATGACAGAACCCCCCACCAGGCAAAAACAAAAAGAAAAAAAAACCCGCAAGAGGACAGCGAACCCCAAGGAACAGAGCCGGCCGCGATGTCGGGAAATACAAGCTGAGCAGCACCCTGCGCCCCTACCAGTGCAAACTGCCTCTTACCTGCCGGTAACAAGGGAGAACAGAACACCCAAGAGCCCAACAGGCGGTCGAAAAACCGAAAGGTAAAACGGACCAGCAGAGGCAGACCCCGAGGAGCCTGTGGAAGATGGCCCCAAGCCCCAAGGGCAGTACTTACAGGGCACCTAGGGAAGGCAGCCCTAGGCGCATGCAGCCCGAGTACTGAAGATAACTCCTGGCTCTCGCACCCACAAAACTAACACCACACGCAAAGCACAGTGCAGTAGCGACACCGGAGCCAGAGCACATGACCATCGCCTATAGCATCAGCCTCAAGAACTGAGGTGTGGGTAGCCGGCGCGGGGGGTCTGGGGCTCCCCCTTCCCCCTCCCGGGGAGGGGGGAACTGCGCAGACAGCGGCGCGGCAGTGTGTGACGTCACACTAGTTTGCTTGTTTTCGGTTGGGGAGTTCTATCCACTAGTTCGGTTTTAGGTAGCAATTTTAACCAGAATAGGGGTTTGTTTTGGGGCGCTTACCTTTCTGGGTGCCTGTTCCGGTCGATGGCAGACATAGAATGCTTCCAACTACACGGGGGCTTCTATAGGCCATTGCTCCCCTTGCCTCTCTGAGGGGGTCCGGTTCTGGCCGTGGTCCCCGGTAGGCCTAAGAACTCCATACACATGACTGATGCCAAAGTCTGACATTAGCATATCAGCCTGGGATAGCTCCGGGGAGCCGACGGGGCTCCCCCCAGAAAAACACTTGCTATAATATACATACTAAAATTGCAGCATAGCATGCCAATATACACAACAGCACAGCATACATAAGTATATGTATGAAATACTTACACTTCCCAAACCAACCACCTGCAGCCTTAAATAGTCCACCACTGTCTTCACAGTCTTCATGGCACAACCACAACACCAGTGGAGCCACAAGTTCTGGCTTAAATTCCTCATACATTTCTGATAAAAGAATGCAACTTCAGATTTAGTAATTCTGTACCATTACAAAATCTATATAGTTAAGATGGATAAATTGAATTATGTCATTACAATATCAGCCAGAGATTTCAGCAACTAACCTGGAGGTAAAATGCCCTCTGTCATGCGAGTGCCGCTCACGGGTGTAATGGCGTTGCAGCGGATATTGTATTTATATCCTTCAATGGCCACAGTATTGCTAAGGCCCAATAATCCTAGTTTGGCAGCACTGGAAATAAAAAATAATAATTCATGTTTCTCAAGAGGTCTTCAAAATGATTATTGTAACGGATCGTTAATGTAGTACTAGTATGTAGTACAGTAGTATAAAAGTAATGTTAGAGAATCAAACTTTTGGCCAGTGGTCCACTAATCCAGCATACTACCAACCACTTTACAAACAAATACTGAAACCAATTGAGCTACTAACCAGTAGTATGAAAGGTGCATTACTGATAGTCATACCTTACTCACCTTTTAGTCACTGCTATTGCAAGCACATTTACTCGAGTTTACCTGAGAACCACTAACTAGTGGCCTCGACGAGGACAGGAAGCCGGCAGCTTGTCGAATGTTCCCTCCCCCCATTTCCCCTCCTGATCTTTTCCAGCTGTACTTTAAAACCCCAACAGAGTTTTAGCATTAACGGCTTTGGCGATTCCATGGGTTAATATCCCTGTGGGTGAAAAAGCATCTCCTGTTCTCAGTCCTACATTGAGGCTTGTTGAGCTTGAAACCGTTGCTTCTTGTTTGTGTTACACCTGATCTTTAAAAGAAATTTTCCGGATCAACATCCTCCAACTTGTTCAGTATTTTATCGTTTCAATAAGATCTGGCCTGTCATGCCTGGTTTGTAGTATTGTTAGCCCTGTGATGCTCGACCATAAAAGATACGCAAGTTGACTTGGCTCTGGAATGATTTTTGTTGTCCAACATTGCACTTTCCAAGAGGAATTTGCACTTTATCCACGGAGCAATAAACCTCTGGAATCACCTACTTGCCATGTCTGCACTACAGTTCAAATTACAACTGGAATTAATCCTCAGAAATAATAGGGGGACCATTGATGGCTTTCTATTCTCATCAAGGCCGGTAGAGATGGTAGTCTTCAGGTAGCTCAAGTCAATACACATGTTTGTGCATGCCAGGTAATTTAGTACTTTCTATTTGCTTTAAGCACTGCTAGTTTACATAGAACATTTTATTCTGGTTGCTCATTGTTGCATTTTTGGAGGCACAATCATAATAGATACCTTCTTAATATACATTCTCTTATCACTGTCACAAATGAAAAATCAAATATCAAAACCATTAACACTTGCATGTAATTACTGAAGTATTGAGCTATATTTTATATACTTGCCATTAAGTACAATTAGGTTAGTTTGTTTACTAATACTGTACCTGTAATTAGCCTGGCCAAAGTTGCCATAGACTCCAGATGTTGAGGCAGTCATGATGATGCGACCATATTTCTGCTGCTTCATGATTGGAAATGCAGCCCTTGTGACCATGAACGCTCCTCGCAGATGTACACGATGAACCAAATCTACAAAAAATATATAATATGACAATTCAATACCTGAATTTACCCGCGACATCTCAAGTCTAACACACTAGTGGATTCGACAAGGACAGGAAGCTAGCGGCTTGTCAAAGGTACCCCCCATTTGCCCTGGTGATTTTTTCCAGGTGGATTTTAAAGCTTAGAGTTTTGGTATTTACAGCTTTGGCAGCTAGGCATTTCCATGGGTTTATAACCCTTTAGGTGAAAAAGCATCGCCTGTTTCTAGTCCTCCATTGCAACTTGTTGCTCCTTGTTTATGTTACATCTGACCTTTTGAAGAAATTGTCTAGATCAAGATTCTCCAAATTGTTCAGTATTTAAAAATTTCAATGAGATCTGCCCTGTCATGCCTGATTTGCAGCGTCATTAGCCCTGTGGCCCCCTCAACTATTCCTGGTACGATTCCTGATCTACTGAAGACAGTATTAAATAATTATAGTCACCAAATGAATGTAAGGAAAACAATTTTGCAACGTAGTTATGTTTTCAGGTGGCTTTTTTAATCATCAATGCTTTCAGTTAAAAAAAAAGATAAACTGTGTTATGAACCCCCCCCCCAGGTAGCCTCATGAGGTAGTACTCATGACAAATAGGCCAGATTTGGGCCATTTCCCCAAGTAAGGTAATGTTGAACCCCTTCTCCATATGCAAGAAAATTTCAGGGTGATGTTCCAGTGTTCTCTCCATTATTGATCGATTGACGACAGCAGCAGCGAGTAGTAGTTATAGTAATTATCTTATTTTATCAGGAGGTGGGGGGTCTCTGATGATTAGAAGATAAATAGGAAAATCCCTCCCTTGATAACTGTTTCAGGGTGTCTAGGGTATGGCTAAGGTTATACAAGTTTCAAAACACTTTACATTTGATTTATGGCCAAAAAATCCTTTTATATGCAAATGTGCACAAAAAATTTACCCACATCACTGTAGACAACATTGTGATTAACTAAAAACATAAATAAATTTGTGAATTGTAAAATGTTTTGGGGTCTTTTTTTGTCAATTGTAATTATATGGACTAGAAAAAAAAAGGGGGGAAGGGGAGGAAATAAAACTGGTTTGAAAGTACAGTACACAAATGGTCAAGTGCCAGCTGATAAAATATAAAAAAAAGCTATGAGATGTTACCTATCTTATCTCTAAGGATACCTTGACTTATCTCCCACAAGCACTTAGCATTTCTAATGATTTCCAATAACTTGTTCACCAAATAATGCTTATTGTACTGTATTTAAAAAAAAATTCTATGTGTGTCTAGTGTTGCATTATTATTCTACTGCTAATACTGTACTGCATACAGTGGAGTCTTGCTTAAATGAACCAATTTGTACTGGACCAGTCAACTGCAAAAGAATTTCTATTGTATCCAACATTTGCTATTGTGCTAGTGTATACAGATTAGAACTAGGCTTTTCTTAGTGCAAACAATAAAACATTTTTCAACATTGTAATTCCAAAGTAACTAAAAAAAAATCCATTTAATTTTTTTCTGTAAAATGATCATGGTACTGTACAACATATCAGTAGTCCTCATAAACTCAAAATTTTAATGTTATATCTCATTGCAACCAATCACAATGCTCAAAATCACATTAAATTCTTCTGTTGCATTTGCACTTCCAGCTAATTGGGTTCTGTTAACAGTTTGCGGGGTCCGGCCTCTCCATGCATTCCCAATTGTAAGTATTCTGGGCTCCTCGAGTAGCCCAAGGGAACGCTCAGCGATGAGAAAAATTATTACAATCATTTTACGTTTCTCAGTTATTTGTTGGGTTATAACAATAAATTTGGTGTCAAAATGTTCGCAGATGAACAGACAAAGAGAAGTCTAGAGAACAGATGTAAAAACTAAAGTACTGTACTTATACCTGTAGTAGATGAAAAATACATGAAATATTGTTTTATGTACAGTATAACATTTTACATAAAACTCATAGTTGGTTATTGCAATTCTTGAACAAGTCACTACTCACTAAACTTCTATAAAACTTTTGTAAAGCAAAATATAAAAGCCATAGCAACTTGGTTGGTCTTACCCCAATCTGTGTCAGAGATACGAGCGAAGGATCTATCCCTCAAGATGCCAGCATTATTCACCAGGATGTCCACACGGCCAAAATTATCTAGTGCAGTTTGAACAATATTTGCTCCATCCTCTACTGAATCATAGTTGGCTACAGCTGTCCCTCCTGTTAACATATATTATACCTGTACTGTAGTTAAAGCTTTCATATTAAAAAATATTATACTGTGAGCACATTTCAGAATTTATCATCAAAATTTATTGTAATGATAAATATGATGCCAATATATGACTATAATCTCTATCTTTAATTCATATTCATGTTACAGTACTTCAAAATACTATACAAGACAGATAAAGAGCAATGGAACAAAAAGTGTTTTGGTTCAAATATATGCACTGAAATTAATCTTTGTTACAGTTTTCACAAAAAGTTTACTTAATTTGCGAAGTGAAACAGACAGTATGTTTATACATAATGAAGTGAAATAAAATGGCTTAATCTTCTCTAAACTACCAATCCAAAACATAGTTATTAGATAATATTGTTTAATCAAATATATATACAGAATGGAACAAATGAAAAGTGCATTTTGCTGTACATATAGAACAGTTCAGCAAAATGCATTACATATTAAATACAGACATTATATTCAGATAGTGATACATATTTAAACAATACACACTAACATATAAAAGCTAAATCCCAATAATGTAATCTCAAGGTGATAGAGCATTTTCTTACAAGACAGTACAATTTAAGATTAGCACACCACTAACCTGCACTGCGTATCTCCTCCACAACCTTGTCTGCAGCGCTCGAGCTCTTGCCTTGCCCTTTTGTGTCGCCACCCAAGTCATTCACAACCACCTTAGCACCACGAGACCCGAACATGAGAGCATAGGCACGGCCAAGACCTTTACAAATGAAAAATTATGTACTGTACTGTATATAGAAAGTTGGAAAAGATGCCTTGACTACATCCGATCCTATCTTAGTGACAGACACCAATATGTAACCATCAATGATACAACTTCGTCCACTCTACCAATTACCGTTGGAGTGCCACAGGGCAGCATCTTAGGACCTCTTCTATTTCTTATATATATAAACGATCTGCCTAATGTCTCTAATATTCTCAAACCTATACTGTTTGCTGACGATACTACTCTTATCTATTCAAACCTCAACCCACATACACTAAATAATGTTGTGAATAATGAATTAAAAAAAGTCCACTTATGGATGTCAACGAACAAACTAACATTAAACATCGAAAAGACTTACTACATCTTATTTGGAAGCAAATCATCAAATGCAATTCAGCTACAGATAGACAACATTAACATCAGTAATAAAAATAATGGCAAGTTTCTTGGCCTATTCCTAGACAAGAGACTCAACTTCAGCACCCACATTCAACACATAACTAAGAAAGTCTCTAAGACAGTTGGTATACTCTCCAAAATCACACATACAATATACAAATTACATTAAAATACATATTCCCTATTTATAGTAACAATAGAGATGCAGTATATTTTATCTTAAATAATGAACTGTATTTTTAATATTTCCAATGGCTTTTACTTTAATTATTTATATTTTTGGGCAGATCATTTATCCTAATGTTCCCCGGAATACGACATGCCAAATCGTTTAACAACGAGGTATCCATTCACTTCTGGGTGAGCAGAGGCTACGGTTAAGGATTGGTGTCCAGTCAATCCACCTCGGCCAGGATTAAGAACCTAGGCCAAAAGCGCTCATGAAGTGCCACGTGAATGTTTTACCACTACGCCACAGAGATGTGGTACAGTTCTTAGCCATCTAAGATGGCTACATTAAATTATCACACTTTCTGATAAACTCTTGGAAAGATTTTATGCCACAGTTCACTTCAAATGCAGCTGATCATGGTACTACCATACTTAAGTGGTGTCTTACAAGATGGGAATAAAAATATAGGTTATGGGGCTGTACACAGCTGAGTGAATATGGAGGGTTAACTATAGTACACTACGGTACGGTACTGTCCAAAACAGTACGATACGGTACACGACGGTACGGTGTGGTACGGTACACGACGGTACGGTACGGTACAGTGCAGTACGGTACAGTACAGTGCAGTACGGTACGGTACAGTGCAGTACGGTACAGTGGTGCGGTACGATACACGAGGGTACCGTACGTCGTGTACCGTACCGTCGTGTACGGTACGATACACGAGGGTACCGTACGTCGTGTACCGTACCGTCGTGTACGGTACACGACGTAAGGATTCCCCATCGTACGACGGTACGACGAGGAACATATATTGAGAGAGTAAGGAACATATATTGGGAGAGTAAGGAACATATATTGGGGGAGTAAGGCACATATATTGGGGGAGTGAAGTACATATATTGTGGGAGTGTCAGCACAAGATACAGTGCGAGTTTGAAGCGATATCAATCACGATGACACTCCAAAACCTCGGCTGGGTTCGAGGGGTTTAAACTGACCGGAGACTAATACAGTTTTTGCTGAAATGCTCTGTGTAACTTTATTATATCATACAATGAATAACTTACCGCCCCCAGCTCCCGTGACTATAGCCACTCGACCATCAAAGCGGAGCGGAGCCGTCATCCTGCCAGCTTCACTGTCGTCAGCACACAGATGGTGGTGGACGGCCACTACTGCATCTCCCACCCCCCCGCCAGCCCATGGAAACAACATCCCACTCCCACCCCCTTTAAACCTCACCTAACCCCCCATGAAAATCCCCCCACAAACATCCTCCCACCCCCTAGAACTTCACCCACGTCACTCAAATATCCTCCCCTCTACACATAAACTTCCCCATACGCCTAATAAACCCCCACACCTAGGCGCACACCTGCCCGAAACGCTTTGCGTAATAGTGGCTTTAGGCATTGTATGTACTAGCTCTATCTATAAAGCCAACAAACTTTGTAAAATCTCTTTATGTATGTACCTTTACCTAAATAAAAATTATTATTATTATTATAATTATTATTATTAAGATTAAGCCACCCAAGAGGTGGCACGGGCATGAATAGCCCGTAAGTGGTGGCCCTTTCGAGCCATTACCAGTATCAAAAGATGATACTGGAGATCTGTGGAGGCGCAACTGCACCCTGCGTGACGGGAGATGTCTCCCGGACCAAGTGGTGACCAAATGGTGACACCTAGGCGTCTGTAATCCTCTTATATAGGATAGGATAGCGGCACACTTTGTTGGGCATTTTTCCTCTCACCTAATGCCTCTGTTCACCTAGTAGTACATAGGTATACCCAGGAGTTGGCTTGTTGTAGGGGTTGAATCCTGGGAAGGGTCTGTAATTCAACCCTGGGGGAGGGTAAAACTCAATTTAATCCTAACATGTATATATGCATGTTATATTTATTTAATTATATACACTGGTTTCCTGTCTTCCGACACAATTAATTATTGTTATTATATTAATTGTCTGTCTTTGCAAAGTTGGAGGCCAGGCACTTAATTAGGGCTAGCCACACCTAAATTTGTGGTGGAAATGGTCTGGGATACGGATTCCGTACCCCAGATCGGAATGGACATAGACTGGCCGGAGGTAGGGCGAAAATAAATGTTTTAGCTTTTTTTAAATGAAATCGTGATTTTAAATGTGGTGTTCAAAATACGTAGAGTTTATCGCTAACTGTTTCGTAACATAGACTGCCCAGTTATCAGACCCGTTGGCATTAGGTACCTGGAGCTTTGTAATTACTGTATTCACTCTCGTGTTCTTGAAGATATCCTCATAATGCACCCAAAATTTGCCAGTACAGCTACTACTGAACATATGAACCTGTATGACTAACCATCCTGCGAGATAGAGACTTCTAGTATCACTGTTACCTTATTCATTCTTGTGTTCATGATGTTATCCTTTTAATGCACCCAGAGTCTGCCAGTACAGACTACTTATCACATGCCTTTGTATGACTAACCATCCTGTGTGATGGGGATTTTAGCATCACGTAGTTAGCTTTTTGACACTGTACTTCCCTTCATGTAGCCTACAGTAGCTGCACAAATGCAGCTGTACCTAAATGTGTTAATAAAAAATATATATATACTGGAGTAGGAAGATAATTGCAGTGATAACATTGCACCCAAACGGCAAGATTAAGGCAAAGCGTCTGGGAATCACCAGAACGAGAGTCCAAGTCACTGCCACAAAAGGATTTTCAGAGACAAGATAGATAGATACATTGATGGATAAATACCATCAATGATATGTAAGAGTGCCTCCCATATTAATAATTATAATAATAATAATTTTTTGCAAGAAAGTACATTTGGTTGGTGATATTAGATAAGATTGGTATTTTCACATTCATGCAAAGCCACCAACACGCATAGCGTTACGGGCCCCATGCCCTTGCACCACCCACAGCTCTGCTATTCAACAAATGTCTTGGAGTGTCAAACTTTCCCTAATATCTTTAAAAAAAAAAGCGCGAGTAACGCCAGTTCACAAAGCAGGCGATACGGCAGTCATAAACAATTACAGACCAATATCAAATCTACCTATATTATCAAAAATAGTTGAAAAAATTATTTGCAAACAGCTCTTCTCATACCTCGTAAAATTCCTCAACCTAAGTCCCTGCCAGTTTGGCTTCCGCTCCCAAAAGAGTACCAACGATTCAATTATTAGTCTGCTTGATATAATCTACACAGCCCTTGACAAAAATGATTTTCCAATTGAACTCTTCATTGACTTGAGAAAGGCCTTTGATACTGCTAATTATAAATACTTCTTACTTAAACTTCACCATTATGGAATCTGAGGCCACGCCATGAACTATATTCAATCCTATCTTACAGACACTAATATGAAGCCATCAATGATACAACTTTCCCCACTCTACCATTAACCGTAGGAGTTCCACAGGGCAGCATCCTAGGACCTCTCTTTTTTTCTTTTATACATCAATGATCTGCTTAATGTCTTTAACATTCTTAAACCCTATACTATTTGCTGACGATACTACCTTTGGCATGGAGACCTCATCTTCAGAAAGACATAGCTGCTCTAGAGAAGGTGCAACACCGGGCAACAAAACTCATACCAGAGCTTAGTTACCTCTCGTATCAGGGACGGCTGAGGGCCACTGTGCTAAAAACACTGCAAACCATGACATGATTTGACAATTTCATGCAAAAGATCAGATGTAATACGAACGAGGAGCAACGGGTTCAAACTCAACAAGCCACAATGTAGGACATAAAACAGGAGATGCTTTTTCACCAATAGGGTTGTAAACCTGTGGAACCGCTTACCTACCGAAGCAGTAAACGCCAAAACTCTGCTGGATTTTAAAATACAGCTAGAAAAGATTATCAGGGCAAATGGGGGAACCTTTGACAAGCCTCCGGCTTCCTGTCGTCATCGAGGCCACTAGTATTAATGGCCCTCAGGTAAATTCGGGTAAAATCAACTCAGACCCCCAACTAACACACACACTAAATAATGTTCTAAATAACTAGTTAATAAAAAGTCCACTCATGGATGTCAACCAACAAACTCACACTAAACAGAAAAAACCTACATTTTTTTTATTTGGAAGAATATCAACAAATGCAATTCAGCTTCTGATAGACAATGTTAACATTAGCAATACAAATTATGGAACGTTCCTTGGCCAATATATAGAAAAATACTTTTTTTCCCCTCTTCGACTTGACTCCAGTTTCTAATTCAAGATTTCTGCATCCTCGCATCGCTTGAACCTGTGGAAGTGGGAAGTGAGTTCCATAGACCATGTCCCTTTATTTGTATAGTGTGTTTACACAGATTTAGTTTGACTCTGGGAATATCAAAGAGATATTTATTTCTGGTGTGGTGATTATGGGTTCTATTACATCTGTCAACGAAGAGTTTCAGATCAGGATTTGTATTTACGAAGGTTTTGTACATGTAAATGGCACAAGAGAATGTGTGGAGTGAATATATGTTTAGCATGTTTAGGGATTTAAACAGGGGGGCTGAGTGTTGTCTGAAAGCAGAGTTTGTTATTGTTCTGACAGCAGATTTTTGCTGAGTGATGATGGGATTGAGGTAATTTGTAGTGGTTGATGCACAGATTATATATAAAAAAAAATGAAGAACATTATTAGATACATTGTAGTAAAATTTGAGGATTATTAATAGGTACATTGTAGCAAAATTTGCATTAAACATAAGTATGATACAAGTTGATAGAAGTGATTGCAATGGTGAGGTTGCATGTCTTAGACACAAATAATGGGGGAGTGGGTAGCGCAAGATAATAGTTCATTGAGTCGGGGGGACAGGAAGCCAGGGTGTATTCATATACGTTTTAGCTTTTTTTAAAACTTACCGCCCCCAGCTCCCGTGACTATGGCCACACGACCACCAAAGCGGAGCGGAGCCGTCATCCTGCCAGCTTCACTGTCCTCAGTACACTGATAGTGGTGGACGGCCACTGCTGCAACTCCCACCCCCAGCCAGCCCATGAAAACAGCATCCCACCCCCTTTAAACATCACCTAACCCCCCATGAAAATCCCCCACAAAAATCCTCCCACCCCAGTGCCTCATCCACACCTTGGGGACGCTGGTGGCTCAGTGGACAGCACGCTGGATACATAGTCCTGAGGGCCGGGGGTTCGATTCCCGGCGCCAACGGAAACATAAAATGAGCAGAGTTTCTTTCACCCTGATTCCCCTGTTATCTAGCAGTAAATTGGTACCGTGGTGTTAAACAGCTGTCACGGGTTGCTTCCTGGGTGTGGGTGTGTGTGGAAAAAAATAGTTAGTAGTAGTTAGTTGATTGTTGATTGACATTTGAGAGGTGGGCCGAAAGAGCAGAGCTCAACCCCTGCAAGCACAACTACGTGAATACACCACTCAAATATCCTCCCTCCCCCTCCTCTTCCCCAGACGCCTAATAAACCCCCACACCTAGGCATCTGTAACCTTCTAATATAGAATAGGATAGCAGCACACTTTGCTGGGCGTTTCATTTCTCCTAATGCCTCTGTTCACCTAGCAGTATTTTTGTGCCTCGAGTGAAAACAAACATAAAAGGCGGTACCTTTTTATCAATTTAAATGATTAATAATAAAATATTAGCAACTGCAAGTTCAAAAAAAAAATCAAAATGTTTATTTAGGTAAGGTACATACATAAAAGAGTTTTTACAAAGAGTGATGGATTTATAGTTAGGGTTAGTACATACAATGCCTAAAGCCACTATTACGCAAAGCGTTTCGGGCATAAGCAAGTTGCATGGAATGTTGTGCAACTGTAGTTCCAAATAATTTGCAATTGAAGATGCTGGAAATTATTGCAGCTTCGCGGTTGCTAGAAAATTGCAACTGCAAGTTGTAGAGTCCGAGTTACTCCATTGCCACAAAATGATTTTCAAAGTAGATAGGTACATTGATGAATGAGTGAATATATGAATGGACGGATAGAACGAGATGAATACTGTATAAAGATGGATAGATAGATTAATGGATGGATCGTTAGATAGAAGGATGGATACATGAATGGATTGATAAGTAGATGGATGGATAAATACATGAATATATAAATGGGTGGATGGACAGATGGATGAATAGAGGGATATATAGACAGATTGATGGCTAGGATAAATGGAGTTGATAGATTGGTAGATATAGGAGGATGGATGAATAGATGAGTAGATAAAACGGATGAATGGATAGACAAATGGAACGATGATCAGGTAAATCGATAGATATACGAGTAGAAAGCTAGATGGATATATAAATTGATGGATAATAGGTCAGATAGATGAAGAATAGATGGATAGACTGATGAATGGAGAGAGAGACAGACAGATGGAAAACAGACCCCGGTCAATCCCAGGTACCCCCCCCCTCCTACAAAAGTATATGGGAGGCAGCCTTGACGATGAAACCATCTGATGTAACGGTGGGATCAGGCAAGCATATCTTATATCGTAGTCATCTCGAGTGCCCTCCAGTTCTGGCCGTATGAGATAGTATTCTTGCTTATGTATACCATGACATCGAGGAGCATTGGCACTAAATGCTCTGTATTGATCATACATGAAGTTACTGTATTAACCTTGAAGTGCCAATCAATACTGTGTATATACATGAGAGTGAAGGTCTGTCCAAGGCTAAAGGTCAGACTCGTAGGGTTAGCCTCACCCAACTTTGCATGGGGAATGGACTGGAGTATGAGACAGACCTAAACTAGTCAGGGTTGGCTTAACTTTAATGCTTCAAGAAATATTGGCATTTTTAGACCCCCAGGCCAATTTCATGGCGTTAGGTGTCAAATATTTGGTCTATTTTCCCCTAGAGTTGTTAGTCCTTTGTAATATATTTTCTGAGACACCCGTACCATTGTTTAGTGCTTAAAAATAAATTTTCTGAGAGAAGGTAGAAAAGAGGAAGAGGAGGGGGAAAAGTGGGTGGGAAAAAGGGGAAGGACAGGGAGGGAGACGGAGTGTGTGCTCTCACAGTAGGTCTGGATAATAAAACCTCAAACTCATTTGCACAATTTATACTACAGTACAAACAGCAAAATATTTCCAAAATATAAATGCATTACTGTATTTTCCAAATTTATAAGTAAATTTGCAAAAACGAAAAATTTACATTAACTCAACTATTTCAAATTTCAGTAGTCGGATTTGGTTTGTTTAGAGCAATGGTACCCTAACACTCCTCAGTCATTACCACTTTTATCATATACTGTAGCGTCTATTTATGGCCCCTCTACACTCTGTAAAGAACCCCATCTGGTATCATAACCTGGTCACTGCCTCAACTTATAGCCCCCCTATATATATATATTGGAAAAAGAACCTCCCCCTTCCCCCAGTTTGCATTGGTTTAGAGGGATTCGTTATACAATGTTTGGTTTAGAAGGGTGCACTACTTTCCTTATTGGTTTAACATTCTACTGGTTTCTTTATTTTTACATGTATAACTTGACCATTACCGTTATGCCTGAGTTTTTTTTGTACTCCCCCCAAATCTATTAAAAAAAAAAAGAGCCACTAACACTATACATCAAGGTGAGTGGTCATAAAATTTTGCTTCAAAATTTAGAGGACAGGACGAAATATTACTCAAGTACTGTAACTGTATACCAATTGTGTTGAAACAAGAGGCAGAACCACAAACTTGAGCACCACTAGCACAAGGTAAGTACTAAAGGTCATTTTAATTTGTCTGAAAACTTGACCTGCATAAACATGCAAATGGCTATCACTGGTGAGGAAATCAACTGGAACTTTCATTAATATACAGTACATCAGTGTGATTTCTTGGTGTAATTACCTAAGTGTAATTACCTAAGTGTAGTTACAGGATGAGAGCTACGCTCGTGGTGTCCCGTCTTCCCAGCACTCTTTGTCATATAACGCTTTGAAACTACTGACGGTCTTGGCCTCCACCACCTTCTCACTTAACTTGTTCCAACCGTCTACCACTCTATTTGCGAAGGTGAATTTTCTTATATTTCTTCGGCATCTGTGTTTAGCTAGTTTAAATCTATGACCTCTTGTTCTTGAAATTCCAGGTCTCAGGAAGTCTTCCCTGTCGATTTTATCAATTCCTGTAACTATTTTGTATGTAGTGATCATATCACCTCTTTTTCTTCTGTCTTCTAGTTTTGGCATATTTAATGCTTCTAACCTCTCCTCGTAGCTCTTGCCCTTCAGTTCTGGGAGCCACTTAGTAGCATGTCTTTGCACCTTTTCCAGTTTGTTGATGTGCTTCTTAAGATATGGGCACCACACAACAGCTGCATATTCTAGCTTTGGCCTAACAAAAGTCATGAACAATTTCTTTAGTATATCGCCATCCATGTATTTAAATGCAATTCTGAAGTTAGAAAGCATAGCATAGGCTCCTTGCACAATATTCTTTATGTGGTCCTCAGGTGATAGTTTTCTATCTAGAACCACTCCTAGATCTCTTTCTTTATCAGAATTCTTTAAAGATTTCTCACATAATATATAGGTTGTGTGGGGTCTATGTTCTCCTATTCCACATTCCATAACATGACATTTATTAACATTAAATTCCATTTGCCAAGTGGTGCTCCATATACTTATTTTGTCCAGGTCTTCTTGAAGGGCATGACAGTCATCTAAATTTCTTATCCTTCCTATTATCTTAGCATCATCAGCAAACATGTTCATATAATTCTGTATACCAACTGGTAGATCATTTATGTACACAATAAACATCACTGGTGCAAGAACTGAACCCTGTGGTACTCCACTTGTGACATTTCTCCATTCTGATACATTGCCTCTGATTACTGCCCTCATTTTTCTATCAGTCAGAAAATTTTTCATCCATGATAGAAGCTTACCTGTCACCCCTCCAATATTTTCCAGTTTCCAGAACAACCTCTTATGTGGAACTCTGTCGAAAGCCTTTTTTAGGTCCAGATAGATGCAGTCAACCCAACCATCTCTTTCCTGTAATATCTCTGTGGCTCGATCATAGAAACTGAGTAAATTCGATACACAGGATCTTCCAGATCGAAAACCATACTGTCTGTCTGATATTATATCATTTCTCTCTAGGTGTTCTACCCATTTAGTTTTGATTAGTTTTTCCAATACTTTCACTATTACACTTGTCAATGATACAGGTCTATAATTGAGGGGGTCTTCCCTGCTGCCACTTTTGTAGATTGGAACTGTTAGCCTGTTTCCACCCGTCTGCTACGATTCCTGTACACAGGGATGCCTGAAAGATCAGGTGAAGTGGAATGCTGAGCTCAGATGCACATTCTCTCAGAACCCATGGTGAAACGCCATCTGGGCCAGCTGCTTTGTTCTTACTGAGCTCCTTGAGCATTTTTTCCACTTCGTCTCTAGACACCTCTATGTGTTCTATGTTGTTCTCTGGAATTCTTATTGTATCTGGTTCCCTAAAGATTTCATTTTGTACAAACACACTTTGGAACTTTTCGTTTAGTGTTTCACACATTTCCTTTTCATCTTCCGTGAATCTATTTCCCATTTTCAACCTCTGAATATTATCCTTTACCTGCAATTTGTTGTTTATGAATTTATAGAATAGACCTGGTTCTGTTTTACATTTGTCCGCAATCCCTTTTTCAAAATTTCTTTCTGCCTCTCTCCTCACTGCCGTGTAGTTGTTTCTCGCATCTTTGTATCGCTGGTATGTTTGGGGGTTCGGCCTCTTCCTGTATTGATTCCATTTTTGTGTCTTTCGGTCTCTAGCCCTCTCGCAATTTCTATTGAACCAATCCTGTTTCCTAGTTCTGCATCTCTGTTTTGGTATAAATTTTTTTGTGCCTTTATCATATATTTCACAAAACTTGCCATACATCTCATTCACTTCCTTGCCTAGCATCAAGTCTGTCCAATTATACTCACTAAAAAAATTTCTAAGGTCACCATAATGTCCTCTCCTGAAGTCTGGTTTTTCAACTGCTTCAACCTCCTTATTTTCTTCCAGCTTATAACGCATTGCATACTTTATTCCCAAAAAGACATGGTCACTTTTACCCAAGGGAGGAAGGTACTTTATGTCAAATATCTCTTCCTCCTTCCTGGTAAATATCAAATCTAGCATGTAGCTATTGTTTATAATATAGTAGTATAATATAGTATAATAATAATATAGTATAGTATATAATAATATAGTATAAATAATATAGTAGTATAATATAGTATAATATAATAGTGTAGCTATTGTTTGGTGCTTAAAATAGTACAGTACTCTCAGTCAAGTTTCAAGCACGACTTTATTCAAGTAAAACAAAGTAAAAAAAAATCGAGTCACTCTCCACAAGCCCCGTGACCCCCAGCCAGGTGTGCTTGCTAGTGAATAGTTAGCGGTGGTTACACTACCAGTGTTTCTACCAGTCTCTCATTACCGACATCGTTGGCACAGGACATGACCTGACCAGCAGGGGGTGTACACACACACACACACACACACACACTAGATTACACCCACTGAAGCCATCTCTTCTGGTGCTTCTGGGAACAAACTACTGCCTCCACTAGTCCCTTACAGGTTGTGGTGTTGTATAAATATTGCAGATCACCCTTAATTAGTGTTGTCAATGTGCTTTATATGTTCTTTTTTACGTTTTCTCGTATAATCAAATTTATGTCAAGACAGGGTTTCAGGTATTTTTCAAGTTCATTAATGTTTATGATTATAGTAAATTTATTAATTGTTCATTTGTTGTTTTTGTTTTTTTATCTCCTGTGCAACTTTTCACACTGCAAGGGCCAAAGCAGCACTTATTTTTCTTCGATAAGAGCGAGGGCCACATTACGTCTGCGATACCGTTTCATGTCAATACGTATATATATATACAGGTAATCACAGATAAGCACCAACAAATTACAACGGCCATCTACATCACTACCCCACTGCTTCATAGGACCAGGTGAATAAAAAATGCAAATTTAAATATTGAAATTTTTAATACTGACTAAATATTGTTGAGTGTAATTGTACAAAATTTCAAATCGCAATTACCTTAGACACTGTAGTTCTACACAATGCTTAAAGCCAAACAAAATTCTTTAGCTTATCAAAGAACCTACAATGTGTTCATACTACACAAAATTATATAAATTTATATTTTTCATGTAAATTAGCACATTACAACTGCTTTATATAGTAAATTGTGTGCCAAAAATAAAATATTTCCTGACAACTTAATTTCACTGGATTGCCCACATTTAACTGCTAACCCTTTGGCTGTGTCACCATTTTCAGCTTCGCCCCCACCTCCCCCACACAGGCCAAACAAGTAAATTTGGAAAAGCTACATTTTCTTTTACATCTTTAGAAAACCTTGCTCTTTCCAGCTGTGCAGCTAAAAATTGCAGTCAATTTTCTAATAGATAACATGGTCCAAGTAACCACAAACCACAGTAACAGTACATGCATTTGCAAGACATTGTTATAAATACAACCAGTGATCATAACTAGCTATTGGTGTTTAAATATGTATATTGACTTTTGGGAGATTTACATTTTTTGGGCGGCTATATATTAAAATAGTACCCTAATGGTCACCAGGTGGCCAAGGAACAGTGGGGAGAGGGGGCCCAGCCTAATATGAATAGGGATTATCCTCATGTGTCTTTTCATACAAGTTATGTTCTCTGAATGCACATTTCTATAAAAAATGATTACTAAATATGTTGGCAGCATCAATAGCTGCCAACGATCATACAGGAAACTTACCATGTATGTAGTGCTGTACAAGAATGAAGACATAACAAAATTCGATATGTGAACTAGAATTACAGTACACTGTGTATGTCAAATGGAAATCAGTACAGTATTTGGATAAAATTTCAGTAATATCCCAAAAACACCAACCCCTCCTCACCAGTATATATATACTGTACTTCACAGCAGTATTTAAAGAAGGAATGGAAGGATTGCTTTCCTTCGGGGGTAATTCTTGAAGTCTTTTTTGTAGCTGCGATGCTTACCCAGAGCCCACATGGTCATCTGATAAAATCCAATAAGAGCAAACATTCCAGCTGAAAATTAACAAAATGGGAAAATTATTTGTTTGAGTCACAGGATAAGTCCTGTACACAACATGCATAATCAGTCCTGTACAGTTTATGGAATCTAGAATGTCTGCAGTATTCAGATGATTATCTTAATATTCTACTACACAAAATTCTTGCAACCCTGCAACATCACTGGAGATGGGCATCAATATATGAACTATATAAATAAAAGACAGTTCCTGACAAACGTTTGAAATCTTAAATTGTTATTGCCCTTTGACAATTATTGGATATACTGTAGTCTCAAAACTCTTAACCCTTAGGCAACTGCCAACGTAATATGACATGTTTTGGTTTATCCTGGCCGAGTCTGGCTAAAGTTATACGACTTGCTATGGCAATGGAAGGAAGCTACCTTCGCCTTCAGGATCATAATCATCCTTTAAATCCATATTCACGGTTAAGAGAAGAACTAGCACAGAAAATATAGCAGCTTCTCAAGTTAGTATCTGCAACCATATTAAAAATAATTTATACATCAAAATTTTCTACAGAAAAGTGTTACTTACCTGGTAAGCATTGAGTCATGACAGTAAATGCCACCCATGATCCAAATTCATATGTATAATTAGGGCAGGAGACGGCATTGAAGAGCAGTGTCATTGGGTTACTGTCAGGGTATGGAATCTTACGTTCTTTAGATCCTGGGGGTCGTAGATTACGGAGGGCCACATGAATGCTGAAGTTTCCAAATTCACACACCTTTTAAGGGGTACAAGGTCAATACAGATGTATAAATATTATATTTTATTAAATCAAAAACAAAAAACTAGTGATTAACTTAAGAACTATGACCTAACCAGGGCTTGAACCACATTACCAGGGCTCACCCTCTGGTGTACACAGTGCCATAACCACTTCACCAGCGATTGCCTACAAGGATTGGTCAGCCATGGAGATCTTTAGCCGAGCTCCATGACTGACCAATCCCGGCAACACTTTTGATGCAATTTGGGCACCACAAGGCAGTCATTGGTGAAATGGTTATGGTACTGTGTATGCCAGGGGACGAGCCCCGGTAATGCAAGTTCAAACCCTGGTCGGGTGAGAGTTCGTAAGTGATTTATGCTTGGGGACCATTCAAGCTTTCTTTCAAACTAATAATTAAGTATTTAAAACCATAGTAGTATTACAAGTGGTATTATTTAGGCATGTTTTGAACACAGCCAATCTAGGAAAGTATTCTTGATCACCTGGTCTAATAATCAAATGCCTACAGTCCATCAGCACGCACATGGACAAAGGAGGAGATAAGGTAATTATCATGAGGAAGTGCTAAGCCATTACTACTATATAAAGAAGGAGCTGGACGAGAGGGCCTCATAACACAGTGGTTGATTGGCCTCAAACCAACACAGTACAGTATATAAAAACTGAAGAGTACCATGGCAGTTGAAACTAGGTTAAAAAATGAACAAGACCACATTACCATTACCTAGCAAGAAATATTTTTGTAACTTTATACGGTACTTACCAAAAATACAGCCAAAGCTAAATAAATCTGCAGATCACATGGGGCTGTAAAGAGGGGATGGTTGACATGGTATGCAACATATGCAGTGAAACCCCAGTAATATGCACAATTCTTGAACAAGTTGAACAAAGGCATTGTACCATGAGAAAACCGGTGGACAAACTGGGTTTCAAGAAGCCGCTTTGCATAATGAAATGTCCAGCAACCAGCAGCAATGCTGAAAAAAATGTATTCTTAGTAATAAAAAGAAAAACATGCATTTTATATATTATATATATATATATATATATATATATATATATATATATATATATATACAGTATTAGAAATAATTTATATACTGTAGTTATAAAAATCAATAGTTTTGAGTTTACACTTTTGCTACTAAAGTGACTATTCAGCAGAATTATAATTGGTTTACTGTTCTGATGCATGGAGTCATAACAGTTTGAGATAATGTCTCAAGATGAAAATGAAGCCTGGGATGGGGGGGGGGACCCAATTTTATAGCTAGTTGAAAAAAGTGCCTATGTAATTTAGTTACTGAAAACAGTGATTGCGAGTAGAAATATAAAATTTGAGTAAATGTTGCTGAATGGCGCACTTCATATATTTTAAAGTACCATGCAAGATTTAAAAATCCTGCAGCTACACGGGATTCACATCAGCTTCCTTAGGACTTGTAAACAGCCGCCATTTTAAAACAAAATCGTGGGCAATATTCTCTGGTTTGTGCGCCTCAATACCGAGTGAGTAACCAAGGCTGGGGCACACAGCATGAGCTAACTGCATTGCTGTTCAACTTGTGACCACAGCATCGTCTAAAAAATGTCAAAATATATGTAAATGGTATTATTTAGATAATACCTTTAAACCTATTTTTAGAACAAAGGATGCAAATCAAAACCATGCAGCATCGGTTCACCTTTCTTATTAATTAAATTTACTTTATACCACTCCCAACCGATTATAAAAAAAAAAAAATTATATATATTTGTAGTTGCTAACAGAGAATCACTTACTGAGTGCATGAAGAAACTAGTGCTGAGCTTCCTTTATCGCCATAAAAAAGCCATGGCCGCTGATAAATCCACAGGTAGAGCAACAATGGACCAGCATACTCGGCAATAAAGACTGTTTTATAGCCAATTTGTGGGCCTAAATCTTTCACATACAATCTGTCATCTGACTTGATACCAAGTTTTTCAAGGACATCAGTATCTTTCAAACCTGTAAGAGTTTTTGTTTATTAAAATTACATACATCTGTAACTTTACTTTACAGCTAAAGCTTTCTATTCAATTTGAACCATAGAATACTTTGAGAATTGGTAAATAATGGTATAACATTGAGACAGTGAAAGTTATAATACATGGAAATTCCCAGTAACTAAAGTATTATTTTACATACAAATCACACTATTTTGTTGATGTTACTGGAAAAGCTTCAGAATGAACTTGCCTTTGCCCTTCTGCTCCAGCCTGACTTCTTGTCTCCCCGGGTGTAGAACATTCTTTTGCTGCTGAACACATTTCTTAACATCTAAAATGGTGCTTGATGATTTCAGCTATATAATGTCATGGGGGGAATAAAAAAATGAAGTTTAGAAACATTACAGAAAATACTGCCTTAAAATAACTTATTTGTTACGGATAACACATTAAAATTAATTACTAATTTTTTTATGGATTTGACATCTGCACCTGTAACATAATTACCCAAAATTTAGAAATATGGTTATAATTAACAACAAATAATTCCAGATTAGGTACTACTTACTATATGTTTAGAATGTACAATTTTTCAGCAAAAAAAAATTGTACAGTAGCCTCTATTTAATATGTAAAATGTACTGCAGCTGATAATGCAAAATTCCTGCAAGGCTTTGACCCCAAACTACCGTCATGTACAATACCAGTACAACATACCAATTCTAGTATACAGTGACATCTCCATATAATGGAACCATCTTAATAACTTTAACCCTTTTCACATGGCAACTCCATGGCGACGGGAGAAAAAAATAAAACTTTCTAATGTTAAGATGCATCCCCTTGCTCATGGGCACTTACAAAATATATATGTAGCTTACTTTAGTTGTGGTGGAGATAGGAAATATAGCAGTGATTATATTATGCAATAGTGTGTAATTTGTGAAATTGTTTTAATAAAACACGTAGAACATCAATACACAAAATACAATACATTTCTCACTAATATGCACACAATATTATGTTCTTTGGAGAATAAAACAAGGTTTTAGCCATTATTACGCTGTATAGTACTTACATCTTGGAGCAAGATGTGTGGCACTAAGCTGACCACAGGGTTAAGAGATTATCACTTGCCAGAACTGCTTAGTGGTTTGCATCAGTGCATAAACATGTAGATACTGTATTAATATAAAGCACGTGTGAATACAGTGGAACCTTCATTCAACAAACTATATGGGACCAACCCGAATTCGTTGAAACTAAGCCTCTAGGAGGAATTTGCATGACACTTATATAATATAATGCCCCAACTGTTTCTGCTAATGTTGCAACACCATACATATAAAAAATAAAAACCATGATATTAGTCATTAAGTTACCATTCATACTGGCCGAAATCCCAGGTGACCTGCGCTGCCACCTGGTAGCCAGGTGCCTCGCTGTTAGGGCATTAATACCATAACAACTGTTTACCTCGTAACCTTTAGACACCTAATTTCCGTCAAGCGGTGCTTGCTTTATTGCACTCATGCTTTCTGATCCCCCAAGCTATCCTGCCTTGTGGAGTCAGATTGTGATCCTGGTTCCTGGTAGACAAAGGTGGGCTTCTGAGGCTGGGTGCATTTTCCCTAAGTTTGGTTGGACCAATGCTTAGCTCATGGAGCTGCTGAAGGGCCCCTTCCCCTTAAAAAAATTAATTAGCCTAGTATCATTTAAATGAACCCAGTTCCACTTACCCCACATACTGAAGTGACGAACTTGCCACTCTTTGCATTATAGATGTCCACCTTTTCAATCTGTAGAATAAAAATATATATACTGTATGTAGTGTGTGTTGAAAAAAAAAAATGACTTAAAAAAAAACAAGTCTTACAGTTGCCAAATCATACAATTCAATATGCACCATTACACCTGTAAACTAACGTGTTTCCTCAACACGGTCTGCACTGTGAAGTGCAGGAAGCAAGTAGGTTGCTAATGCAGAAGAATTCTGCTGGCAGAGCAAAAATGTGAGCAGTGAAGGTGGTGTCCTTTTTTGTTGTGGGGACCACCACCTTTTCTTGCAAAGTTTCTTATAACGACTTTTTTTTTTGTCTTTGCCTATCCCTTGTTTCGGCATCCTTCTCCCGAGCACCTGCACGAATCTCTGGAACTCTGACAGCTTGAGATAATACTGAATATTGCCATACGATTCATAAATGGTGCATTGTATTCATTCCCTGTAAGGAGAAAAAGGCTTCACAAAAATCACAGTTTTCCTGGACGGCCCCTGGGAGCCCGTCTGTGTGCGTATCACCATGAGATTCCTATGCCGCAGTTTACCAGGGAGGTGTGTGTATATATATATACATGACTTGCGTTGTTTACCTTGGAATTCTCTACCATATAAAAAACATTTATTTAGGCAAAAGTACATCCGTACATAAGATATAAATATAAGCAGACTGTTCAATTCATAGGTAGGCTGGTAAGTTGCCTGAAGCCTTTAACACACAACATTCCAGGCATATGAGAAAAATTTAAAGGACTCGACACTAAATGAAATAAAAACCCATTAATTAAGAGAAAAAAGAAATAAAAGGGCTTTATATAATGGATGGAACAGTCAAATTGTAACAGAGCAACAGTACTTTTACAGAATAAACAGAATGAATAAAAGTTTCTATTAGGTTTTACACGACAAATAACAGCAGCAGTACAGCAACAACGCTTGTATCAAATTTGCATAATTTTTTTTAAATCACGTCCTAATATCAAATTTAGAAACCCTCTCCCACCCCTTAAACCTTTGCACTTTCATTACACCTAATGCCTCTGTTCACCTAGCAGTAAATAGGTACCCCCCTTAGAGTTAAGAAACCATTGTTAGTTGAGAAAGACCAGCAAGTGGCCTACGAGGCCTTCAAAAAGCAAGAAGTCACCGAACCTTTTTTTCTATCTCTTCACCCCCTCGGGGCCCAGGTTTTTCTCTCCCACTAAAAAAGCTATCTCCAACTTTCACAGCACAAAAAACTACTTTTATAGCTTAGCTTCCCAAACATAGGATGAGAAATTAATATATAATATTCCGTACATACACGTGACGATCGTGGGAACTGTCACTAAGCAGCAAAAAATAAGAATAATACAAGGAAAGGGAAGACACAGACCTCCATGACTGCCTCTAGCCGCTGCTGTCGACCCACTGGCCGGGCAGACGACACCACCTCCGCCCTGCTTTCTCCCTTCATTCCACCTGCTCTTCCCTGCCTGTCGTCACAAAATACACCATTTAGCCATCAAACAAATATATATATATATATATTTTCTTCACTTAACTATATAAGTATAATCAATCACGCTTCGATAACTAACGTAATTTAGCGAGTAAGGGATGACACTAATAAAAAAAGTTAATAAATGAAGAGTTAAATTCGGTAAATATAATAATTAAAATATGAAATTTAATATATTAAATTTGAATAATATATTTATAAACTGATATAACTTAATTTATATTTGTATGTAGATTGTATAGCCACATGTTAGTGTGGTCCCAGAGGTAAACAAGAGTCCTGCTGGCGGCCTGTGCTGGCCTCTCTCACCACCACAATGGAACACATGTGTAAAGGATTTACTGATTTATTAAGAAAGCCTGAGGACTATTTAAGGTAGGGAGAAGCTAATATCAGTGACCTCTGATATATGTATGAGTTTTACTTGCAGGGATATTAATCTTATTACTTTTTTGGGGGATCTGTTGACCAACGACAGCTTGAGGTAATACTAAATATTGGCATACGATTCATAAATGGTTCACTGTATTCATTCCTTGTAAGGAGAAAAAGGCTTCACAAGTCTTCATTCCCACATATTCCAACATGGGAGGGGATCCATTGGTAAGTACTCTCACAGCTCTCTTGATTTCAGCGACTATTGCAAGATTTTCTGCCTGAGGCTGCTTTTGAATCGGTGCAAATCACTGCACCATTAGTGGTTCAAGAAACCTTAACGCCATAACAATGGCAGTTAGCTCTGCTTGCCATAGAATACGTGCTTTTTCTTCATTTCTGCGTTGGAAGGTATTATCCTTGATTACCGTGTGTGTGTGCCATTGGGGGGGGGATGTGACCAACGACAGCGTGAGGTAATACTGAATATTGGCGACTGTCACTGCATCACTTCACGCCCAACATATCTATAGAAGTTTTTAGAATTTTTTTCTGCCCGAAACGCTGCACGTACTAGTGGCTTTACAAGATTGTAGTTACCATATTATGTATCCTCACAATCCCAATGTATCTTCTTGTATATATATAAATAAATAAATAGAGAGAAATTAACCCAACAATTCACACAACTCTTGCTTACCCATCAGCCAGCCATCCACCGACGTCCTAACATGGGGTCACAAGTAACCTTTAGTGCGGATCTATCTTTCAAAACTGATTTTTTTGTTTTTTTATACTTTTTTGTCCTTTATTACAACACTGGTATTACTTTAATGTTTTTTTTCAGACCTAACAGTAAACTTAAAGATGCTTGGGTGGAGCAAACCAGGAAAGTGTATAATTTCTTGAAAGAGGAGGAAAAGAAATATAATCTTCGCAGCCCAGAGGATGCAATGCCTCAACTGTACACAGATGGACTTGATAATGAACAGGTAAGATCAGGCAAATAACGATACTGTAAAGTAAAGTTTCTTTAAATTAAACACCAAGCTATATTGTCAGATTGGTCTATTTACTGCACCAGTTTTAAAATTCTGTATTTTTAAGTGCAGACACTGTGCAGTATATATGTAGGGTGTATTATAGATGTATTATACAATCAAAGTAATAATAATGAACAATAAATTATGAAAACCACAGTGGCCTTAACATTAACACGTGGCAATGGCCTCATATAGGGGGTTAATTGAAATACAATACTTCAAATAGACATTATGGGTTTTTAGAAGTTTTTCCTTAGGTTTTTTCATGTTTTTTTTAGAAGTTTTTCATTAGAACTTTTTCTTAGGTGCTGCCTCTAGTACCTTACATCACATGACCCTGCCAAATTGTTTGAAACAAATTCCTGCAGTGTTAATGCCTGACTGTTCAAGAGTCTCTTTACCCTAGGGATTAACCAAATTAATCTTTTTTTTGTCAGAAAGGAGATTTCCATATTGATTCAAAGACTAATTTTTTTGTGCACCTGTACGTGTGCATTTAGAAATATTACTTTATTTACAAGGTAACTGCTGGAATGTATATTTACTTGAAAGTTCACAATATCCCAGGGGAATGAAGGATAATGCATGGGGAGCGACCTAGTGACCAGGTCAGAATGGAATGTTTCGTCTAGATTTTGGCACCTTAATTTTACGTCCAGTTTACCATATCAATTATTGTATTACCTATGCTAGACTAAGCTAGTTAATTTTCCCGCAGCTCTTACTCTAGAAGATAATAATAATAGCTAATAATAATAGAATAATAGAAGATAATAGCTGTCATAATAATAATCTTGAATTAAATTCAAGATTGTAATGATATTCAATTTTTTTTCAGATCTGGCAGTTGGTGGAACTACAGAATAAGAGTCTCTTGGCTGCTCCAGTTGATTTCCGGGGATTGGATGAAGTGAATCTCTGCTTTATGGTGGCTAAACTTAGTAGTTTAGCCAAGTACAATAGACTGTCAGTAGCAGAAAATGTAAAAGGAAAAATGCCTGTACTATTTGATGGAAACTTGGACGAGGGCATTGGTGGTAGCAGTGATGATAAGGAAGAGGAGGAGGAGGAGAAGGAGGAATTGCCAATGGACAGTTCAAAAAACAATGAAGAATCTGGAAGTGAATTTAGTGATGATGAAGATATTTTTGAAAAACCTGAAGCTTTCAAAGATACTGGATTGGATGATAATTTTGGTGATGACAGTGATGATGAAGAAGACAATTTTGATGAGTTGATTGCTCCAGAGGGGAAAGAGTCTGAAGATGAAGAGGAAGAAGAGGCTGCTGTTAGAGAAGATAATGGTAATAAATTGGATTCAAAAGAATTGAAAGCAAAGGGAAAGAAAAGTGTGAAAGCCCAGCCTTTTGGAAATACTACAGTCGACACAAAATTTTTCAAGCTTCGAGAAAGTGAATGGGTGGCTGACAATGATGCCATTGGAGAGAACTACGATCTAGATTCCGAAGATATTGACTTTATGGCAGACATATCTGATGAGAGTGAGGGAGAGGTAAGTAGTGTCTGTTCTTCTTGTGTTAAAATCTGCTTTCAAAGTGCTATAAGTAGATAAAACATTTTTTTATCACTTAATGCTAATACTGTGCTTTCTGCACAGACTCTTAAGGTGGCTCCTTGAGCTAGCTACCTGGATAACCACCCAATACAATCTTTACCGAGACCTTGTGATTCATTGCAATCCTATCAGGGACCAGAGGCCAACCTTGGCTCCTCTACAGAGGCACAAGGAACAAGAGATACTAGATTGCCTTTCCCAAGAGAAGGCCACCAAAATGATGGATGAGCCAAAACATACAATCATTGGTGTTGTTTCATCTTGGGGTTGGGGGGGGTGGGGAAGAGTTCTTGGGCTCTGTTCAGTCATGGGTTGCAATGTTTTACCAATAGGGGAATGTAATGGTACACCTACCTTTCTGGGTGATACCCATGGTCGATGGCAGACATGACTTTACTATCAATAAGTGGCGTGATCATAAGCTATTGCTCCCTGTGCTTCTCTGAGGGAACCAGGTTCTGGCTCATGGTTCCCGGTAGGCAAAGAACTCCAGTTAACTGATAATCTGGACTAATATAGGGATATCAGTCTGTTAGCTTCAGTGGGCCTCCTGTGCAAAATCCAGAAGATGGCATTTCATTACATTCAATGCTAGAGTTTTTAAATGAGAAATACCTGAGCAATATTTGACCAACCATGGTGTAGATTAGAATTTAGATGCTTTTGGTATTAAGTACAGTATTGTAGTTAGCTACACACTTACATTGCATGATGGTACAGTAAGTGTATATAATACTGGATTTCTATATACAGGAAGGTGCTATGTATGATGCATTTTTTGATGTGACAAATGATAAAGAAAAGAGAAAATCAAAGAAATTATCAGAACTATTGAGCGAGGATATGGAAAACGATGAAGATGATGAGGAGGAGGAAGACAAGAGCGATAAGGATTACGATGAACCTCAAACTGGCTTTGGGAGAGTTATGCAAGATCATGCAAGTAATACAATAGAGGATGAATCACCTCACCTCTTTGGCAACCAAAAGGAGGAGGTAAGGAACACTTAACTGATTTTACATAGTTCTCATTATCTTGTGGCTAATTGTCTTTTGTGGTACACTTTTAGATATATATTTATGAAATCTGGAAAGGAATTTTATATTTATTTGATTTTCTATTACATACATGGTCATTCATTTATATAATGCTAACCAGCATATATATATACTGTATAAAACTTATTATATATAATAATTGGCTGTTGATTGCTGGTGTTGACTTCTTGATGTGTAGTGCCTCGCAAACGTCAAGCCGCCTGCTATCGCTGTATCTATCGATGATTTCTGTGTTGTTTACTAGGATTTCTCTGGCGATGGTTTGGTTATGGGAAGAGATTATATGTTCCTTAATGGAGCCCTGTTGCTTATGCATCGTTAAACGCCTAGAAAGAGATGTTGTTGTCTTGCCTATATACTGGGTTTTTTGGAGCTTACAGTCCCCCAAGTGGGCATTTGAAGGCATAGATGACATTAGTCTCTTTTAAAGCGTTCTGTTTTGTGTCTGGAGAGTTTCTCATGAGTAGGCTGGCCGTTTTTCTGGTTTTATAGTAAATCGTCAGTTGTATCCTCTGATTTTTGTCTGTAGGGATAACGTTTCTATTAACAATATCTTTCAGGACCCTTTCCTCCGTTTTATGAGCTGTGGAAAAGAAGTTCCTGTAAAATAGTCTAATAGGGGGTATAGGTGTTGTGTTGTGTTACTAACACAACACCTATACCCCCTATTAGACTATTTTACAGGAACTTCTTTTCCACAGCTCATAAAACGGAGGAAAGGGTCCTGAAAGATATTGTTAATAGAAACGTTATCCCTACAGACAAAATCAGAGGATACAACTGACAATTTACTATAAAACCAGAAAAACGGCCAGCCTACTCATGAGAAACTCTCCAGACACAAAACAGAACGCTTTAAAAGAGACTAATGTCGTCTATGCCTTCAAATGCCCACTTGGGGACTGTAAGCTCCAAAAAACCCAGTATATAGGCAAGACAACAACATCTCTTTCTAGGCGTTTAACGATGCATAAGCAACAGGGCTCCATTAAGGAACATATAATCTCTTCCCATAACCAAACCATCGCCAGAGAAATCTTAGTAAACAACACAGAAATCATCGATAGATACAGCGATAGCAGGCGGCTTGACGTTTGCGAGGCACTACACATCAAGAAGTCAACACCAGCAATCAACAGCCAATTATTGCACAACTATATTCTACCCACCTCAAGACTCCGCTCCAATATTGAAGCATCAAGAAATATGGACCAATAGGCTTTCTACAAACACTTCTATTCAATACCCATTGTTTCTGTTCTGTCTTGTGTTGATACTTTTAATACCCTATTAATATCCTCTCTTGTTCTGTCTTGTGTTAATGCCACATCACCCCTCCCACCTCACTCAAATGTAGATATAAAATCAGAGATACGTTCTAATCAGTTGTGTATTTGTGAAGTCTTTGAAAATGTAATAAGTTTTACGAAACGCGCCCGTGTCGCGTCAGACTAGAAATAAAAATGAATTTTGGAGAAGTGATTTTTGATTTACCTCCAACAGTGAAGCGTAATGTACGAAAGATTGAGAAAATTCGTGTTAGAATTATTAATCTTACTTTTTCGGTCATATTAATAATATATATATATATATATATATATATATATATATATATATATATATATATATATATATATATATATATATATATATATATATATATATGTCGTACCTAGTAGCCAGAACTCACTTCTCAGCCTACTATTCAAGGCCCGATTTGCCTAATAAGCCAAGTTTTCCTAAATTAATATATTTACTATAATTTTTTTCTTATGAAATGATAAAGCAACCCTTTTCTCTATGTATGAGGTCAATTTTTTTTTATTGGAGTTAAAATTAACGTAGATATATGACCGAACCTAACCAACCCTACCTAACCTAACCTAACCTATATATATAGGTAAGGTTAGGTTAGGTAGCCAAAAAAAGCTAGGTTAGGTTAGGTTAGGTAGGTTAGGTAGACGAAAAAACATTAATTCATGAAAACTTGGCTTATTAGGCAAATCGGGCCTTGAATAGTAGGCTGAGAAGTGCGTTCTGGCTATTAGGTACGACATATATATATATATATATATATATATATATGTCGTACCTAGTAGCCAGAACTCACTTCTCAGCCTACTATTCAAGGCCCGATTTGCCTAATAAGCCAAGTTTTCCTGAATTAATATATTTACTATAATTTTTTTCTTATGAAATGATAAAGCAACCCTTTTCTCTATGTATGAGTCAATTTTTTTTTATTGGAGTTAAAATTAACGTAGATATATGACCGAACCTAACCAACCCTACCTACCCTAACCTAACCTATATTTATAGGTAAGGTTAGGTTAGGTAGCCAAAAAAGCTAGGTTAGGTTAGGTTAGGTAGGTTAGGTAGACGAAAAAACATTAATTCATGAAAACCTGGCTTATTAGGCAAATCGGGCCTTGAATAGTAGGCTGAAAAGTGCGTTCTGGCTATTAGGTACGACATATATATATATATATATATATATATATATATATATATATATATATATATATATATATATATATATATATATATATATATATATACATATACATATATATATATATATATATATATATATATATATATATATATATATATATATATATATATATATATAATATATATATATATATATATATATATATATATATATATATGTATATATGTATATATGTATATGTATATGTATATATATATATATATATATATATATATATATATATATGTATATGTATATGTATATATATATATATATATATATATATATATATATATATATATATGTATATGTATATATATATATATATATACATATATACATATATACATATATACATATATATATATATATATATATATATATATATATATATATATATATATATATATATATATATATATATATATATATATATATATATATATGCGCGAACAAGCCTGAATGGTCCCAGGACAATATGCAACTGAAAACTCACACCCCAGAAGTGACTCGAACCCATACTCCCAGGAGCAACGCAACTGGTATGTACAAGACGCCTTAATCCACTTGACCATCACGACCGGACAAAATGAGGTGATAGTCGAGGCTATTTAAACCACCCCACCGCCGGCACTCGGATAGTAATCTTGGGCATAGCATTTTACCAAATCACCTCATTCTTTGGGGCACACGTGAGGAACACAAATGCGAACAAGCCTGAATGGTCCCCAGGACAATATGCAACTGAAAACTCACACCCCAGAAGTGACTCGAACCCATACTCCCAGGAGCAACGCAACTGGTATGTACAAGACGCCTTAATCCACTTGACCATCACGACCGGACAAAATGAGGTGATAGCCGAGGCTATTTAAACCACCCCACCGCCGGCACTCGGATAGTAAATTACTATCCGAGTGATTACTATCACTGATAGTGATTACTATCACTGATAGTGATAGTGATTACTATCCGAGTGCCGGCGGTGGGGTGGTTTAAATAGCCTTGGCTATCACCTCATTTTGTCCGGTCGTGATGGTCAAGTGGATTAAGGCGTCTTGTACATACCAGTTGCGTTGCTCCTGGGAGTATGGGTTCGAGTCACTTCTGGGGTGTGAGTTTTCAGTTGCATATTGTCCTGGGTTGCTTCTATCCTCCATAGACAAGGTTAAGGGTGACTGTTCTAAAACTTCCTCAAACACCCAACTTTTTTTCATAATCTACATGGTTAATGCTCCAACTTTTCCTAATTGATGAGCATCATAACATGAACAGAAAAAAATAAACAATAAAATATTAACAAAAAAATATATAAATTCACAATTTCATAGTAGATTTAAAAATAATAAAAATATTAAAGGCTAAAAATAGCCTTCTTTTCTGGCGAAGAACGAGACGGCTGCTTTCCGGAGGGATCATTGATGCTTGGTTGGTCAGGCATCAGTGAAATATATAAACATTATTTTTTTAAATATACTGTACAGTTCTGTAAGGTAAAATGGAGGAAGAAATACTACCTGCATAGAATCAGTGAAGCGCTACTGGGACTGCAACAGAACACTTCAGTACAAGTCTCAGAAAACCCTCGTGTGTTCAGCAGAACTCCAGGTTGCAGTCCTTTTACCATGTCATGGCCTGATTGTCTGGGGCATGTGTGTGTGGGGACTACCCATAACATAGGTTTGAATCCTCATCACGGCTCCTACGAATTTACCTATTAAATACTTTTGCATACAAACTCGGCATTTAACAGAATTTTATTAACTCTATTCATGTTTATCACTCCTCAGAGTTCTTCTCTATTACATTCATTGTATACTTGTTCTAAGTCCATAAAGGTTATGTACATCTTACAATCTTACATTCCTTCAACACTAGCTGCTTCAGTGCAAATATATCCACATACAACCACAGAACCCATCTTGTTTATCATTGATCAATTTTGCAGTTATTCCTTGTATTATTTTAATTACGGGAAGATATATAGTTTTTAATTCATATAAAAATGACAACTTTTATAATTAATTTTCATATTTGATTTTTAATTTTGGATTGTGTGAGTGTTTGTGAATGTGTTTGAATGCATACCCACATTACCAGGCATGTTTTGCGATTTAAGCTTTAATATAATTCCCCGGTATGCACATAGTTAAGAAAGTAATTTAATATAATAGTTGTTTTTCAGGTTAAGTCAACATTTGAGATGGAACGAGAGAGGGAGCTTAAGGTCATTGAAACACTAGAAGAAGCTAATACAAGTGAGAAACCATGGTATTTACGTGGAGAAGCAGTGAGTGCTGACCGTCCAGAAAACTCTGCATTAGAGGAACATATGGAATATGACATAGTTGCCAGACAAAGTAAGTTCATTCTGTCTCTCACTGTCTCTTAACATTCTTTGTTTCCCTTTTTCTGGGGAAGAGCCCCTTTTAGCTCCCTGTAGCTGTTAATAAGATAGAACCATCTACTATGTTGCATCAGCCGTGGAGCTCAATAGGCCTACTGGCGACTAAAGCCAGAACCAGAATTTCACTGCAGGGAGCAGTGAAATTTGTTTTTGCTACCTCACTGGGGAAGGCAGGTGAAAACAAACAACAGTACTGCTAGATTCAAAAGAGACCAAAGCCTTAAAACAGGCCTAAACAACTCTTCATACTAGGAAAATCTGTGATTCAATATAAGGCCACCCTCTAGAAAAATGGAGCTCCAAGAAGAAAGGGGCCCTCAGGATATATGTATAATATATAAATTTTTAAGTTACCAGAAGCATCACATGAAATGCTGAGGAAGGTCTATGCTTTCCATGGCATATGAGATGTTTTTCACTTTCCTCATAGGTTAATACTATTTGAATTGAACCAAAATGGTTATCTTTTTTTCCAGATGAAATATGTTAAAAAAAATGCTCTTATCTTTAAAGGACCAGTTATCACTGAAGATACAACGTCACAAGTTGAGAAACTAATTATGAGTCGTATCCGCATTAAGGCCTGGGATGACGTTGAGAGAAAAGTAAAGCCAACACAGGATCCTTATGAGTACAAGAAGAAGCTGTTGCTTGAGCAAGAGAAGAGCAAGAAGAGCTTGGCTGAGATATATGAGGAGGTGAGTATTTAATTTAATTTATGAAATAACGTTGTGGCATGAATACATGGAGATTAAGGATAAATCGGAAGCATCTAAATGATTCAAGTGAACAGATCCATACTAAGAATAAAGTTAACACTTTGCCAGGCTTGGCACGCGAGCCCCAGCCCATTATTCTCTCTCTCTGTCGCCCAGTCAATGAGCTCTTTATCAAATTTGTGATGTAGAATTTGTCTCTACCTATGTTCCTGGAAGGTCTAGTTTCCTAGAAGCCTCCTCTTCCAACCTCTTAGCATGCGGTATCATGTCTGGTTGCCATCGTTGAATTTCCCTATTCTGGAACTGCTTCAACTACATCATTTGTCCTCGTTGTCTGCAACATTCTGTGTCTAGCTATAATAATCTTCTCACTTTCTTCTACTTATTCAGAGGACTAAAACTCATTTCCTTGTTGCTTTGTGCTTTATTCAACTTTTTGTTTGGCTATTAATGAAGACCCAAAATTTAAATTTAAAAAATTACTTTTGACTTCAATGTATGTAAGCTTCTACTAAGCTAGTTGCTGTGTTATGGTTTATCAGTTTTCAGTCAGTGCCAGCATCTGCATACTGTGATTAGTCTCATAAACCTGGAGGGGGCAAACCCATTCAAATATTTCCTATTGTACAATATACTCATGTTTTCATCTTTTAATACCTTTTTGATTTTTCAATCATACAGGAATACCTGAAGCAGCAGAAGGAAGGCAAGCAGGGTGAAGAGGAGGAATCTCAAGAACACAAAGAGATAAAGGAGAGAATGGACAAGTTGTTTATGAAGTTTGATGCCCTTGCCAACTACCATTACACACCTAAACAGGTACAATACTCTCTTTCATATAATATACTACTGCATTTGCTAGGTACTGTTGTGGGGTCTCAAATCCATTACAGTGCCTTTAGGGTCGAGTGGTTGCCAAAATGCTAATATTTCCAGATTTTATGATAAATATTGCTGAGGAAACAGCAGGTGAAGAGTAGACAGTCTAGTTTTACCAGTGTAGGTTTTCATCCGTCATATGCGTAATTTTTATATCACATACAAGGATCTTGGCCTCTGCTATTGCTGCTTTGACTCTGCTTCATATAAATATTGTAGATGTAAGCAAAAATTGCAGAGATCAAATGCAATGAAATACTGTATTGGATGCAGCAGGCAGCTCCAGAAGGATTTGTTCCTTTTGACCAGGTTTCCACTGTATATAATTAGGAATTATATTTACATGTACATTAACTTTTCTTCGTAAGCTATTTGTGTGTCCTAAGAGTAAAATGTATTTCAGGCTTGCGTGGAGGTGAAGATCCAGAGTAATTTGCCAGCAATCAATATGGAAGAAGCCACACCTGTAACATCCACAGATGCCACACTTCTTGCTCCTCAAGAAATATTGGGTGAGATATAAATTTTTCTTTTATGCATTGAAAGAATTTTTAAATGAAAAAAAATATGCAGACCTGAAGTGTACTTAGTTTTTACATGAGGTGAAGAACAGATGTTGAAAATATCTCAGTTTATATTGTATGTGAGATAGAGAAGAACTTCTCTTCAGGTCACATCATCTACACACGAGTCATTTATGCCAGTTGTAAGGCAGTTATTTATGTTTTAAGAGATTTACTCTAGAACAGTTATTTGATTGTGGTTGGAGAGTAAACACCTATCATATATTCAACAATATTAACAGTGACAAAATATTTAAAATTTTATATAAAATAAACTAATATTTTTTCAAGGGGGGAAGTTCAGAATAAATACATAATTTTTGTTTGGAGATTTAGTTCATATATTTAGTTGGAAATGAGATTGTTTGATAGGTAAATAATATACATTGCTACACACAGAAATCACAATAGCGTGATGCATCAAATGAACAAATCCACAAGGGCGGATTTGTGCCCTTGTGGATTTGTTCATTTGATGCATCACACTATTGTGATTTCTGTGTGTAATGAAGTAGGAGCGAAGAGATAGAACAGCCTATTGGCAGAACTCGGGTGCATGGGGGAATTGTGTAAAACCCTGGTTTGTGTCTCGGAGAGACTGCAGGATCCGTTGGTAGATCAGGATGATTTCCCGGTTGCAATTCTTTTACCATGTCGTAGCTCAGCCCGCCAAACCACACACCGAAACTACGACGTTGGTACAAAGTTTGAATACGTTTTAACACCTCCTAACCAGTTAAAACAACCAATATAGCAAGTTGTAACAACGTTAAAATACGTCATAAACACATTAGGCCAAGATGTAGCAACCTTATTACAAGTTGTAACAAGCGGAAAATAGAGACAGTTTCGGTTTGTGTTTCCAGGGAGTCGATTAAGGCAACGTCTGGGATCCTCTCGGACGTAGGTTCGAACCCTCGTCACGGTCCTTGTGGATTTGTTCATATACATTGCTATTTTAAAATTCTTGATAAATAATTATATACTGTACAGGTACTGAAATTTGTATTGAAGCTGTTAGTCTTCTCATTAATATAATCTGCTGATATTTGCAGGGATATTCTTCGCAGGTGGATCTAAATTACTGTACTTCATAATGGCAGCAAGGGAGTTTGCACAAATGGCAACTGACCAACTTAAAGTATGGTCATTATGTACAGAACTCGCGTGATTCCAAGTGCTTACCTTGCTTCATACTTCTTTGACATGGTTTTTGATTATGACATTTTGTATTATACTTCCTAATCCCCTGCCAGGTCCCTGCCATGTTGAGGCTGCTGGATAATCTCCTCTTTCACTGTCCATTCATTCTGGTCTGTCTATATGCCTTCTAAAGTTGTCAAAATGTGAGCCTAACTGAGCAAATTTTATATGTTAACATTAAACTTTCAGTTTTTTTACCCCAATTAGTAGAGAATAATTTTTGTTGTAATCTTAATTTCTTTACCTATTTTTATATATTTATATATATATTGTGTTATTACAGAGCCTGTGCGTGGTGAATTGAGAGGCAAAACTGAATATACAAGCACAGATAAAAAGCATGAACGACGGGTGAAGAAGGCTCATCAGAAGAAAAAGTTTAAGTTGCAGGAGAAGAAGTTGAAAGAGAAACTGAAGAGGGCTGGACCCAATGGAAAAGTTGACGCAAAGTCTACATTGAAGGTCATAGAAAAGGCGGTTAAGTCAGGACAAGTGAAAGTGGTAAGTGTGCTGTATTTAAATGTTCAGCTTTGCTAAAGTTAACTTTTAATTGTTAGAGATGATTTTTAAATTACAATAATCCAGCATCTTAACCACTGAACTACTTTGCGTTAAAATATGAAACACCCGTGGTGCGCCGAAAATATATTCTTTCCAAAAAATTATTTTCTCTTCTTATATTGTTAAAATGCAGTCTCTGATCACGGGAAATGAAAAAAATATATTGTATGTGACATACTTTAGCCGTGATGGAGCTGGGAAATTGAGCAAATTATGGGCGCTGAGCGATGGAACGCTAGGGGTCAGTCGGCCTCGCCACCCTGTGGGGCGGCAGTTGTCACGATTATAACATTTCACAATTATTTTTATGTTTCTCATTCGTTTCTTCTCTGGTTTTTTGCTGTAATATTATTCAAAAGTGTGTAATTTGTGGAATTTATATAGTTCAAAGTGTGGAACATTGCTATGCTTAAAATTATGATAATCATATATAAATAAGGATTTAAATATATTGTATCAACACAAAGGAAAAAAAAAACTCAAAGCAATGAATAGAAATTGGCCAAGTTTAGATCCGGAAAAAATCTGGGTAAATACTGGTTTGGAAATAGGGTTGTTTAATTTTGGAACACGTTACGGTTTAACATAACAGACGTGGAATCGTTGGCTCATTTCAAACACAGACTAGACATGTCTATAAATAAGTATGGGTGAATATAAATAGGCACTGCTTCATGTAGCCGAACAGGTCATCCTGCAGTGTTCATTATTCTTATGTTTTTACTTAAAATAATAGAAATTCTTGTACCCAAAATATGAAGACAAAGTACGGTATGTGCCTGTGCACAAGTGTATTCTGTGTGGTTTTTGTTAGTGTGGGCTTTGATATTTTTGATGGAATACATGGCTCTATCTCATTTTTTAACATTTTGTATTTTAACAGTTGGAGGGGAACCAGAACAAAGTGGTGAGATCATCACAAGTATTCTTCAAGCAGCTACAAGATGATGCTTCTAAAAAAATACAACAAAATAAGAAGGAACACAAGATGAAGAAAAGACCAGAATACAAGTCGGTGTCTAAGTTTTTACTATAGTTGTGTTGTTTACTGTGTATTAAGTTTTATGCAGTCTATTCTTGTATAATGTTGTAAATATTCATAAATTAAATAAACCATTTATTTTGATTTTTCTTATATGACATGTTTACTTCCTAATGCAAATTACCATCTATAATAAAAAAAATAGATATATAATATTATTAGCTCTGTATTGATTATTCTCTTGTCTAGGGCTTTTATCCCTCTGACTAGTGCTCTTGCATCTTGGTTTAATTGGAAGAGGATTTCTCCAAATGTCATCTTTGTTCAAGGTAAACTTGGGCTTGGGAAGTAGAACAACTCCCTGAACCCCATCAAGCAGGTATCAAACAGGTATTAAACTAAAAGAACTAATTAACTGTAGATTGTATTACACTTATTATAAATTTACACAATGTTTTGAACCTACATGATTCATTCTTTAAGTGAATTGGACAGTAGTACTAGGCATATTGGATTTATACCATTAGGGAGGTCAGGTACATACAAATACAAATAGGTGAAGAGGAAAGCGTAAAATGGTGAAGAATAAGGCAAAGAAAGGGGAGAAAACATTCAAAGATTAATCCGGTGTAGTGGGCATGGCATTTTGAGCGATGTTGTCTACGTTGGCATCTTCATGTTCCGGTCTTGAACGTGATGCCAACATAGACGACACTGCCAAAAATGCCATGCCGTGCACAAGAAAAACTGTAGAGCTTGGCATTTGTTTAAATGTATGTGTATTTATATATAACTTCCAATATGCAAAATGGAGGTTAAGATGATGATTAGCATTCTGGGTACAACCTTTTGATAACTGATGTAGATTGTGTGTAGTTAGAGTGAGTACAGTGGTAGGGAATATGTGAGTGGAGATGGGGAGTGTGAGTGTAAGTGCAAATGGGTATGGTGTGAAGATGATGTCAGTGATGTGATAAAGATAGTGTATTGTGAAAATTATTACCGTGATGAGGTGAGACTTGGAAGGTGTGTGAAGGTGTATGTTGGAAGGGAACCTAGGAGGATGTGTGTAAGGGGCCTGGGCACAGGACGAGCCAGGCTCCGCAGGATACCCCCATTTAGTATTCTATTAGAGAATTGGTGATATCAATGTTATGAGCTGGTAATACCAATTAACACTTTAACGCAACAGAGTTGAAGTACTATATTAAAATGTTATACATATAAGCACAGTGTTTATAGAGTTTATAAACCTTAACATGTGTAAAGGGCTTATTTGGGTAGATCATGGAACAGGGTAATACTTAGAAGAAAATTTAAAATAATTTTCAAAAGGCATCAAGCCTGAAACACTATTTAGCAATGTCTGTTTTACAGTATTAAGCAGTTTGTAAATATAATTTAGGAAGACAATACAAGCAAAACCTAGTCTTAAAACTCAACAAGATGGCTCACTGAAGCCATCTTGCAGAGATGGCTCCCAACTTCTAGGTCACATCAGCTGCCGAGTTCTGTTTGGCCTACCCTGGGGACCAGAGCCAAAACCTGGTCTCCCCTCACAGGCAGAGAGCTTGAGGGTTTTGGAGGTCTAACAGGGACTTTGTAGATTGGTATTTGATTAATGTCCCAGTCCCAGTTTGTCTTGTATACTCTGGGCTGGGCTTCCTGGCCCGTGTTCTCTTCTTTCGATCTGTCCCCTCCATCACTGTGAGAAGGCTAGGTTCTGATTCTGGTCTGCAATAGGCCTAACAGGACACCTGTCACTGATATGACACAAAAGTGAGGAGCTATCTCAGTGAGAAAGCTTCAGGGAGCCACTGGGGCTCTACCAGAAGGGGGGGGGGGGCCATTTCATTACATTCTATGTTGGCTTTTTCAGTCTTGTCTTTATTTATACTACAGTTTAAGAAAATAGGATGGGTTTGCTAAATCAATTACCCAGTGTGTGTGTAGAAACGACTTGTCAATTGGACTAGGGGGGGGGGGGGAAGGAGAAAGAGCAGAAACTCAATATTAATAGCCACTACCAACAGGGACCCTCATCATGCCACACGCTTTCCATTATCTCATTATAATTTTATTATTTTTTTAATTTTTTTTTTGTATACTGTAGTAAAATAAGTACTGTACTGTAAAATGTGTGTATCATACATAGTATATGAGGAAATATCACACACACACACACACACACACACACACACACACACACACACACACACACACACACACACACACACACACACACACACACACACACACACACACACACACACACACACACACACACACACACACACACACACACACACACACACACACACACACACAGATATTTATATAATTGTCAGGTATTTCTTGATATTTTAAATTTTCAAAGTTCACTTGAAATTTGTTAAAATATAACATATATTGCTTACTGTATTTAGTATTGTTCAAGTGATAAATCATATCAAATAACAGGAAAACTACAGTACAGTATATTGGTCAAATACAATTAAAACTTTTGGCAACTTTGGCACAGGGAGGAGTTCCAAACTTCACTCGCCATCCATTTTGAAAAATGGTCTGATTCCAACTATCAAGATTCTCGAGAATTGACTATGCAATCACAACAGGCTTTACCCTTGCAAACGTGAATTTCACATGCAGGCACCTTCAAACACATAATGTGAAATCACCGTGTATCATTGTACCATTCTGCACTAAATTGCATTCAATAACAGACTTTATTCTTTTTACATCTTTCACTCTTACAATCTTCGCAACATTCCTCTCCTCATTCTTCCTATCTTCTGTATTTCCTTCACATAATCCAACAGTTAGAGTGCACATAATGCTGCCAAACTTTTTTAGCTCATTAATTCCTTTTGCATTTTACACAGCTATGTGAATGTGCATTATTTTTGTTGAATCCAGGTAAGTTAGGGCCCCAAATCTAAGGCAGTTCTGGACTCCTGTAGACAGAAAACAAGAGGAGGTCTCCAACCCAAACTTCCCCCATTTACCACAGGGAATGTGGGCCCATTTATACCACTAAATGTAGGAGGAATCAGTGTATACTACACCTGTGGCTATAAATAATTTATTCCTAGTTAGTAATGGGGCTGTAATGAAAGAGCAATGGAAGGCCAAATAATTTCATTGTTTCTTCCTTTTCCATGTTGATACATTGAAAATACATCTCTTGACATAGATACAAGCTTAGCTGTTCCTATTCTTTAGGTATACCATGTCAAAATAAACTTTTTGCTCTATTACTTTTATCACGGTCTGGTTGGGTTGGAAATAGCAGTAATGGCAATGCATTACCCATTTGAAACTAAAGTATGCAGAGGACTAATAGCTAATCATGTGGGCTGAATCATTTTAATGATTTTATACAAAATAACAAAGATAGTTTAACCCTTTTAGATATATTTATATATGTAACATTGTAATTTATATTATTAAATGTTGCTTCTTATGTTTTTGAAAACAAGGTGAAAGGCTGTACTATACTGAATCCTGATCAGAAGACCTGGATTACTTATCACAGCTATTTAAATTATGCAAATATTTATACATGGTAATAATTGTAGACAAACTTTCAACATATATCTCTCAAATCAGTAAGAGGCTTGTATTTTATGAATTCTGCAAACAAAACATACACATTATCATGCAGATATTCCAAATCTGACATAGCAAACATAATTAACTATACAATAGGCATTGAGACCACATGATGAAGCTTGTATCTGTTTTTATGGAGTTCATGGCATGCTTATAACTTAATTTTGTTTGGTTATAAAAGGGCTGTGTTTGAATAAGAGTCCTGAAGCTAAGAGGTGCTTGCGTGGTGATGTCAGGACATGTGAATTAATAATACTTGGGGCTGTGCTTCTGTCTTTGTACATCTGAAGAGTTTGCGTTCTACAAAAGACTGTAGTACACATTCATTTGCAACTACTACCTGGCATCTCATTCCTACGATGGTAAACGCATACTAATTAGCCTTTATTTTTTCTATTTTATAGAATTAGCTTAAATGTCATGCTTCAATGAACTGAAGGTAAAAAGGCCTTATGAACAAACTGTTGTTGTTCATAAGTGTATAAAAAACAAAAAGGCCTTGTTGGTTTGCATTTACCAAGTCTTGTAGCATTCTTAGTTTGTTATATATATTTTAGTGTTGTTGCTCGAGGTCAGACTGAATTTGCTTATTATTCAAAATATAATGAGAGTCATGTCTGCCACTTCTGAACGTTACAAGGAACTACTGAGACCCAGTTTGAGGTTCTCTATCCAAACACAGCCCAATTTATCCTTGGAGTGTGCATCCCATTTTATAACTCTGAGAAGCCTCCCTTGATTGGCTTAGGGTATAAAAATCTATAAAAAGCCTTTAATTTTTTTATCATGAAATATTATTAACTTCAGAATGTATAAATGAATGTTATTAGCAAATAAATATATTTAAAAAATACTGATACAAGAAGGTGACTCGAGGTAGCACTGAACGAGTTGGGGTGTGGCCAACGAGTGAGGTTCCTCAGAGTGAACCATCAGCTCTTCAACGACTCTCAGATATTGTTCTCTCACATAATGCCCCCACTTAATAAAAAAAAAAAAGTGTATATCCTTGCTCCAATGCATGTTACGATATCTCACTTTCTATGTTTTCCATATTCTATTTGCATATTTTATCCTAAAATATCTAGCCCTTTCTCTAAATAAACAGTAAATTGTAGATAGCTGTATTCCAATTTACAATATTCTGATGGATGACAATGAAAATGTTGCTTACATCATTTTTTATTGTGCAAGCAGTTTTCCCTTTGTCATTCATCAGTATTTAGGCTCTCATTACTACATGCATTTTAATTGCTACCATTAAACTAAGTAAAAAGTTTCATATTTATGTTCTTTGGTTTAGAATGCTGAACAATAAATATTTTACATAGACTATTGTAATTATGTCTAAAATGTGGAGGCAGATATGTTCCAAGTGTGTTGTGTAATGGTAGATTTTGCATGGACTACTGTGATACTCATTAATTAAAGAACATGAATAATACAGAGAATGTAGAAGTCTTGTCTTCTATCTTTATACACTATTTAAGTGCATTGCATTACAACATAATCAGTGTAAGTTTACTTAACTGATCAATACCCAAGAGTGTGAGAAGAGTGTCATGAGGCATAGTGTTCATGCACATGACTAACATGTTGCTTTGGATATAACGTAGAGGTCTTGCATGTTTTTTTTATTTTTAACTAACTATTTTATCACCATACTAAAGAGGGATAATTGTGGGGCTTTATTATACAAGATAATGCAGTATACGACAGGGAAGAGAAAGAGCACAGGTGAGGAAACTGACTGAGCCACAGACAATTTGTTGTTGAATAATTTCTTGAGGCATTCAGTGTTAAAGGTGATGATAGATCATCTATGGCTCACAAATGCAAATGATGTTGCACTGAAGTGGATGTTATAAGGTTCAAGGGACTATTTATATTGGTAGTAAAGTATAACAAACGACATTGGAGACACTGACAAAAAAATATCGTGTTACCACAAAGACTAGCCCAATAGGTCGACACTTGTGTAGTCTCGGCTACACAGGACTGGTTCTTGTGTCTTGCCCCTCAGTCATCTTTTATTTATTTGCTGCAATGAACCACCAACTATATACTGTACGTTAATATTTATTGTTACCTGCAGAGTCTTGCCAATGGAGACACCTCCAATGAAGTTTCATCATATTTAAACACTTGCGTAGAAATTAGTTTGTGGATGATACATGATTTTTTGTTAAAAAATAAAATCATTATATATATAATAAATTTTTATTATTATTATTATTATGCAAATGCCGAGTGTTCTTGTAACTTGGTGACAAAGATGTATGGATAGAATTTTAGCGAGTTGTCTGATTGGAGAAAAATCACATGTATATCTGAACTTTAACAGTGCTCTATAAACAGATCCTGCATACACTACTGCTAGAGATGCATCTTTGGTCAAACTCAGATAATAAAGCTGAAGTTGCTTCATAAAGAGAGCTTGTTAAACATTCCTACATTAGGTAAACAGGTGGAGGATCCTATATTTCATTATTCTAACCATTCATTTTTTTTTTACTATATATCTGAGTATGTATTTATAGGTTTTTAGAATATTACAGGATTTTAACATTTGTGTCTATGATTATACAATGTTCTAACACTTGATGCTATACATATACAGGATCCAGAATTCTGATACTAATGTGTGTGCCATGATCAGAGTCTATAATTCCAAAGTTTTGGAGGAATAAAAGAATGAAGTTTATATTTGGAGCCGCTGGCACAAATAACAGCTCCCAGGCTAGTGGGGGGCTCCACTGGAGTAGGGCTGGGGGCTAATTCAGTGGGGCCAAACAGCAACTATAGTTGTGGGGAGGTGTTATGTACCCAGTGACAACCTGTGGCAGTCTCTCATCCAACAAATTTTCATTACTCCACAAAACTTGGTCATGGTTCCATTAACAATTTGCCAATGCTAAATTGGCTGCAAGATGTGTGTGTTTGTGCAAGTGTGCAAAAGTATGTGAATGAGAGTTTTGTGTGTGTGTAGGCATGTGCATGCATGTGTGTGTGTGTGCTTGTGTATACATGCATGTGTGTGCGCACATGAATGTGTGTATGTGCGCACCCACACAAGTGCATGTGCACACGTGTGTGTGTGTGTGTGTGTCGGTGCACACACGTGCACATGCATGCGCATGTGCAAAGAGCCACAGGGAAGCTAGGAAAATATATGTTGAGTGCTTTTGTGTTAAACACATCATTGGAAACTTGCTGGGAAATACTGAATACATACATGCATACTGTACATAAATTATATAATAAATAATTTTTACTATACATAAATTAATGATAAATAGATATATCGTATTATATTTATAGCGAAAACACTACAGAGAAATGAAGAGAATCTGTGTGTGAGCCTTTTCATGTCCTTCAACACATCCGAGAGTAGTTGAAAAATATTAAGCATGCCTGTATATATATATATATATATAAAGGACACCCAAGTTGGGAGTCGCGTCACATCCTAACGACAACTATCCACACCCACATATTGAACTATTCTTCATATGTTCTGTCCTCTATATTTATCTTCATTTTTTGTGGTTATTGCATTTATATTTCCCATATTTTTGTGTAGTATTTACTATATATATATATATATATATATATATATATATATATATATATATATATATATATATATATATATATATATATATATATATATATATATATATATATATATATAATATATATATATATATATACACATACATACATACATACATACATTTAAAGGCGGACACGTCATTGTTGGCCAATTTTTTCAACACACCCAAGTGTGAGTGGATTGTCCTCGAGATGCAACATGACTCCAAAAACTGGTGATTTGTCACTGGATCATAATGTACATGAATATTAAAATACAGTTATAAAGAGTCTGTGATATTTGCATACAATGGGAAAACCAGATCCCATAGCAAGAAAAATTAAATTAATTCAGATTTTCCATTCCTCATGCAATTTTGCTAACAAAAAAGGTTTCTAATTTAAAGAATTTGAGGGTACTATTTAAAATATAATCAGTAAATTTCATTAACCCTCAAAGTGCATTTATCATGTATTGATCGTTTAAAGAAATGTGGTCATAATTTTACGACGATTCATATCGTGTCAGTGTTTGAATAACAATGTTGCCCATACGGTTCCAACAATTCAGTGGTGTTTCCCAGTAGTCCTGAGAGGCCACAAAAATAATTTGGGGTCAGATGTGGTTCAGCTCCTAGACTCTCATAATCTTGTAATGACCATAGCACTTACCTGGGCCAACATAACGCTCTTCACTGTACTGTACTGTACTATATAAGATTATTTTGGTATTCGTTTTAGTTGTACATACAGTACAGATTTCTTACTTTTGAATATATTTCATATGAAAACTAAAAACGAAAATACCTTTTATTTAGTCTTGGCTATCATTACATTCAAAGGCAATGTTCAGGCCGAAATACGGGATATATACGGTATTATTTTTCATACTTTTGATTACAGATCAATCATATTATAAGAAAAACAAACAAAATTATGATTGTTTTGTTCACAATGAAGCCAGCAATTTTGATGACAGTTGCACTATGGTTCTATCCATGAAGGAATTGCAAGAGGCAACTTTGTTTTTCTTTTTAACACGGTGTTTCAATTAATTAAATGATAATAATTGATCATGTGGACAAACAATTCGTTAGATTCCTGATCTGACACCAGAAATGTTGTACTATAATTTGATCTTATTTTTTCAATAATCTTTATCAGTTCCTCGAATGTACACTTTACCACACCTCTTACATGGGGTTTTATAAACACAACAGCAATTAGATATTGCAGACTTCATTAATAATATTTGTATAACCATATTGAATTTTTAAATGTAACATTAATATTAACAAAATTAAGGAATGATATAACGTTACAATAGATTCAGTATATTGATGACTCAGTATTTTTGTATGATAGCCTCTTGTACTAGGTTTATAAAATATTTTTTGGGGAGCTTGGCTTAGGTCTTTCCCCTGGCTTAATCAGTAAAATGTTTTGGATTTGA